ACAACGTAAGCTAAACATCTCTAAATTTTAGTTCTATTTCATAAGTCTTATATTCCAAGATAAGCAAAAGTAAGTAACCAATTATAAACTACTCTCAGTCATATCAACGTATGAATTTCACATAGAGAGGGTTACATGTACCAAGTTGTAAGTGTGAGTTTTTAGTGTCAGCAATCGTGTTGTATGGTACTTTCTTGTGTCGAGTGGTGCAAATAATAACTGAGATAGTTATGAAAACATTTCTACAACTGGCAACATTTGGAACATCCTATAGCTGAACTGCAAAGTTGGACATGACACAGCACCATTGTGATAAGAATTCCGGTGACCACGGCCGTGTTCATGTGTCAACCAGATTGTATGTGAAGGACACACGATATAGCTTCCCAAAACAATAGTAGCTATAATCGCATTATGATTATGCAAGATAATCAGATTAGTTGCTTTTAATTTTGTATTATTTGTTTGCATAAACAACAAACAGTATTATAAGTCCATTGTATAAATAATAGAATATTAATGATATTACAGGATAGATGAGGACTAATTAATATGCTTTAATATTAGTTGGGGTGCGTTAATCGTCGGAACATGTTTACGCGTAAAAAGTTACATTGATAATCCTTTAATAGCCGTACGTAATGAAAAAACACTTAGATTTAATGTGCCGGGGCACATTTAAACTTTCTAATTTATTGCATCGCGCGGTTAATGAGGCGTGAAATTAGCGCTACGCATTAAAAGTTCTGCTCGGTTAAGAAGGCTAACCGAGTCAAACTTTTGATTGATCCGAACCTTGCTAAAGTTTTACTAAAGTTTCATGATCTTCATTTGACAAAAAATGACTTCCTTTATAAAGTGGACTGGCAATTGATGTTTTTAGGTTGAGAATGAAATATTTAAACCAATTAGCGCTTTTTATTTGCAGAAAATTCATTAAGTAGTTTGTTCGTGAAAGAGTAACAGATATCCATACGTACAAATATATTATACAACTAGTAATTCAAATTGTTTAGTGACCCAATTAAAATTTTAATTTATGAACATTTGATTCAATAACTCAAGTGTTTTACGTCTATTTTCCTTTTTAAAAACCTGGAATCCTAGTTAAAAACAATGCTACTTATGCCAACGCATCAGAAGTTTGATTTCCTCTTATCGCCAGGTGCCTAGACCGGTGGCACTTTGTAGTGTGATGCAAGTACTTCCAAGCTGTTCATGCTCCCTATAATCAACCTGAACATATAAATAAAGTATACTACTATATTATGAATATTCCGAATAGGACAAATATTATATTAAAATCACAAGCGAACCTGTTCCGGTCAATTATCAAATATTGCCGGAAATAACATATTATTATAAATAGTTACATGTTATTTTAATCAAACGTTGAAGGTTAAAGTTAGCTTAATTAAAATTACAGTCCTATATAAATTAATATGTTCCGAGAGCATCACCCCTAATATATGTTTTCATATAAGCACTATTTTAATTTATGTCGCGTAAATAACTGACCAACAACTATTTATGGGGTGTGACTAGCATTTGGTGCTCATAAAGTGCCGCAGAATTCGTAAATTTGCATTAATTAAACACGCGCAAAACAAACAATTATGCAGTGCACGACACAGGGATTATTTATTCGTAATTTCATAATTTTACAGCTCTAGATTACGCGTGCAGTAAACTTGTATTACACCATCTAAACATATAATATGTACATACCTAATATGAATCAAGTAGATGAAACTAATGCACATACTGTATATGTTTTTCTGCTTGAAGCCCAAGAAAGTAAACAACTGTCGGGTGGGAAAGCTTTTCCCTGTTTTTGTTTCGGCGTGTGCTTACTTCTACTTAAACTGGATTTATTCCGCTTTCATCTGACTTGGTTTTTGTTCCAGCAAGAAGTCGGGAAGTCAAGTGAAAACATACTACCACATTTGATCAAATAAACGACATGTATTGAAAATAATTTGTAAGTTTCTATTGCATTTGTTTAAATGTTAAGTTTACAGATATAATATAATTAAAATATAAATTAAATTAGATTAAATTTGATGTCGTTTTAAGGTTTTATATCGCCTTAATTGCTTCTTGCAAATTCCAAGTTGTTTCGCGTTCACTTCGCCCATCCGGCTCGACTTTGGCGCATTAATCTTACACCCTTACACTCCTAAATTCGCCACTCGAGGAGCGACCGAAGCTAATTGAAGCGCTGTAATTGAAGAATAAATCTTGTTTTGTTGTCCGAACGCGCGACAATCATCCAGAAACAGCAAATTCTCTTCGTTGATTCGCTCACAATTGCACATTGTTTGTTTTTAATTTCGAAGAGATGAAAAGCACAATAAACTAATGCAACAATAACCAAGTTGAATAAAAAATATACACAGACAAAAAAAACGTGAAAATAATAAGTGATAAGTCATAACTTATCTGTTGTTAAACGTACGAAAAAAATACTTAGAATGCAGGCAAGTTTTCACGTTTAGCGCGAGCACAATTTTCTAACTTTGCAACTATTTGCGCGCCAGCGGCGGGCCTTTAAAGTTTTGGCGCGCGTCAAACTTTGCAGATGGATGAAGCGAGATTTATCGCGGATTTAACATGCCAAATATAAGCTTGTTTTGCGTAAAACATCTTTTTAGTTTAGTTCGCCAAGGTTTGTTGCTTCTACGCTAACAATTTGTCTACTCAAATAAAGTTTTATGTTCATAAAAACAACTTGCAAGATTGTTTTATATTTATGTTACAGCCAAAGCTCACGTTAATGTAAATTTATATATTTTCTGATGGGATCATTGTCTATCGCATGATATTATATATTTCTACGTAGCAATTATTAAAAAAAATTACCCGTGTATTAAGTTGACGATAGATGAAGTTTTTCTTTCTCTATGCAGTTATTAATTGTTTATCTCATTGGTGAATTCGGAATAATCATTAATAAAAGATTGGAAGCGTAGGTTAACGAATGTGGGAGACTTTGATTTACAAGAGAAATATTTGCCGTGTTAGCTGTATTTGAACCTTCGTATAATCTTCATCATGGAATCCTAAGACTGTTCGAAGAGATGTACGACACGACAGGAAGTGCAAGAACAGTTGGACTGCGCGCTGGACCGGAAAAAGGCGTGAACGTCCTTCAATTAATCACCGAGAAAAATTGCACCGGTGATCTCTCATCAATAAAATCATGAAAACATCTTGCTTCCATATCTCAACAAAAGAGAAGTATCTGATTTAGATAAAATATATAGCACTAGCGGACCCAACAGACTTCGTTCTATCAAAAAGATTTGTAATGTGGCAGTTTTTGTTCCTTCCTATTTTATAGTCGGTGCAAAAAATTCTCCTGTACAGAACCGTCACCTCGGTAATACGGTGCATCCACGAATTTAGGCCACCCTTTCAAGAACAAATTATATTAGTGGGACTCACTAAAACACCCCGAATTGTGTCACATGCAATACTTAGTGATTATAGATAATTAAACACTTTGCACAAAACACGAAATGAAACAATCCAATCAAATTGTACTTTGAGAAGAATATCGTCTGGCCTACCACACATTTTGTCATTCCTGCGAAGGAGTATTTAAATATTTCCACTAAAAAAAAAAACGAGTTGTATCAGATGCAATAATTAATGACAATAGGTAATTAAACACTTTTCACAAAACACGAAATTAAACAATCAAATATAAATGACAAAAGAAAACTCAGTAGTAAACACTTTGTGCAAAACATCATATAAAACAATGAATCAAAAATAAATTGAAGAAGGCGGCGGACTTTATTTCGTCTATCAGTTGGAAGAAGAAAACTCAGCTTTTCCTCATTTTCCCGGTAATTATTTGAATTTTTCTCGGCGTCAAAACCACCCTTTGACTTTAATAAACATTTTAAAAAAATAATAGGCCAAATTGGTCCTGGTGTTGTTGAGTAAAGCGGTTTCCAACACCCTTTGCGATTTATTTTTAATATTTTTATATTATAGATTTTTACAGAAACGTCATTTTTAAATTTTGAACAGATTACATCTTTGCATTATCTCACTTATAATAATATAATTATAAAAGTGATATGATAATAATTTCTTATTTTATAGCGTTCTAATTTTGATTTTGCTACCAAACTTTATAAGATTAATCACTAAAGTAATTTAAAGGTTGCCTGACGATTGCATCAAAATTGGTCCAGTCGTTCTTGAGTCCTCAATGAACATACATACATAGATTTATCAATACAAGTAGAAACCAGAGTACTTTCCGCCGGCAGTTTGCTTAGAAACTAAGAAACGGATTGTAATGCCAATTTCGTCAAAACACAAAGTGATTCAAGTGGAAAATTGATATCCATTGAAAAAGAAGAGGACATTAAAATTAAATCAAGAATGTAAAAGATTTCTACAATGATGTTGTAATAAATCCATTTGATGCGCCTACTGTAAGAAAGTCTATAATATGAAAATGAACCGCATAATCTGTTGGTAAACGCAAAACTCAACAACGCCTATACCAATTTGGCCAATTCTTCTTTTTTTAAATATTTGTTAAAGTCCAAGAATGGTTTTTACAACGAGAAAAATTCGAATAAATGCTGGGAAAACCCTATAGACCACCCTTTTCTATATGATAAAAGTTGACATTAAAATTCCATCATAGTTATAGCGTTGAACTAAATTATTAGCAATTCTTTATATAAATAATTTCTCTAAAATAAAATTGCGAATCTTAATTATAAAGTTAACACAGGCAATGTCTAAAAACAAATTATATTTTTATTAAATACTACGGGGACGAAGTCGCGGACAAATGCTAGTATTTCAATAAATATTAATAAAATTATATATATTAAATGTTAAAAATTTATTGATTTCACATATATCATATTTATTCAAAATTTCAAAAATTCCCAAAAACGTGATATAATTTCATTTAAGAAAGATTTATTTCCCAGCTGGTCCTGGAGGTCCAGCAGGTCCCTTTGCACCAGCAGCTCCAGCAGGTCCAGCAGGTCCTGCCACACCTGGAGGTCCAATTGGTCCAATAGCTCCGGCGGGTCCAACAGGTCCAGCCGGACCAGGGGGTCCAGTAAGACCAGGGGGTCCAGCGAGTCCAGCAGGCCCGGCAGGTCCAGGAGGGCCTGCAGGCCCAGGTGAGCCTCCTGGCCTAGGGAAAAAGAATTGCGAGGAGTTGCTGACCAACCCAAGGGTTACGAACACCAGGAACAATACTTTGATGGATGCCATTATAGTTGCAGTATACTATTGCAGTTTACTATTTGAGAAGTTTGAACAACTGTGATCAGCATGTAGAAATCATTCACTTTATATAGTAGTTTGTACTCGCACAGATCGTGATGGATTTATTTTTTTGGAAGTTTATCTTTGTCGTGTATAAACACAATAGTACTATTAATATTTTATTGTGTAAATATAATCTTTAAAAATTTGCACAGTTTTAGGATTTATTGTCATGATAATTTTAATGTCGGCAAAACCTAACCTGTTTTATGCGAAAAATACTCACATAAAAAATAATTATTTATTACAACCTTATACCCGCGAATTATTCGAATTTTTTTCGCCGTAACAACCATCCTTGGAATTTAACAAATATTTAAAAAAAATAATTGATCAAATGGGTCTAGATTTTGCAATTCGTTTATATATTATACATTTTTGATAATGTCGTCAAGAGGTTTTTAAAATATTTAAATTATTAAATTATAATACTGTTAATTAATTTCAATATGCAGGATAATCAATCTTCAAAAAGTATCAGAGCATCTCTTATTAAATAAATATTATTCAATTATTATATGGTATGATATTTTCTATTCATTGGCTTTTTCTAAGATTGTAATTACTAAGTTTAATGATTAATACTGGTAACATTTAAAAATGATTTTACAAAAACAATACAATTTATTATTAATTAATTGCTTTTCTGGGGCTTAAATATCTTACAAATTCTATGTTAACATTGGAATCTTAATTATTACAAGCAGCAATCAATGTATCAAAAAAATGATACAATTAAATAATTTTGAAAATTGTTATTTTTCGAAGTTCGCCATTTTAAATGAAAATTTTTCTTGTGTCAAAAAACTTCAATTAATTTGACAACTACTCCCAATAATTCCGGAGTGGGTCGATATTATTTTATATTATTTTAAACTTAATTAAAAAATTACGTCCCGCAAATGACAATTTTCTACTTTCAATTAATTATATAAAATATAAAATAATTATATTAAGTTATGGAAATTAATTACGTAAACCCAATCAGAGTAATACCAGGTATAAATAAGTTTACTTTACGTTACCGAAATTTTAATTCAAATGGCATACATGGTCAAAGTTTAGAAACTGAGATCGTACATTATTTAAACCATTTAAAGTACTTACTAGACGAGTAGAGTCGATTCCAATATACGCCAACAACTAAATACTCATATATCCATCTAGTAGTAACTCATGCCCATTAACACATTCATGTCTGTTAACGTTTTCAAAAGTCCGAAGCGTTGTAATTAATTGTTAATCCAAGTATCAAACAACCCGGCATTTTTATACAATAATTGTTTTAAACGTTTTAAACAACAATGCAAAAAGTAAACAGCTGTCGTGCAACTAAACTACAAGCGCCACGCAAAGATACTAAAATTACGGACACACACGCTAACGCTTGCGAGTCTTTCTCCTATTTAAGTGACGGGGAACTGCTCACACGATTGCTTCCAATACCCGAGACAACGCCACCTAGTTTCGGTGGCAGAAAGTAACGCTCTATTGAAGGAAACTTTGATGCGACACCAATACTTGAATCAATGAAATATTTGAACGATGGGAATCTCCCTTGCAATATTTGAAAATGCTATTTGTGTAGGTTTCCGGTAGTTAATTACAAAAATTATGTGTGCAGGTAAATAGTTCGAAGACCTACTATCGGAATCAAGCATGACAAGCCAACGGGATTGGGTCCAGTTGCTAGACCTCTAAAACAAACAAAACCAGTGACTCGAAACACCACAATTGTTATTTTTGTGTGTTTCCCTGAAACTGAAACATGCGAACGTTCGTTTTTGCGAATATTTCGTAAACTAAAAGCGATAGAGACAAACGGATGGATGATTCTTAATCTATGGGAAAATTTCCAAATGCAAAAGCAAAAGTTTCTCTCAATAAAGATGATAAAGTTATGTATTTCATTATACGTATCACATTAATTTTGAATTTAACAAATTACTCTTGTGCATTGATGAGATTTACAACATCCTCTTATATCCAAATGTGGATCCTACCCTACGCCTCCCAGTAACAGGCATTTCGTCATTGCAGCCACTTCCGGTCAGTGGATTGCGCTGTATGTTGGACCCGGAGTATTGATACATTATGGTTGGCGTATCAATACTTGCGCCCAGTTCTGGTTCATCAGAGGGCTCCACTACCACCGGCGCCTCATCTCCGGCGTCTTGTAATGGAATATCGTCTAATTCAGGATCAGCTTGGTCTGGTACACTATCCTTAACTGGTGTATCGTCCGGCTGGCGTGTATCACGCTCTGGAATACACTGTTCTGGTTCATTATTGCCCATAAAACCAATCGGGAAAACGTTTGAGTTTAAAGATGGTCGTCGCGAAATACGAAAGGATTTCGCACCGCTAATACTAAACATCAGACTCTCTTCATTGTCGGTAGATTGGCTTAATAAATTACCCCGATTCATTTTGTTTGTTTTCTGTATTTAAAAATATGTGTAAACGTGTGGTTTGCAATTGCAATGAGTTGACAGTTAAATTAACATAACAAACGTTATGTTAACGTTTCTGTTATGATAAACAACTTATATTTAAAATACAGCTGTTACCATGCAACCAAGTTATATTTTGTTAACTAATAATTTTCCTTTAAATATTACTAAATGTAGATTGAGCTAGATGTTGTGCGAGCTTTAGATGATACTCAGAATCTATCTCTAAAGCATGTTGTTCAGGTATTTCAACAAATTCACAACTGTAAACACATACTTCTGTTAATAATGCATGAAAATTTAAATTTGACATACTTCTGATTTTGGAATACGCCTTGTTGTAGCAAACTTCGTTTGGCAAAATAAAACATTCCATTCTCAACAAACTCTCCTTCCCAATCTTGTCGTCTTGGTCGTTGGGCAGGGTCAAAATTCAGGGCTGATATAGCACTATTGGATGTACGAATCCATCGTAACTTAAAACTCCTTGAACTCTGTTAATACATTGTATAAACAAATTACATACCATACTTGCTCACAGAAAACACGCAGTCAACATCCGTGTGCATCATCAACAAGATTGCATTCTTCAAATATGTATGATGAACAAACGGAGAAGTGCATTGAATCAAAGCCACCACATCGATTTCCGGTCTAAAGGAAAGAAACTCCTGGACGGCAAAGATGGATGACGCCGTATCGGTTGCGCTGTCCTCACTACGCCAATGAACATTGACCTCTTTGCTTACTAAATAAACAAACCAAAATCTAATAATAGAATAAGCTAACTACTAACTATGATGTACTTCTAACAGCTTCTTTGTATATGAGATCATGATCTGTCGATACCCAAACGCTTCGAAACTCCGGCAATTTTAATATTTCCTCCAGCGATATTGCGAGCAAGGTTTTGCCGTTGACTGTTGTAAGATTTTTCAGTTTGATTCCTTTCGAACCTCCTCTTGCTAAAACAAGTGCAGCTATATGAATTTGTCTCTGGTCAAATGGATACCTGAAAACGACACTCAATTACATACATTGAAATTTGAAAGAAATTCGTACTTACAGTTTTTGCACATGACAAGAAGTAACAACATTAAAACGTCTAAACAAAATAAACCAAAAACTAGCCAAAGATACTGCTAGCAAGTGAGTATGTTTCATGTTTTGTCTAGTCTAGTCTAGTCATATGATATTAACTTCAGGAAGTATCTATTAAATTATATTAATGTTAATTTCAAGCTAACTTGTTCATGACAACGAGTTAAATTGATATAAATATTTTATTATATACACCGAGCTAGTTTTGTAAAACTTTATTTACTTGATTATTAATGTCATTTGATTGTATGTCAATATTTGATCTGAATTTTGTAGTCTTGAACTTGTTTGAACTTCAATTGTGTCTCATTGATACATGATACTCTATCAATTTATATAGAAGGTTAAATCAATAAAATTGTTTGTTTTTCTATTATGTTTGCAAGATGCTAATCCATCTGTTAGTGGGCATCATGTCCTCAATGATGCAGCAGCAACATCCAGCGCAAGTAGTTCAGCGAGTACGGACTGCTTTCCAGTTAGGCCGTACTCGGAAGTTGCAGTTTCGTGAAGGTCAATTGCGTGCGTTCCTGCGTCTTCTAGATGAAAATGAAACCAGTCTTTTGGATGCCGTCTACGCAGATTTGCGTAAACCACCGCAGGAAACTTCACTCTGTGAGTTGGACCTGGTACGCAATGAGGTTCTACACGCCCTGCATAACGCGTGGGATTGGAGCAAACCGGAAGTCATCGGTAAAAGCTTTGTCAACATGTTGGATACAGTGCAAATTCGTAAAGATCCCTACGGCGTGGTGCTAATAATGAGTTCGTGGAGTTGTCCCTTACTTTTGCTGTTACGACCCTTTGTGGGTGCTCTTGCTGCTGGGAATTGCGTCATTTTACATCCTAACAATAAAGCATACACAACAGCAATGCTTATAGCAGAGCTGATCGGAAAATATCTGGATAACGAGTGTTATCAGGTATTTACGGGTAATGCATCGGAAACTGAAGAATTACTGCTTCAACATTTTGACTATGTGTTTTACACTGGAGGTATGGACAAGGCAAAACAAATCCGGGACCTGACTAATCGACATTTGACTCCTACAAGATTAGAGTTGGCCGGTAAATGTCCTGTATTCATCGATGACAACGTAAATCTAAACATGGCTGCAAAGCGTATCATGTTGGGTAAATTAATCAACGCTGGTCAAACCAGTTCCGCTGCAGATTTCCTCCTCTGCAGTAAATCCATAGAGGAGCCTTTGGTTGCAGCACTACACAACGCTGTTATGGAATTATTAGGATCAAATCCACAAACATCATCCTACTATGCACGGATCATCAATGACGTGCAATATGAACGCTTGGTACACCTTATGGCGGGTACCACAGTCGCCTTGGGAGGAAAATGTGATCCCTATGAACGGTATATAGAACCTACTGTTCTTACAAACGTGACAGCAGAAGATCCCATCATGTGTGAAGAAATATTTGGACCATTATTACCGATTGTGAATATAAACGGGCCAGACGAAGCCGTGGAGTTTATTACCAGGCGAGCAAAACCCTTAGCGGTTTATGTTTTCAGCAACACCAAAAGTACAATTGATAAGTTCCTACATGGTACCTCCAGTGATTTTGTCGTAATCAACGATGCAGGAATTCAAGTCGGCTTGGGATCATCTGGAGGTAAATCTACTTTTGATAATTTTACCCATCACAAGACCTGCATCATCAAAGATTTGAGTGCAATCAATGAACGACTGAATTCACTACGCTATCCGCCATATTCATCTCGGAATGTTAGTTTCTTGCGGATGATCAACAAACCAAGGAATTATCCGTCTATGGCATGGATGAAGAATTATCTTATATTTTGTTTAGGTGTCGCTGTAGCCGCCGCATACTACTATTACTCAAAATAGAAATAAAAATCATAAATAACCATTTATTGCTTATAAAATTTACAACATTTCCTCGTTAGTCAACTTGACCAATCGGATTGATTCGTTTATCACTTTCTGGCACAAGTCGGGATTTCGAGCAGCGCGTGGCATGATGAACGAAATGCAATCCCAGAAAACTTTCCACTGACTTGATCTAAATCGCGTGAGAGTGCCACGTGTAACGTGGTTTGTGCTCCCTCGAACGGATCCTGTAATCATTGCACATTTATCTACGCTGGTAGGTCGTAGATAAAATACCTGAATACCAAACGCTTACCTTCAAGAGAAAACCAAGCAGCGAATAGAAAATGGCGGTGCAGAATTGTGGTACATGTTTCGAAAAAGCGTGACCATAAATTGGTGTGTGCACCACACCGGGATGAAGTGAGTTGGAGGTTATACCTTCACCACGTAGTTTCTTCGCGAAATATCGTGCAGAAATAATATTACACAGTTTGCTGTTGGAATATATACGGAAGTCGGTTAGTTTATCAATTTCGACATTTCGGTCCTTATAAGGCCGGTTAAGGTTCTCCAGATCATCCAGGTTGTTGGTAAAGGACAACATCGAGCTGGTGAAGAGTATACGTGATCCTGGCGTTTTCTTTAAAAGAGCTAAACTTGGGTTAGTCACAATGAATGATTTTTAAATTTGTAAACTTACGTATTAGAAGGTGAGTGAGCAAAAATGGTCCAAAATGGTTTATCTGCATGACAGTCTGTAGTCCGTCTGCACTGAAGACGTTACCAAGCCCTGCCGCTCCGGAATTATTGACCAGGATATCCAGACGCTCTTCCTCAGCGAGTAGGTCAGCGGCAAACGCGCGCACCGACGCTAAAGACGCTAAATCCAAGCGTTTTGCAAGCACATTCGCGTTTCCAGTAGCTTTAAAAATATCGTCAACTTGCCGATCACTACTGGTTCGACTGGCGATGATAACACGACAACCACGCGCCGCTAATCCCAACGCAGTCTCGAAACCAATGCCTGTCATAAGCAATCAATCGTAATTGTTTAGCGCACAATGAGCGTCTAATCGTGTAATACCTGAATTGCCGCCGGTAATCAGTGCTGTCTTGCCGACGAGGCAGGTGTTGGAACGACACACTCCGTTTGTCAACTTGAAAATTATCTTCACGGCGAGAAGAATCGCCAGCACGTAGCCGAAGATAACGTACAGCATGATGACGACTTATCGGTTAGACTTATCGGATTGATCGTCGTAGACGTCGGCGGACGGTTTTATAACACGCGCGCGTTGGGACTTATCTCCGTGCGTGCTCTAATCGCGCACTTGTGCGCCGCGCCGTGGTCTCTCAAGGCTCATCCTCTTCGACTCCGAAGGTCGAGCAGACTGTTTGTTTTGGTGCAATTAAGAAAATGTTAAGTACCCGCGCTTTGGATCGCTGCGGGCGTGTGATAGATAAGTGTGCGCTTAAGATTATTAGGTCACCAAAGTGCATTTGGTTGATGTAATACGATCATCAAAATATTGGCACGAAACGAACAATGCCTAAATTGATAGAAAGCATAACATTCATCATCTAGTGAAACGTTTCAAGAAACATAAAACGTTAAATTTTATGGCAAAATGCCGTTTTAACGTTTGAAAGTTAATTATTTATATTAGTCACAGATTGTGACTGTTGTGTCTTAATAAGTTTTTGACCATTTCTACATTCCTAAACTCTCTAATTTGTTGTAACAGAAAAATATTCAACGTCAAATCATATATGTTTATGTTTAATAAAATGATAATAAAATAAACAATATTCACTGTATTAGTTATAAATCATGCAAATACAAATTTCAATCTGTCAGCTCACTCGGTTGATTTAGCGATTAAATCCAGTATATTTGTGTGATTTGACAGATTATGATAAATTTATTTACTTTTCACAGCCATCTATTTACTAGCAAAATTTACTGAAATACATTTTACATGGCCCTGTTTTTTTTTTTTTTTGATTAATTTTGTTGATATTTTAATTCTGTCAAATTAATTGTGTACATAATTTTCGGGCACCTAATTTATCATTTAGACGCTTTGAAATTTTGCTAATATTAATTAGAATTAGACTGGAAATGCCCTCGAAAAGAGCGTTGTTTCTGTACATAAGTGTAATGGAAGCAATAGCTTGTTTAGAACTACGTGATGTACACGCAACTCCGAGCAAAATTCACCTGATGGTCGAGCGTGAGTTGAACAAAAGGTGTAGATATATGCCACACAATCTGAAATTACGCGTGTATAAAGCCCTCAAGTATGGTATCCAGCGTGGCGTGCTGGAAAAATCATCTGAAGGTGTGCGCATGACGGTGGGAGCGCTTTCCTTACAACGAGTCAATCGGAAAAGAAGCAGTTACAAAATGGAAAAACAGGACAATGAATCTATCGATAATCGGAAATTTAAAACTTCAATAACGATAATAGAAAGAGAAGGATCCTCGAGCATTACTCCTGTCAGGCCGAAATACGTTAATATTGGTTCGTATAAATTAAATAAATTACTAAACACCAAAGTTATTTTTTGTATACTATTTAGATAGCAGCGGCGAAACGGCTTCAGTTGTTATAGAAACCCGCAGAATACGACGCTCTACCCGTGGGAAGAAAAGAAAATTTTAAACTCAAGAAAGGAATCAACATTTGGATTTCATAATGGAAATGTCAACACTAAAATAAATGTATTCAATAAATTACAAATTAAATAACTCATTCACACCTACAAAAAACTAGTTTGCTTCATCGCAAATACAAATTCAAACATAGGAAATCTAGGAGATGTTCTTCAGGAGGCCATCAATATCCTCTTCGTTGTAGAACACCATAAACTTCTCCTTGCGTAGACCTTCAAAGACGGCACACACACTCGGCTTGAGATTATAGAACAGCAGCGGTTGCTTACGGGTGGCGAAATCAGTCGTTAAGGTGCCGACCACGCTCGCCGCCGTGTAATCCGCGCCGTAAATGTGGGAACAGTCGATCACCACCGGGGTACCCGCTCGAATGGAGTGCTTGGTAACCAGGTTACGTACGTAGTCAGCTGCTGGGAAGATGAGGCATCTGTCAGGGTCACCATCAAGTATTCGGTACCATTTGCTGTCTGGAGGGGTAATGAGTGTTTAATAGAAGCAGAATCTATACCATGTCATTAGTGGGGTAGTAAAGTACTTACCAGCAATGTTTCAATTGATATCTTTGGCCTGGCGGCGTGGTACAAAATAAAAGCAGATTCACTCCAATGCCGATGAGAATACCTATCTCGAGTGCAATCACAAGACAGGCAATGAATGTGGTGAGACCTGGTATTAGGTCGCTACGTTTACTCCTCCACATTGGTTTGACAATCTTTACCTCTACCATAAACACGACAGCGGCAATAATAATTGCAGCTAAAGCTGCCTTTGGAATGAAGTAGAAGTAAGGTGTGAAGTATAACAAAGCAACAATGACCAGCACACCAGTATAGAGTCCTCCCAGTGGAGTTTTGGCTCCACTGGCGTTATTCACAGCACCTCGAGATAATGCTCCTGTTATGGGAAAGGCTTGAACAAAGGAGTTACCAATGTTGGACACACCAATTGCAAGTAACTCTTGAGTGGCGTCTACTGCAGAACCATCTGAGAAAGCTTTGCAGATAGCAATGTCTTCTAGCAAGGCCACCAATGGGACCACTATTAATCCACTACCCAGATTTGTCACCATGTCGATGAAAGTGTAATCACCATGACTAAAGGGAGGAACCTGTACATCTGGTAGACCTGGCGGTACATCTCCAATGACAACAAATGGAATAACTCCATCCTCAGAGTTCTCTTGGAAGAGATATCCGATGAAGCCACCCACTACAACTAGAATAGCATTTCGAGAGGTGCCGATTAACCAAAATAGTTTGGTGAGTATTTTCTGGTTTTAGTGGGTTCCTTGCCTCCAAGTTGCACTCGAGCCAAGAGCTACAAAAAAACACACAATTTAGTCCTACGTACAAGTAAACCCTCGAACGGGTCCAACTTACCCTCATCAATAGTAAAACTACAATACAGATCAATCCCAAAATCAGGTCGTTGGTTTTGTATTGTGTATATTACTACCGATACTTTTCCACATGTCAATAAAAGAACTGCCGCTGGCTTTGATTCCCAAAACATCCTTCACCTGGGAGGTGACGATGATCAGTGCCACAGCTGATGTAAATCCTGATGACACTGGCCCGGACACAAAATCAATTATAAAACCTAAGCCGAATAATCCCATGAGGATTTCAGCTACGCCACTGAGGAAACTCAGTAGGATAGCGTGTTCAGGGCCAAGATTGTTGACCGCTTGGTAAGTGAGTAAGGATGCGATGGCACTTGGGCCCATTGGTACATCTTTGCAACTACCCAGGAAGATGTAAATAAACGTGCCCAAAATGAACCGTATAATCCATACTGGGGTGGTAGTCCAGCAATATTTGCATATGCCAAAGATTGAGGTATGACGGTGAGTCCACAGGTGATGCCCGCAACCAAGTCTCCAACTGCGCATTCAGTGTTGTATTTTGGAAGCCATGTTAGAATCGGCAACCGTTTGTATAGGGTTTTCTTTGAGAAGATTTTGCGAAGACGCGATGATGATTGCTTTCTATAGTCTTCATCTTCATCGGTGACTACTAGAAGTAATTAAAACAGTTTCTTAGTTTCTATTATTCTAAGTATAAATTTGATAAACAATTGTTATCATTTTATCTATTTTTGTTATTGTTTTCCTTAGACGGCAGGCATTATATCAGTTATCATGCATAAAACTTTTAATAAAACATTGCATTGGAATGAGAATGAAACAAAACATACATTTGAAAATAAAAACACCATTTGCACAATAATCATAAACATAATCCTTTAAATGTATACATCTATTATACGCGACTGTTATTAAATGATAAAAATTTTATTGGTGTTACATGAGACTTTTAAAATTCCATACAATTTTTCAAATGCATGGAAAGTTCTGCGTATGCAAAACAAAAAATGTGAATATTCAGTAGTAGGAATTATCTGTTCCGCGTTTTGTATTAACAAATTAAAAATAATACACGTGGTACGATGGAAAAGCACGTTTCGGTTTTTTTAACATAATCATTAAACAATGGTATTGATAGCACACAAACTGCGAAGTATCTAAACCTTTGCTGATTTAATATGTCTGCCCTGTTTTTTTGTTTAAGTTATTCAATTTCGATTTGATTGTGTCTCACGTGCTGTTGACTAACAAAGGAGCATTCTATTGATTTAAGATAAGGGCACTGATTATTTAATTGTAAGCGATTATGACATGGAAAAGAAAATTCTGCGAAAAATAGCGCGCGCACATATTATTGAATTTCTTATGTTCGAATTAATCTTAATTACCGGTTAAGTACATTTAAATACATCATTAAAATCAAGTTTTTATGGATAATATTTTTATTGTCTACCCAAAAACGTGTTTTAATGATGTGTGAAGAAACTCATTTGTGTTATTTAAAACATGCCGCTACGCTTTGTGTGATATTAAATATTTGATGTTTTTTGTTGAAGAAACGAAATATTTTAAGAAAAAAATGAGTAAACTTACAAATAAAATCGTTGCTTCCTTTCAGCGTTGATTCATTGGAAAAACTAGTAGCGGAGACGGCAAGAGCTGGATTTGTGTAGGAGACACCTAAGGACACGCCGCCACCGCCTCCTACACCTTGCAAATCACGATCATCTTTTGCTTCTGGACTAAATAATCAAATTTTATGTTATATAAAAACAGTTGTTTTGGTTCTAAAAGTTTAGTATGCTTACATTCCGTTTTTGTCGGTGGTCATCGTAAATCCAACTTTTGTTACTACAAACTTTTAAAACTTTTCCAACACTAGTTGTTTTATACTCCGATTTGGCTGTAGTTGGTATGCTCGTTAGCGTTGCGAGTCACAAATGTATGTGAAATGTGTGGTGGTGTATTTGAGGGGTAGGGCGCGAATTTGGGCCGTCGAGATTCGGAAGTGCGGCGCGAACTGATTGCAATCTGAGCACTGAGCGCGCTTAAGTACCGCCGAGACGCGAGACGCTCCGTTCGGCGCATGAGTAACGCACTCAGCCGCTTGCAAACTTACTCAAACTTCAAATACTCGTATAATCAAAAGAAAGAAAACTTTGGCCAGGTTTCGCCCGATTCAGCCAACGGCAACACAAGCATCACTATATAATTTAAACTATTTTATTCATTCATCATCAACACCAAAAAAAACAACAAAAATCCAAAGAATTTCAATCATTACACAGTTTACATCCTAATGTATATGTTTAGAAACAAAACTAAGCATAATTTATCGCCAAAATCTACGTCAGACAAAAATCTTACGGACGCAACTTGGTGGATTTGAAATTAAAAGTTCCCTGTACAACGAAAATGATCATCATTAATCTGACATGATACAACTTTCCGAGAGCCATACAAAAGCACGTGACGAGATGTAGTTAGACGGCACGTGATTGTGAAGAACGTTGTAAACGTCGCGTAGAAAAAGTGATTAACGATCAATTCCCACCAATAAATTTGCGCGGCCACTGGTTTTTGTTATGCAGACGAATTTGAAAAATTTGAGGCGCACATGTGCAAAGTGCGTGTCGGGCGGCGATTACCTCGCTTATTACCACAGATTATCGATAGTCCATGATATTTTCGACTGTACAGATCTGTAGATAACAAGATCAATATCGGCATTCATTGATTCGAGTAGTAGAATGATTTGTATAGTATATGGGTTCGAGAGGCTTCCTGTCTGAGCACGTTTCGGGTCGGATGACAATGAAATGCAACTAATTGGGTCAATTCGGTGTACACACTTATGGAAAACTGGATTTGACTAGTTGGGTTCAAAGTTTAGGAATGTTTACTTCGGTGTGCAGGTAGTGAGACAGGTTACGGACGTGAGTAAAGAGAAAGACATCGTTTAGTAATCAGTACATTGTCTACTGCTATGTTCGACGCGTGTATCACAACTCAAAGCATAGTCCCAGTATAAACTGAGTAAGAATCACATTTGATTCGTATCGAATCAAATCTAGAGGCAAATGAAATAAACCGGAAGTATAACTAAATCAAATTGTGTGTGTGTACGTGTGTGTTTCTGGCTGGACGGAATATATCTCCTGGAATGTGAATCTGCTATCTCCTCCCCGGTTACGCACGAATAAAAATGAATACGTAGATAAGTTCATATTTTTCAGTTGAATGTGTCCAAGGTATTTAACAATGCGTGATGGGAATCAAATAAAGATAACAAAGAATACACAATATCACAAATAAAACAACTTCGTGAAATTGTCGTGAGCAGACAAACAATGAGTCATTAACCAGTAATAAATTAAACTCTGCGGTTATTTGAATAAAAATGCAAAAATATATCAAAATAATAGTAAAAAACGTTAAAACATAATTTTTCTACTTTGTAATTTTTAGGAATAATTTTATTATCTTATCGTGTTTAAACAAGAAATTATCTAATTAAGAATAAACACGGATTTTCGCGCCTGAAAATTGCGACTTTTGACATATTTGCACAAATTAATTCGCGCATTTCGCCGACGTCGCAAACAACGTTTACTATGATTTACGATAATGCTGTTTGTCATTGTCATTTGTGCGTCTCTTAGCGTTAACTTACTCAAATATTTCGATTAATCACGTAGGCAGCGAAGAGTTCGAGCAGTTTTATTGGCGCAAATTACAAAAATTAAGCGCAAATTCATTGAATCCTAAGTCCATCATTATCAACAAATAGTTTGTTTTTGATAGCACAATACATAATTGCTCAAATTATCTGATTATCGTATAAAAACCAACACAATATGGGATTTACAATTATAGTAAATTATCGATTAAGTTTTACAACTACAAAGTCAGCGTGGCAGCGCGCAAAAAAACCGTAACAATAGTCGAACAGGTTTGAGTGCACACACGTGATTTTGATGATTTCGTCATCCTTCCAAATGAAATGTACTGAAAATAAAAAGCATTGTATGAGACGTGGGACAGTTGCTCATTAATTGCCCGCCATGGCAGTGCAAAACGCAGCTTGTTCGGATCGGCACGTTCCGCACATCGCATGCAAATTCCGCCGAAACAGATTTCGGCCGGCAATGAATTTCAATTCGCGATGCGGCCGTGACTACCATCAAATTTTTCTCGGATGCGACGGCCTTGAACTTAATCTCGTCTTATTTATTTCCCCGTCCGCGCGGTGGAAAGTGTGAGGAAACGACACGGAATTATGACGAGCGTTGGATTAATGTAAGCTCATAAGCATGTAAGCTCATGTAAAGTTTTGCCGATACAATTTGCACACATTTTGCGCCAAACAAAAACATTTATTATGCTTGTTGAGCAGTATAATTCATGGCTATTGTCACGGACAACAAAAATGTCCTTTTGGTGTACTTCACAACGAATTTGAATAAAATCGAGCAAAAAAAAAATGAGTGCAGAATAAAACTCGGAACTGAAATGCCAGAATTAATCTAGCAAGCATTTACACAAATTAATATTCATCGACTTGCGACTTGTTAATACGACGCGCTTTTATTAACAATTGTTCATAAATGATTTCGCAGCATTGCGAGGCGATTGCGCGCGGCCATCTAACTGCGCTTGCGGCTGTGACCAGTGGCAATAAATAAGCATTCATTTAAATGCGCGCGCCAGTGTTTAACAACTTTACTGGCACATTCACATTCACATGCTGCCGGAGACGAAAAATCCCGTGACGCGTCTCGATTAATTCGAGTCACGAGGTGTTCGCAGATTGCTGGTGCGGCGCGGTGCGGCGAGCAAGACGAGTGGCACTTCAATGCTGGCTGGAAACTTGACAAACACCACATGTTATGAGCCGCTGACGAGGCTCGGCAAGCATAACAATTTGTTTGCCCTATACACTGCGACACGCATTTCTGCTTTCCTCTCGCTCATAACACGCCGCAGCAGCAGGAATTAATTTGTTATTGACAACTGTTTCGAGGAAGTGTCGATCAATTAGACACGGTGCGGGATTAATTATAACAGCGTTAACTGACTCTAAGTGATTCTAGATGATCATCATCAACATTGTTTACATGTTTATTTATATTTGTGGTCAATGTGTAACTAGACATGCTCCAAATAAACATACGAAATGTGTTTACTGCCGTTGAATGTCAACAATTGACTTTCACTCGATTTGTAAACAGCGTAGCCATGTTGGTTTCAAGATGGTGTTCATTTCCTGAAAATTTATATCAATTTAGCAAGTGCGACGCGTTCACAAACAATGCTGAACTTTGTCTGGTTACCACATGCAGTCATAAATTTTACGCAAGATTCACTGTTTATTCACACAATAAACCTAACAAAAATCGTCAACTAACGCTAATAAAAATGTCAAAATTTGACAAGTGTGATTACGTATACGTAGAATTTCGAATTTACGCTAGCATAATTCAGGAAGTTTGTCGTTTTTCAATCCTAGCCACCAACCACCTAAAGAATGAAGAGAAAATTGTGCTTTATCCAATTTCATAGGGATATTTGTCTTCTCAACGGGGACCAGTTGGAACTTTTGGAGTAATTTGACAATGATGGCTTTGTTTTCCATCAGAACAAACCTTGATCCTGTGAAAATAATTAAAATTAATGACTGTCTCTGTTTTGTTTTGTGAACATACCAATACAGTTGCGGGGACCTAACCCAAACGGCAAGAAAGCTTTCATTGATGCATTTTGTTCTCTTCGTTGAAACGCTCCGGATCAAACCTTTCCGGTTCGGGGAAATATTCCGGATCGTGATGAATCGCGTAAATCGGGAACCAGACGCTGTCGTTTTCGTCCAATTGAACACCTACCTCATCAGAACGTTCCGGGGTTATCATATAATGCGGTTTGGTTACCAATCTGTCCGTCATTGGCGTTGGCGGCCACTTTCGCAATGTTTCTATTGATAAAAACGATTCGTATTAAAATCAGTTTCTTTGGTTTTAAAAGGCGAAAACCTACCAGTTACTACCATGTCTAGATATTTCATCCCCATGAGAGAATCGTAGGTTATTTTCCCGCCATTTTCTTTAAGTGTATCGTCAACTTCCCGTTTGAGTCGTTCTTGTACATCCGGATTACATGCCAATTCATAAGCCACAAAACTCATAAGAATCGCCGCTGACTCAAAACCAGCAAAGAAGAAAATCAACGCTTGGGCAGTCACGTCCTCGTTGGTCATCACGTCCCTACCCAATTTATCACGCAGTTCCATCATTAACTGTATCATATCTGGACGGACAATTTTTGTTCTTCACGAATACGCATTGTTTCACTTATGATTCCCCTGAAGAAATTACCAACTTCATCGTTGATGATTTTCATATTGAAAGCCTGGGAAAACGTTAAAATGTAACTAAGTATCAATTTATTGAAGAAATAAATTGACCTACCTTCACAATCGATGGACAAAACGGAAACAAAAAGAATTTCAATCCTTTGAGGCCCGTTTGATCAGTAGCTGCGCGACCAGCCATGAAGAAATCATTCGTGCGGTCACGCAAAGAATCGCATTGCACCCCAAACGCGCAAGTGGCAATCACATCATTGGTAAACCGCGTGAATGCATCTTTGATATCCAAGGTGTGCACATCTTCACCGGCGGTTTTATCAAGAAAATATTGCACGTACGAATCTGCACAATCAGATATCAATCCAATCATGCTCTTCATTTTGTTCGCAGTAAATGATGGACTCAGCGCAGTTCGCAAGTGCCGCCATTTTTCACCTTTACTGGACAATAAGTTACGACTCCATAGTGGATCGATGTCTTCACTTGAAAGCGCCAGATGATCAACAAGTGAATCGGAATCTTTGATGGCGATTTGTTTGATTAACTCCAGGTCCCGAATGAGTAAAATCGGTCTCGTAAATTGGTGAATACCCACATATCTAAATTAACATACCGGTCCCATTTGCATGTTTGAAGGTCAAACATTTAATTTCGTTTCTATTACCTGTGTTCTTTGAATTGATGGTATACTCTCGACATAAACTCGGCGACATTCTCCTTCTGCATGATGATGTCCTTCATGCTCCCGAAGAGTAATGTCGGTTCTACATAGGCACACATTTGACCCGCCAGTGTTTGTTTGGTTTCAGCAGGAATAAATACAACGTCGCCGACACGATCAACGCAATTAGTATTAGAAGCATTGTTGTTTATACGCGCACATGTACTGTACAATGAATGAATCTCGCGTTTTTATAAAAATACGCATTAAATAATTGATGACTATGTAGTAGGTATTACTATCTAATCTTATTGACAAAACATGACTTGCACTGGTTAAATTTGTGAAGTGCGTGAATGTTCACTCTCCACGGAATGTTTTCGACTGATTTGTTGTTCGGGCGTATTTAAGTGCAATAGAATATGATGTAATATTGTGTGGGCCAATAGGTATGTTATAATAAACGTAACGATACACCAGTTTGACCTAGGATATGTCGTGATTACCAATTATACCCACTCCATTTTAAGCTATGGATTATTTCTCACTTTATGATTCGTCAAGAATGCTAATTACAAAATGTTGTCATCATTTAAATTAACTAATTATCTCGTTATTCAGTTAATATTTGTTTCTTTTGTTGTTTTATTGGGGTACCGTAAAGCTAATGGTACCATTTTACAGGAAAAATGCTAACTTTCGTTAGGCAACTTGATGCACGCTAGAAATTCAAAACCATGTGAAAACCTGTGTTAACCTCTCAACATGTTCAAAATAAACCATCGCTTTCTGAATATTTTAGTGAATAACGTGAAAATACATCGTTACAAGCATAAAGAAAATCATTGGGTAATGAAACAACTCTTTCTTTATCAATTAAATACACGATTAAATCAAATTATTCGTTCATTTAGTCTGTACAGAAGAAAAACAAAACTGGAACCACTCGAGCCTTAGAACATTTTGATGAATACTACACTCCAGTGTACAAAAGAAATGGCCAGAAATCAGGAAAGCTCTCCTTGGCAAGCAGAAACATGTTGCAGTACTCAACAATTATTCAGACACAGAACCAACAATAAAATTCTTGCTGGCCAAAGGTGCACTCAACATGAGAACACTTTTGATCTTGAAAAAGGTCACTTACAAGATGAATATACCAAAAATAAACGCCAACGTGACCTACAACGAATTTGGGAATCAGAGAAGGAAGAAACAACCAATCCAGATATTAAATCTGTAGAAAAACAAGAAAAAGTAGTTTTTCATTAAGTCACAGTCTTGACAATGCCCAGATAGACTCTTCTAGAATTATAGATGGCCATAACTCAACTTCTATTCTGTATGAGTTTGTGCCAGCTACCAAAATCAAAGGCAGAGAGCATTTCATTCCTGAAAATGAGGGTACAAACATTTATCAGGATAGTAACCAAATAGAAAACTTCATGGCAGTTGAAGAGGATACAATCAGTTTCCCGGAACATTTGAATATTTTTGTTTTGAAGAAGCGAACGGCACTATTTTCGCGAATCCACGACGAGGTTCCACACAAGTCCTTAACTATTACCTGATGGACGGTGCGTCAGTACTACCTGTATTGGCGTTAGACCTTCAACCAGGCAGTAGAATGCTAGATATTTGCTCTGCGCCTGGCGGAAAGAGTTTAATCGCGCTACAAACGCTCTATCCGGACTTCCTCCGGTGTAATGATCTGAGCATTTCGCGTACGAACCGCATCTTTACGGTAATGAAGCAATACTTGTACGATTTTCAAGAGCGATGGTTAGATCCAGGGAAGATCGTTGTAAGTCACGAAGATGGTAGATATCTTCAAGGCGCGGGGTTTGATAGAGTATTAGTGGATGTACCATGCACAACAGACAGACATTCGGTCCGTGAGGATGATAATAACATTTTTCGGGCGGATAGAGTCAAGGAAAGGCTACAATTGCCTGAATTACAGACTGCGTTGTTAATGAATGCCCTGCGAGTGGTGGAAGTCGGTGGGGTTGTAGTTTATTCCACCTGTTCATTGAGCCCGATTCAAAATGAAGGTGTAGTGCACATGGCACTAAAGAAACTCTGGGAAGAAACTGATGTTAGGGTCAAAATAAAGTAAGTTAACCAAAAAGGCAAAAAGCGGATTGAATTGATTTGAATTTATCTTTCTTTAGGGATTTAGGACGTTCGTTAGCTCAATTCCGACATGTTTTCCACTTTTCCAGCCCAAAGATAACAAAGTACGGTCATCTTGTCGTACCTAATGTGTCACAGAATTATGGCCCCATGTATTTTTGTAAATTTCAACGAATAAAGTGATTTTTTGTTTGTTTTTAATCACGTGCATGAAATATTATCGATAATATTGTCAAAATAAATGCATTAATTAGTTAAGCATGCATGAGAAATGACTGTCTTTTGTTCACATTGTGCTTTTTTTTTTAATTGTTGAGTTTGCGTGCGGTTAAATACTTACATAAAAGCGGTTTGCTAACAATTGAGAGTAAAACACGCGAAACAAATCGAAATAACCTCGAGCAAAGCTCTATCTTATTATCTGATTATCTAGCGGATTATTATTCGCGTCAGTTTTTGTAAAAAAAAAAACAGAAAATCGCAAATGGCGAATTACTGCATGAAATTAAATACGATTTAAACAAAAACAAATGACTATTCCGAAGGAAATTTGACTACCTATGATAGTGTACTTCGTATTAGTTGTGTTTAGATCAGATGATTAAGAATTCGCGACCAAACACAAACAGCACACATCGTTAGGTAATGAATTCATGTTGATAACCCCAAGTATAGCGGAGGCGCGCGTCGCACACACAGCAACACGGTGCTCACCGTCCGTGTACGCGAGTGTGCGCGCCGCGGTGTATTTTTTCGTTGCCAGCCAGTACAGCGCAAACCTGAGCGCCCGAAACAACGTGCCGCACCAGCAAATCCACTCGAATCGAATAACAGCGCACAGGAGGGCCACAAGGGCTTTCGCACCATGAGCACAATCTTGAAATTTTCGCAGGCGTCGGCGCTGGTCGGCTCGAAGGTGAGTACTTACAGTACTAACCCTAATTTCCACACTAGACCATTTCGCATTACATAATACGTGTTGCGTGTGTGCACAGATTGGCCTGTGTCGCGCTGCCGGCAGCCGTGCTCTTCACGTTTCGGCGGACCGTCGCAGCAATAAGGACTCCACGTATGGTGTCGTTGACCATACATATGATGCGGTCGTGGTGGGCGCCGGCGGCGCAGGTCTACGTGCTGCTTTCGGGCTCGTCGCTGAAGGCTTCAAAACCGCGGTTATCACGAAGTTGTTTCCAACTAGGTCGCATACTGTTGCCGCACAGGGTGGTATCAATGCCGCTGTTGGTAAGTTCACCGTATATTCTTTATTTACTCTTATTTAAAACAACAACCATCATTGCAGGAAGTATGGAAGCGGATAATTGGCAATGGCACATGTACGATACGGTCAAGGGTTCCGATTGGTTGGGTGACCAGGATGCCATTCACTATATGACCCGTGAAGCTGTCAAGGCTGTGATTGAGTTGGAGAACTACGGTATGCCCTTCTCCCGCACACCAGAAGGAAAGATTTACCAGCGTGCGTTCGGTGGTCAATCGTTGAAATATGGTAAAGGCGGTCAAGCGCATCGTACCTGCTGCGTTGCTGATCGGACTGGTCACAGTCTCCTACACACCCTCTATGGTCAATCGTTAAGATACGACTGCAACTATTTCGTAGAATATTTCGCGTTGGATTTACTAATGGAAGATGGAGAATGCCGAGGTGTGATTGCGCTTTGCCTCGAAGACGGAACCATTCATAGGTTCCGAGCGAAGAACACCGTGCTTGCAACTGGTGGGTATGGCAGGGCATATTTCTCTTGTACTTCTGCGCACACTTGCACCGGTGATGGTTCTGCGATGGTTACCCGCGCTGGTCTTCAAAATGAAGATCTCGAGTTTGTACAGTTCCATCCGACTGGTATTTACACCGCTGGATGTTTGATTACTGAAGGTTGTCGCGGTGAGGGTGGTTACCTTGTAAATTCCAAGGGTGAACGTTTCATGGAGCGTTATGCTCCAGTTGCGAAAGATTTAGCTTCCCGGGATGTCGTTTCGAGGAGTATGACGATTGAAATCCGCGAAGGACGTGGTTGTGGCCCCGATAAAGACCACGTTCATTTACAACTGCATCACTTGCCCGCTGAGCAACTTCATCAGCGTTTGCCAGGTATTTCCGAGACAGCGATGATCTTTGCTGGCGTGGATGTTACCAGAGAGCCGATTCCGGTGTTACCAACTGTGCATTACAACATGGGAGGAGTTCCTACTAACTACAGGGGTCAGGTACTGCGTAATACTGATGGTACTGATCAAATCGTTCGTGGCTTGTACGCTGCGGGTGAGGCGTCTTGTTCCAGCGTGCATGGTGCCAATCGACTTGGCGCTAACTCCTGCTTGATTTGGTCGTTTTCGGGCGAGCATGTGCTAAGACCATTGCGGAAACATCGAAACCAGGAGATAAAATCGGTGAATTGTCCAAGGTAAACAAAAATTTATTTAAAAAACTTGCTTTACTAACTTCCAAAACAATTTTAGAATGCCGGTGAGAAAACCATTGCGAACGTTGACCGTTTACGCTATGCCAATGGTTCGGTACCAACCGCCAATCTTCGCCTGCGTATGCAAAAGTCAATGCAAACGAACGCGGCCGTTTTCCGCACGGCCGAAACCCTCCAGGAGGGCTGCAGGCAAATGAAAGAGCTCTACAAAGAGTTGGATGATCTAAAGGTGAGCGATCGCTCGCTAGTCTGGAACTCCGACTTGGTCGAGAGTCTTGAACTGCAGAACTTGATGCTCTGCGCGATGCAGACGGTAATCGGCGCCGAAAACCGTAAAGAATCACGCGGTGCGCACGCCCGTGAAGATTTCAAAACGAGGCTGGATGAATTCGACTACAGCAAGCCTTTGGAAGGCCAGCAGCGTGTCGATTACGACAAACACTGGCGCAAGCATACGCTCACCACCATGGACGAAAAGACCGGTGCCGTCGACATCAAGTACCGGCCCGTCATTGACGAAACGCTCGACCAGAAGGAGTGCGCCACCGTGCCGCCAACGATCCGATCATACTAGGCTCTTACAGCTAAAATGTACTTAATTAATTTACATTTACACTTACACAACATACATACACACACTCACGCCACAGTATGATTGCCATTTAACGTGTCAAGTTATTTATTCTCGAGCGACGTAATTATTTATTGTTTAGTTTCAATGCGGTGCTGCCTGCTGTGCCGGAAAGTATTACGATCGATTTAGGCGAACACTTATCCTGCGGTGAGGGGGGGAGGGCGAACGGTGTTGTTATATAAAAATATACAATTTTCATTCGAGCTGTTGTTGGGTGATCGAAAATATATTTAACCGATATACAAGACAACAATTCTTGTGTTAAACGTGATAGAATTTTATGTTACTGGATTACTTAGATTGTAGTGCGTTCGCGCACTTGGTCCATTTCACCATCGCCGCGATCTGTGGGCGCTGCGTCGATTATTTCAACTAAAGGTTCGATTGTCAGATAGTTTATATCCCCATATGGCAGGTTCGATAAATCATAGTTGTCTCCGACTGCGTCATTTACTAAAACATTGAAAATATGAGGCTTACCGTTTAATATTCAAGATGACGACATCTTACCATCTTTTCTTTCTCTTCTTTACGGGGCCTGCCGCGAAATCGTTTGATTTTCATAGGGTTAATATCCACCTGGGCTTTGGTCTTTTCGGTCGGCCGCGTCCCCGTTTCTCTTCGATCAGATTGTCTAAAGTGATGTGGTCGTCCATTATGACGTCCTCACCTTCCGGTTCGTCATAATCAGCGTCTAGATGGAAGCGGACGCGTGGTTTCGACACGCTGTGATCATTTTCGGCGCTTGTGCCTTCCTCGCATAATTGTTGCTTGCAGTGGTTTGTACGGATGTGTAGCTTTAGTTTGTCCTGCCGGGCGAAATCTTTGCCGCATTGCGCGCAGTTGAAGGGACGCTCGCCGGTGTGCACACGACGATGTCGTATCAAATGCGACGCACGGGAAAAACTACACGTATTGATTAATAATATGTTGCATTGGTGTCAACTGCGACAACTTACAGTTTATCACAAAAATCACATGAAAAGTTTTTATCCTGATGGATTTTCTTGTGTTTTTGAAGATCTTTACGCGCTTTAAAGCTTCGTTTGCATATGTCACACTCGAAGAGTTTGCCGGTTTTGTCCTGTATCGACTCTGCATCGTTCTGCAATGTATTTGGTTTGGTTTTGATTAGATTCGAAAGTACTACAAGGTTGGGAATGTTAATTTGTTGATAAGTACCTCGGAATGTTCGTCCAAATCGATGCACTTAGGTTCTGATATGTTTTTGGTTTTGTCTACCTTTCTACCGTCTGCAAACCGAAATAGACATGCGATAAGAAAGTGCTGATAAGAATGATTGATGAAATTTGTTTGCTTACTTGCTATGAGTACCATTGATTAGGCGTTTCTTCCTTGATGACAGATTTCAACTGCAATCGGAAATGAATGCGTTAGTGTCGCGGCCATGAACTTCCGCTATGCGCGTGCGTACCTGTTGCGTGTGCTTCGGTGTATTTACAGTTGATTGTTGTTCTGGCACAGGCCGGAAATCATCGAATCCTTTACCTCAAGGTCCGAAGCGAGGCGACGGATGATTTGCGTGCGTCCGCCGGGGACGGTCACCCGTCCCCGATACATGAACTCAAGCAGGCGCGCCATGTCATCTCGCAGCACTGTGGGCAACACTACGGTTGGATGTTTGCAAGGGTTCTCCACGAATATGGCCTTGAAGTAGGGGCTACACGCGGAGAGGACCAAACGGTGCGCCCGCAGGAAACCGCCGCGGCACGCGAGTGTGACGTCCATTAACGCATTCTCGGCGTACAAACCGGCGAACAGCTCGCTGAGGTTCGCCAGGTGGTTGGGCCACACGTGCTCCAGCTCGCCGCAGAGCATCCTCGGGGTGGCGCGCGCACTGGTAGACTGTGGCGATCACGAGTTTGACGAAAAAGGGGCTGGTTGGCGAGCGCCCCTGCGGCGCAACGCGCGAGGGCGCCGGGTATCGATTTTGACGGCGGGACGGCCCCTGCTAGCGGACGGACCCCAGCGCGTTACGTTACTTCTTCCCCTAGTTGGGTGCCTAGCAACCCGTGCGCGGCGTACCCCCTTGCGATGAAAAATGTAATGCGGCGCGCGATTGAGACTCAAAACGGAAATTTTTACAATTTTTAAATAACCTAGCGGAATAACTGTTATCTATGTGTACACTCGTTAGAAAACTATGTGAATGTATGAATTTACAAGCAATGTACTTTAATTTGTTTGTTTTGCCGTAATTCTGATGGGAACGAAACGAGAATTTTCAGACTGATATTTAAATTAATGACAGATCATTTCGCTCAGCGCCTACTAATAAACAAATTTGACGAAACTGTTTTGTTCATCAGCCTACTTAGAAAAAGTACCCTCTCTGTCATTTCAATATCAATTGAATTAAAAAAATGTTTTTGCTTTCCGAGCGTAGATTAAAGGTTTTTCCATGTACCTATCAAAAACACGTAGGTAGTACTCAGTAGAATCACCCCAAATGATAAATACTAAAACTGGAACCCGTACCCAGCTGTGTTCCTGTGTCCACGAAGCATATAAAAGTGACGATCGGCTGCACTTCGCGCACAATCACAACCGCGCCGTAGTGCACGACACGCGCGCATAGAATCCAGGCCGATCGATCAACCCACGCGCATCTACCGCCACCATTTAGTTACGCCGCCAACTTGCGCTGCCCTTGGGGAGCACTCTGCCGCCATGGAGGTTCACGTCAACAGCGAGGACGTCGTCTACGACGATGATCATATCACCGCCAAATATATCTATCGCACTACAACGGTCACCAAGACGTTGAACAACGAGGACCAACCGCAGATTACTGTAAGTGCTTCTATTGCGTTCTCAATCAATTATTGCAAACAGAAATATTAACAAAGTCATTAAACGGTCAATTTAAAGTGTTTCATGCAAGAAAATATTCATTTTAAGTAAATTCAGTGTGTGTTGTTTGTCTATTGAGATAATTTGCGACCTTGGTGCTATCCGAACAGGGTTGGGACCAGTTGCAATAATCAATATTGTTTATTCAAACAAGTTTGCAATGTAAACAAACCGAAATTTGAGTAGGTACATATTGCGCATTTTACAGGTAACACCGGAAAATGTCGAATTATCGATTCGAACCGAGCGTAAAGTACCAAAATTGGGTATTATGTTGGTTGGATGGGGCGGGAACAATGGTAGCACCTTAACGGCTGCTCTTTTGGCTAACCGCAATCAATTGCAATGGGATACAAAGAAGGGTACTCAAACGGCAAACTGGTAACCTCCAAAAATCAATTGTTTTACACAAATATTGACATTATGCAATAACTTCAGGTACGGTTCCATAACCCAATCATCGACGATCCGCCTTGGGTCAGATGAGGACGGTAAAGATGTCTACATACCGTTAAAATCAATGCTACCAATGGTGGATCCCAATGACATTGCCATCGATGGCTGGGACATTTCCAATACAAACCTCTACGCGTCCTGTAAACGCGCTGCTGTCTTAGAACCACATTTACTGAACCAACTTCAATCTGACTTGGAGCAGCTTCAGCCACGATCGTCAATCTACGACGCGGATTTCATTGCTTTGAATCAAGCCGACAGAGCGAACAATCTCATCATGGGCGATAAACTGGAGCAGGTACAAACAATCTGTAACGATATCGAGGATTTCCGGTCGAAATCCGGAGTGGATCGTGTGATTGTCCTCTGGACTGCTAATACGGAACGTTTCTGCGAAGTCATCGACGGGATTCATGACACTGCCGAACATCTGGCGGAAGCAATCGCTTCAAATCACGAGGAAATTTCTCCATCGGCCCTGTTTGCGTACGCGTCTATTTTATCCGGTTGTGCGTACATCAATGGATCACCACAGAACACATTCCTACCCGGTATTATTGATTTGGCCGAACGCCGTGGCGTATTTATAGCTGGCGATGATTTTAAATCAGGCCAGACGAAATTGAAGAGTGTTCTGGTTGATTTCCTCGTCGGAGCAGGTCTTAAACCTGTCAGTATTGTCAGTTACAATCACCTGGGGAACAACGACGGCAAGAACCTATCTTCACCGCGACAATTTCGATCCAAGGAGATAACCAAATCAAATATTGTTGACGATATGATCGAATCCAATTCGATACTCTATGGTCCCGGGAGAAACCCGATCATTGTGTGGTAATCAAATATGTACCCTATGTTGGTGATTCCAAGCGTGCCTTGGATGAATACACCTCGGAGATCATGCTTGGTGGACTCAACACCATCGTGGTTCACAATACTTGTGAAGATTCCCTTCTCGCCGCTCCTATTATACTTGACCTTCTGATATTGACCGAATTCTGCATGCGTGTGCAGTTCAAACGTGTTGACGACGCCGACTATTCAACTTTCTATCCGATTCTGTCAATTCTGAGTTATTTGTGCAAGGCACCTTTGGTCCCTAAGGATACTCCGGTTGTGAATTCGTTATTCAAGCAGCGCATGTGTATTGAGAATGTCCTGCGTGCCTGCCTTGGTTTACCGCCGGATAGTAACATGCTCCTGGAGTGTAAAGCTCTCACCCTGATGAAGACTACCTAGATTAATCAAAACCAACCCCAAGGCCAAAATAATTGGATATATTTTATGTGTAGAGCGAGTGGATTGTTGAAAAGATAGAGAAGAAATAAATATTTTGCTGGTCCTTTAATTTTTATGTGTTGTGCAACACCCTGTATGAAAATGTCCGTCATTAATTACGAATTCACGCGCCCCGAAGGTGTGTCTCGATTATCCGGCGCACCTTTTATGAAATTCCACCTGTATTTCTAGTTTCTAGTCAGTTGTAGCTGTTGTGACAAGCAGCGAATACCCTCGCATCAGAAAATGGCGACGTTCCATCCAAATCCCAATATTCAAGCAACAGAGCCATGGATTGAACACGCTGCACTTCCGGGTCATCCATTTCGGGTTTGGCACGTGGGCATGTTTTGTCTGGCGGGTTTTATTGCCGCAGGCAAGTTTATTCGTTATTTTTGCAATGGAATTTTGATTGAAATTTCATTTCTAGTCATTTTGGTGTGTTGCTGTGTCAAACTACGAATACCGCGCACGAAACAGGAAATCGAAGCGAATTACCATCGCAAGAAACTGGTTTCGAAGTTTAAGGCGAGGATCAAGCTGATTCAGAATCAGGATATGGACGAAATGGACTTGAAGAAAGGTATTTGCGTTATTGCTATTACTTATTTAATGAAGGCCTGACAATTTAGTTAATTTGTAAATATCACCGGAAACTATTTCTTTGATTTGGGTTTTCGTTCGGCGGGCTTGGAGCGGCTACTGACGGTCTCGTTACTTGCGCTGCTGCTCCCACGATTCGTTCGCAGCATGTTTTGTCTTACAGTCTCTAGAATCTCTTCCACGTTGGGTGGTCGTCGAATACGCGGCTGGGACGGTTTGGGGCTCCTGCTAGTTCGTTTCGTGGTGTTACTTTGTGGCTTGGTTACACCTTGCGGCATTTTCAAGCCTTTTTCCTTCTGGGGACGTCTCCAGAAAAGGCTCCGAATCATTCCAACGAAAGTCTGCAGCCCAAAATCGAACACGCTCGTCCGGACGCGCGGCGACATTGCTGGAGCAGGTGACAAACTCGATTCACTGCTCTGTGAGGATGCCATTGAAATTTCGGACGCTCTGGAGCCGATGGATGTGTTGGATTTGCTTGAACGTGAGGCGCAAAGTGTGCTCTCCGACTCCGCCTTACTGGATACAGTCGAAGGTTTTTACTGGTGCCATTATGGGTGTAATTTCGTGATTGAAAATTGTTAATTTCGGTATGGTCTAAAACTGAGAATTGATATTTACTGAATGACAGCTGCCTACACATTGAATTTTGTTACATGAGCGTTTTTTTGTTTGTTTTTGTTGTAGCCATGGATATCATCCAAGATGACTACCGCAATGAGAGCCGCCATATTGAATTACTTTCTGCGCATTGCAGCACGGCGGATATTGGACCAACCCGACGCGGCATAGGCAACTTATTTAGTTTAATCAAATTCGGGCGTAATATCCATCCGAACATTACACATTCTTAAACATCACGCACCGTCATTTTTCAAACAATTTTATTCATCACAACTATCAGTAAGTAGAAACCATCGCGTTCCATTTCTAGATGGTTTCTTCACAAATGCGCATTCCTAGCGTGTACGTGTCCTAGGTTAGGTAAAATTATCAACAGTAGAAAATTACATTCCGGGTGAATTATAGCATCAATACGATAATTATAAGAGGAAGCACTCATTATTTACAAATTAGTTTTAAAGGAATTGCATGCGATCATGATTGACTCTTTGCAGCACAATAATACACTAAAATTAATACTCATACTCGTACAATTATTAATAATAAAATTCGGTCTCGTGATTGTTTATCGTTATTTTTGGTGTCAAACCGCAGCTCTATGTACATGTAAAATGTAAATTGTAGAAAATCGTTGAAGGAATAAAATAGAAACAAGATGGGTGCCGCTTAATACAATTAGAAAAAAACATAGCGCTGGAAATTAGTTAAATAGTACATAGTAACCTAATTGATTTGAATGTTATTTCTTTTTCTTCTTTAAATAGTTTAGTGAAGGCGCGATAGATGAGAGCGCAATGTTGCTTGCAAGTTGTGTGCGGCGAAAAACGTCGCCGATTACATGGATCAATCTCGTCGGACGAATGTTCTCCTCTGAAAGGTAAAAATCAAACATAAACGTCTCCATCTTGAATTTGAAAACAAGAAACTCACGTTATAGTCTTCTTGTCAGTTGATTTGTTCTCTGGGCGTGCGCGGTTCAGCACTTTCAGGAACTCGGAGGTCTTGGCCCGCATCCGACTATGAATGTACGACTTAGAGCACTTAATATGATAGTGCAAGTAGTGACGGAACATGTGAATCAAATTGATGGTGTTATCGCGCGTGTTGCGCGCCGTATGCCGTGGAAATAGTACGAATGTTACATAGCCGACATTGTTGTCCACGACAGCGTCGGTGTTGGCAAGCTCACGTGGCGGTTCTCGATGGCTGAAGAGCACAGGTGGCGCTGTATGCGAAGCGCGCAGACCTTCCTTTAATTCCTGCATGAACACCTTGCCGATAATCACGTCATCTTCGTCGCGAAACCGCGTCGAGAAGACGACAGTCACCCTATCAGCTTTCGCCTCCACATATCTAAGATGTAAGATGTTGATATGAGTTATTTACTTGTTTATCAGACATTTAGATTGATTTTGACTCACAGTGTCTCATCGCAGCGATAATGAATAACCGCGCGCTTCTGTCCATCGTCTCCTGCCTCCTGAAAATCGAAATACTTCTCGAAGACGGATGCGAAGCAGTTGCGCTTGAGGAGGCCGATCTTCCGGACAGTTTCCTGCCAATTGTCGCCGATATTCTCCAAATCGACCAGCAATGTGACGTTGTAGCCGTCTTCGGGTGCGGTTAGCAGTGAACCGTATTCGCGCTTCAGCAACTCGTCGGCGCCGTGTTCCTGCAGTTCTTTGTAGAACTTAAGACTGATACTAATCTATAAGCAAACAGGGAAACAAAAGTGAGGTTAACGCCGCGCAACCCTTAATAATAAACCATCCCCAGTTTACTAACCCGAATCTTCGTCTTGTCGTTGTTCACATTCGAAATACGATAGAGGCCTCCGTCGAAGTCGGCCACAGTCACGTCGATCGAGTCGTTTTTCACCCTGCAATCGTCAGACGATTAATGAAAACAGCAAAGAAACAAATGGATATGACACATTTCGTGAGTCACTTTTGGGCAGGTTTTAACAAATGCGGACGTCGTTTTGGGCGAGTTCGAAGCGGCCAACAAACAACACGCCCAAAACGCGTACGGCTGATAAGGAGCGGGCGCCGGGGCGCCGATTTGAAGCCCCATTTTTCGGCGAACACTCACCCGGCCAGCGAGTTCTTGATCTTGACGGTGAGCGTCTCCTCCACGACGCGATTGTTGATCTCCAGCAGGATCATCTCGGACAGCACACACCCAGCTAGCACACCTATTTCAGCGCGTTATCAATCGGCGACAGCTTAGCCTACTCTTATTTAGCGGCGGTGGCGGGTGGCGAGGCCCGTGCTCTACCGTACACACAACACTCACCGCGGGAGTACAAGGACGGGCTACAATTGCGCATGCAGTCGATGTGCGCATGCGTGCTATGATGACTTGCCTACGAAGTTTTATCCATGTTATTTGGATGAATGCGGTTTTAGAATTCAATGTTTTCGTTAAAAACTAAATTAATTGAGTGGAAGTTGCTAACCAAGTAGTTGTTGGAGCTTAATTTGTTGATTGTTTAGTTAGTGATATTGTTAATTGTGGTATATACTTGAAAAATGTGATTTATGTGAGTTGCGCATGTTGAAGTTTGAAGTAGGTGGGTATGAAGTCCGCGCCCTTCGTGTTTGTTCGTGTAGCAGCGGTTTAAAGTTTGCGCTGTTGTCAGTCGCACAAATTACATGAAATTTAACTACATTCTTGTACAATTTACGTAAAAAGTAGACAAATGATAAGGTTTAGCGTAAATTAAGTGATAAATCGGTGAGTTGAGAGACAGTTTGTGATACTTGTAAGATGTTTGAATTTGATTGGCGAGTGGGGAGGCAACGGCGCGCGCGCTCAGATGCGACCGGCCGCATACTGCGGCAAGTGGAGTGGCGCGACTGGCGTCGTACGTGCGTCGTACGCCCGTGTGGGCAGTGTTGGCCCGTGTGGTAACCTTTCATTTCTTGTCGCGCAGAGCGAGCAGCGCACAGCGCAGAGAGGAGCGTCGCGCAGCCGAACCGCCGAGCCCTCCTCGACACGCACGTAACGCCAGCCGCCCGCCGTTGGGCCGCCGTCCGCCGTCCGCGCGATGTGCCGCTCATGATAATGACCCGGTCTTGGTGCGCGGAATCCGGCGGTTGAGCAAACGCGGCGCCCACACAGCCGCCTCCAGCGAGCGAGCGCGTCGGTCCGTCGTCGTCGTGTGCCCCGTGGTTAGTGGGGTGTTGTGTGTGCACGCGCGCGCGCCCCCGTGTGTGCGTGTGTATCGTTCCTTCTTCGTGCGCGACCTGGTGCCGTTGCGAAACGGAAAACAATCACGCTGGCGACGAACAACAGCGACAGCAAATCGAACATGGCCTCGTCCGCCAAGATCCTGCAGACGAACTCGGCCTGGTTCCAGAAGAAGATCAACCTGCGGCCGCAGCATCGGGCGTGCATCTCGTCACCGAGGAGATCCTCCGGCAGATCCCCGAGCTGACGCAGTTCGCCATGGGGCTGTGTCACGTCCAAAGTGAGCCCCGGGGCGGCGGCGGCGCTGCGGCAGCGGCGCGCACCACCCTGTATACGCGTGACGTGCCGCCGTCCGCGCCGCACGCACATTACCACCCACCTACACCTACACCTACTTAGCCTACTAGCCTAAATACGCACGCTGCCCCCGACTGCATGCGGGGCGGCGCGCCGCACATCAATTACCCACAAATACAAACAATGCGCCCAGCAAATTATCACTGCCGCCAACAAAACATATCAAAACACGATTAGAAAATCAATAGCAACCGCCAATAGCAACAATATTCTTCAAATATTTCTCAACTTTATTCTTAATGTTTATTCGTTTCTCTGCTTCCGCCTCTTTAGTTCTGCACACGTCGGCGAGCCTGGCGCTCAACGAGAGCTGGGACCCGGACGTGCGGGATGACATGGAGATGATGCTGAACAAGATCGTCCCTGAAGGCCTAGCCTACCGGCACTCCTGCGAGGGCCCCGACGACATGGTCAGTACCCAACATTCCGATCCGATCCGATTCTGATTCGTTATTCATTATTCTGATGCACTTTAGCCGGCGCACGTGAAAGCGTGCTTCCTCGGCTCGTCGCTGACGATCCCTATCACGGAGGGCAAGCTGAACCTGGGCACCTGGCAGGGTGTGTGGCTGTGCGAGCACCGCGACCACGCCGGCTCGCGCAAGCTGCTCATCACGCTGAACGGCTGCCTGCGCGACTCCTCGTGCACGCCTTTATCGCCCGTCAGCCCGATGGCCAGCACGAGCAGTTAGGGAAGGAACTCGGGGCATTCCCTGTCCAAGCACTGAGCCGCCAGGTGCTGGACGCGCGGGAATCGCCTCGAGTCTAAACGCGAACGAACTGTATGTATAGTGGTACTAGTGTCACGCACACACAAACATGAGACAACAGCCGCCGCCGCCGCCACAGCAGCAGCAGCAGCAGCAGCAGCAACAACAACCGATTTTCATGATTGTAATAATGTTAAACAAGCGTCAGCGCAGCGCGGATGCACCTAAGCAAAACCTACTTATAACGATGATGATGTATAACGGTGGAGCGCATTCATTAAAGATATGGACTTAAAAAATCTAATGACAATATGTACATAACGCCTGTGCATCTATTAATTTTAATATTGAAAAACTAGTACTGGTGGTTAAGCGAAAGCTTCGTTTTCTTATCGTTCATATCATCACACACCACACACAGAAACACAACACACACACCTAAGAAACACGACGACGGGTTGCAGAGACGTGCGAATGTCTTCCCGCCGCCTCCGCACGAACGCGACACAGCTTTGTTCATTGAAATCTTGATCATGCACGTGTCTAGTTCGTTACAATCATGCATGGGGGTCATTCTAATGCTTGTTTGATGAACAAAGCTGCGCGCAAGAGTGCGGACATTGAAAGAAGTCCATCCTCTCATTGTATACAACGATTATATTATATTATTGTTACGTTTTTAGTTCGATCGATCACCACCCGAAGCTGTAGCACGAAATTACATGAACTCACAGGGTACTTGGATGACACAAACCACACTCACACAAGACACGACACACTAAACAAATTGACGCATTGACGTGGAGCGGAACGCATATTAGGCAATTTTAAATTTTAAACAAACAAATCGGTAATTATTATAACAACACACACGAATATTATCCATTACGATGCACGTTGTTATTGAGTACACACTGCTGCGCGTGCGTGCGTGTGTTTGGCGACACGCGCACACACCCACACACACATAGATATCAACAATTTTATATTCGACGGTGAAGAGGAAGAAGAAAGTGGCCCCCTAGTAACGAATAATCTCACTCACCGAGCAAGAATCGCTTCGTAGATGAATATTTTTGAGATTCGCCAATACTGTTTCCATCACCACCACCACCACAAAAATCGCCTCTCCCGCCCGCCAGCCCCACACAAATCGATCTTAACTTAAAACAAAAACTTGACGAAATCTGCGAGAGAGCGAACATTTTGCTGATTAAATAAATAATTATGAAATATGCGCGCCTATCCGTCCCTACTTATGATGATTACGATGATGATGATGAGAATGACGAAGCGGATATAAAAAAATGAAAACAATGTTCACTAATTAATAAACAACCTAGTTTGACGTGTTGACGTTGTAAGATGGCGAAGATTGGGCAGAAATTTACATACTTACATTTTAAATAAATTATAACAAACCAGCGATATTGTAAATAGTGTAAAAAGGAAACTTTAACTAAACTGGAGCAAAAACGCCGAGGTGGACAGATGAGACACACAGAAACATAAACAACACACACACCCCCATTACTACAAGACGCAGAGATGTAATTGAGATTAAAATGAATGAGAAACAAGAAGAAGTTGAAAAAAAACACCAACCGCTTCATTATTGTATCAGATAATCAAGTGAATTGGTGCTACTAGTCCTTACACTTAACATATTTTTCGATTTTTGATTCTAGAGACACTTCTGATCGCAATTAATTCATTCATTCTAATACCAAATGATAAGCAATGAAAATAATGTACAAATTCCCCAAACTCTCCGAAGAAGTCATACAATCTTATCGCCCTTGCCGCATTTTCCGCGTATATTCGATTCCTCATCGCATCTCTACTCACAGAGCTCACGAATGCAATAAATACGAAGCGAGTTGGTACACGATTCCATTTATTGTTGTCGTTTTGACTTATTGCTGTTATCGGGCATGAAACCGTCTTAAGATTGTATCACGTTCTTTTCTGCGCGCACCATTCTCGTTTCGGTTTTGTAAGAAAGCAAAAATTAATATTAGAATATTCTCCGAGGATGAACGTAGTTCGTAAAAGTGAGATGCATGAGTACTAAGCAAATAAATGATGAATTAAACCAAATAATAGGCAAAGCAGAGCAAAACCACAGAGAATAAAATTTAAAAAAAATGAAACACTGAGATGAAACATACATTACTACCAGCTTAACGATAAAATGCGAGCATCGAGTGAGTTGTTTGTCAGTTGTAAAACACTGCCACACGTAATAAAAACAAAACCAACAAAAAACAAAGAATAATTAATAATAATTAAATAAAGAATAAAGAAATTTACTAAATTATGATTATCATCATTATTCTTATCGATTGATTTGTATATAGTTGCAAAAAAATAACACCTAAAAATGATGATGAAGAAAGCGATGATTGTTTAAATTTCACGACGATTATTAACTTAATAATTGGCGTCCTTGCCGGCAATGGCGGCGGCGTTATCTTGTCGCCCGCACGGCCAGTGTGTGTTGTAATACGGCAGGCGCCGATTCGTTTAAAGTAAGTACTGAGTACCAAATTGATGATAAACAAAGCAAACAAAATGGTTAAATAATTTTTAAATGAGACACCGACGATGGGTGAGACGTATTGAAACAAGCAAACACACTACCGAAAATAGATGATTATTAAATAATTATGTGAAGCAAATGTGAGACGAAAAATAAGAAATACATATACGAGTATGGCGCCATAACGCGAAACCAAACCAAAAAAAAAACGGGGTAAATAAGTGAATAAAACACACACACACACAATTTAAGAACCGAGAAAATTTAGAGATGAATCATTTCGGCCGATGAAACTTACGTTACGGTTTTCAGTTTCTCGATAATTAGCGAATGAATGAATGAGAACTAAGTAAATAAGAAAAATAATACAAACAAAACCAAATGCAGCCCAATTCGCATCTATATTGTACCTAGGCGCATAATTTGCATAAATAAATATTAAATAATTACTAATCGTCGTTATATCCATTATGCTATGCTTACTTCCAAACAGAAAAATCTATGCTTGCTTTGATTTGGTTTTAGTATTATGTCTCTCTCTCTATTTGTATATCTAAGTCTAAATAACGCATGCGCTTCCGGCATCTAGCCTCTAAACAACACCAGTATCCTCGCTGCTCGCGGGAATCTGGTGCGGGCCGTCACCCTTCGGGTTCACATCCTTGATGCGGTCCTTCACCGCCATGAAACTCGACCGAATCTCTTCCAGCGCCTTGCCCAGCCCGCCTTTGATGTTGTTGAACTCCTGGGTCACCAGTGAGAGGCGACCCATGAGATAATTCAAGTTTTCATCAACTTCACTCATTCTAGTTGTGATGAGACCCACCTACAAATAAAACGAGGTATTTATTTATTTTTTCCTTCAAAGTAGATTGTAGTTGTTACTAACCTTGCTCTTCATGCTGTCCATCACTCCAAGGGATCCATTAACATACGAATCAGTCTGATTCTGGAGTTTGTTCAAAGTATCAGTTGAAGCACTCATCTGTTGATGCATGATGCCAATCTGTCGCCATACCTGATCAATGTCCTTTCCAATCTTTGATGTAAGATTAGCAAGCGCACCTGTTTCACTGTCCAGGATGTTCAACTCGAAGGTATCGAATCTGTCATGAATAGTTGTATTCATTTTATCTCCGTGTTCTTTGATCAAGTGGCCCACCTCCAGTTTGATCTCATGTACACCATATTCGACGCGGCGCTTTGTATCCAACAAGCCTTGTGCTGTTTCCACAAGAATTTCTTCAATCTTTGGAAGAGCGCTGACGTCCTTCTTCAGATCATCATAACCAGTGGCCACGCTATGTGTCAGATTCTCAGTCACTTCACTTAGCTCATTGATGGAATTCAACATGTCGTCATGACGCCTATCCAACTGAGCGACAAATTCTTTGAGTTTTTCCTCGAATGTGGAGGTAACGTGCTCGTTTTGTCCAGCGGCAATATCGTGCAACTCGTCGAAATTCTGCGTGGTTTGATTCTGGAAGTTCAGCAGGTCACCACGTGAAGGCAACTGGGTAATTTTCTGTTCCAAGGTGCCAACTTCACGCAGCACTTGGTTAAGCAGGTTTTATTTTCTTCCACTGCTTTCCCAACACCATTTCCGTCTTTGTAATCAATCGGGACGATTTCCGTGTGGATTTTGTCATTGAATTCGGTCAATTTGTGTTCGTACTGCTGCAGAAGCATCTCGCTACTTGATAGTTGCTTCTTGGTACGTTCGAAGCTTTCGATTGAAGCAGTGTTTGCTTTTTCATGGCATCATTGTCTTTTACGAGTTTTTGAAACCTTCTTCAATCTTTCCGGTTGATTGGGACATATTATTAAGTTTATCTGTAAGTTTTTCATATTTCTAAATTAATTTAGCATTAATTTTATTGACGCATACCTTGAATTGTACGTTGTAGGGTATTGATGTCATCGGGTAGTCGTTTTTCAACTCGGCGACCATATCGATCGTGCTCTGCATTTGATTGCGCTCACGGTCGTCCATGGACATTAAAATCGTCTCCACGCTAGCAATCCGGTCATCCAATCGCAGAGTGGTACCCTTAACGGACTCCAACGATTTCACACGACGCTCCAACATTGTGAAGTTCCTTTTAATTCGTTTCCCAGCGTACGCTCGCGGTACTCATGCCGATCCAATTTATCCTCCAAGCCGCGCATGGTGTGCACCAAGGAAAGAATTGCATCTCGGATATCTTCATTCCTACATCATAACAAAAATGAAATTTGTTATTTGTACCATCTGCGAAAATACCACACACATGCATTCCGAATTATTTTCGGGGTAAACGAACTATTAGAGCGCGTTTTATTTATAACTTCACGCCTCGCGATGGGAGATGAATCTGGAGCAAGCGCTTCCCGAGCGACGAGAGTGTCGTAAAAACATCCATTAATCCACGATGGCGTCCATCCGTCAAGAAATTGGAGCGTCGTCAATGTCTACATAGCAGTTGTTTGTTTTACGAGCGCCGAGCGTGTCCGTTTGTTATAAATATTTACGAAACATAGAGTTGGGTACTACCCTAGGACAACGGCGCGTTGTGTTGACGTGTCGTACATATCGGCATCAGGGACATTTAATTCGTGTATGTGTACTTACGATACAGGCTTGTTCTGTGCTGGTACGGCATCCAGGCGATGGACGGCAATGGCCAGCAGAAGCAGCAGGCAGGACGAGCGCATCTTGAATCCGCGAAGAAACGAAATGGTGGTTATCGCGCCGGCCTGCTATCAGCGCTCGAACTTTTGACCCCGGCCAAGGTTTGCTCAGCCGGCGTCAGCTTTTGATTCCTGGAACCGCACGCGCTTCAAATTAGCATTGTAATTCAACTTTCTACTTGCGATTGCAGTTTACAATCGAAAGATATTTATCCTCCGCCATTACGTATCAATAACAAAGCTTCAATTCTATCTAGGTTTGCGTCCGGCCTTGTGTTTACATTGTAAACAATCGACGATTTATGTTTTGCAAACGAACGCACACAGATAACGACGGAAGTCTTAACCTGAGAGAGGGCTCTTGAACGAATCTCTTCAAAGAATTGTAAACATGCATTGAAATGATGAATTGATGAAACGCGCGCCCTCATTACTTAAGTCTTAATTGAATGAGGGTATTATTAACGTTCGAGGCATATTGCTTCCGTTCATTCGACCACAAGCCGCCGATTGTTGTCTGCTGGCATGCCGACGGCGCCGCTCAATTACCTCAATTCATCAAAAATCAAAATGGCGGCGCGTCTTTTGAAATGTTGATAAATCGGGTTCAAAGCAGGGTTAACTAAACACACATTTCGCTTACTTAAATTAATTTTAATCATTGATTAACGCCGGAAAGCAGTGTTAATTGATTTGTTTTCGAAGCTGGGTGCTGAACGTACTTACTGCGGGTCTATTTGTAGTTGACAAGAGCTCTTGCTCAACTAAATGTGGATCGGATGCAGATGTACAAGTGCACTTTTAGAATTGTCCGTTTCGAAGATGCGCACACGACTGGTGTTCGAAGCAGTCTGCGCGTTGTACACGCGCGGCTCAAACTAAAATGCGACTGCAATGTCTCCAGATAGCTTTGATGCTTTCGGGGCGCTAGCTTACCAGCGCCATCTTGAAAAAATTCATCATTATGCATCTTGAACGCAAATTTTAATTAGGAGCGATCATCACGAATGATTCAGATTCGTGCGTGCGTCGAAACTTTAAATTTACTTATCTCCGAATATCAATATTACAATATTTGACTGAGCGCGGTTTCGATCAATCTTATCTAACCGCACACACCTCAAAATTACCTCTCCATGTGTTCATCTCGCAGTTGAATTCCCAATCATGTACGCTACGGTACTATTTCTATTTGCTCTATATTTTCTCACTGGAAATCCCACCAGGGCCCAAATAAATCATAATGTAAGAAACTTCTATTAAAATTATGCAGTTTTCGTTGATCATTTTTGTCATATCAGGAACAAAAGCCAATAATTCAGTGACCCCGAGTATATCACTGAGCTAGCGCATAATTTATCACTAGTTCGAGGTGGGCTATCGGCAAAACTAGGAAAAATCACTCTCCTGATGTCGGATGGACCTGTATCACCTTTTCGCACAGCTCAAAGGAACTCCAACGCAACTGATATGATTCTGGATGATCTAGATAGATCCGCCATTGCTGAATCCTACCACAAGACGCATGAACTCCTCGTACAGCCGAATATAATCGTACAGACTTTTAAACTTAAAGGAACTGATATTATCGGACTGGCTTTGTATAAAAACTCAGCTAATTCTGCACCTGTGCGTATTCAAGAGATCAAATCAACGGATGAATCAGATGATCTTATCCAGGATGACAACTTTGAAGCCGCCGTGTATCTCCCGAAAGTGCTCCGTGAACAGGTCTTGTCAATTTTGCCAGATCCAGTTGTTGTGGTCACAGTGTTTCTGAACGATAAGCTTTTTCGGAAACAAGTGCGACACCTCCAACTACCTCAGGTGCGGTCTTCGGTGTTTTAATACCGGAATTCCGTGATGTTTTTCAAGCGCCAGTGAAAGTGGTTTATAAAGTGCGTGACCGTGAAACGGAGCACAAGCGCTGCGCACATTGGCTTTATGGAAGCCGACAGAAAGGTGCCTGGGAAACGGAGAAGGTGGCCACCTTCTGTGGTGGTGTAGAAGTGTGCGAATATTACCATGTGACACATTTTGGATTGTTGATCACTGGCGCTGAAGATTCCGATCGGGTTCATCAACCCGCATTGGATATCATCACATTGGTCGGCAGTATATTATCATTGATAGGAATTGGTGGTATTCTCTTAACAGCGGCAATCTTCCCGCAATGGCGTGCGAATCGTGGTAATGTTGTTCTGACAAACTACGCGCTTGCAACACTTCTGGAAATTGTATTGCTGTACGCATCGGGACATGCAAAAGAGAACGCTGTTTGTGATTTAACTTGGTGTTTTGTCACTGGAATTCTATTGCATTATGTTGTCCTGGCACAGTTCTTCTGGGTGCTGGTGATCTCCTTCCTGCAGTATAAACGTTACGTGGAGATTTTGGAGATGTGACAACGAATCTGGTCGCCAAAGCGTGTTTAGTCGGCTGGGCAACACCATTAATCATTGTCGTGCCAGTGGGTACCATTTACACGGACAACTACACAAATGCATATTCTAGTATTTGTTATCCTGACGGTTTGGCATTGTTTATTGGAGTTTTATTACCGATATTACTGATTGTAATCGTAAACTTGGCGATTTTGGAATGATCGCGAAAAATTTATTCGCGAATCCAAAGGTGCGAAGCACACGCGCTGGAAGTCAGACTCTGTTGAAGTTCCGACTGTTGGTACTACTCTTTTCCAACTGGGAATCAGTTGGGTGTTTGGTTTTCTCGGAAAACTACACATTTCCCTCGTTTACATCTTTTGCCTCACAGCGACACTGCAAGGTTTCTTCGTCTTTCTACTTTTCATCATTTTCAACCAACCCACGCGTCTCATGTACGTGAAACTGGTACGTCCATCTGCAGGCGCAACAAAACCCTACTCCACCAGAGAAACAACCAATACATCTACCACAGGCGACACGGAAACACGTCCAAGCGTAGAACATTAAACAATTCAAAGTGTATATACTCAAGAAAACGTTTATTACATTAACACGAAACACACCTCCACTTGGAAAAGTTTTAACATTAAAGCGCTAATATTAGATAACATAACAAACATTAATATCCGCCATTAGTTTCCGGCGTAGTGCTTGCCGACGTGATGGCGAACGCCCCACTTGAAGTTAGCGTGTTTGTCGGTTTTCACGTAGGTGTGTACTGGGCCAGTGACCCTCCACTGCGTTTGAAACGTAGACCGGAAGTGCAGGCGAGTGCAACCAGCAGCAGGACAAATATCTGCCGAAATATAATAAATACAATCAATCACAACAGATGCTATCTATTGACAAGTACAATTGGTACTTACGTAAGTGAAATGCATGTTGATTTACAGGAGTTTTGATGGTACCCGATTGATTGCTGAGTTCGGAATGATTGATTGGAAGTCTCGGCGGGTTATATATGCTCCCAGAACTTTCTTTTCGGATAAAATTCCGCTAGCAATGATTCTGCGGTTTCGTATTTGTGTCTATTGAAGAATATCGGTTTTATCACTACTTTCTTTGTGTAACGCTTGAATTCGCATGAATTCGAAGAGCGTAAAGAATCATTTTTCATGTAAATTTAAAAACCTAAAAAACGATCCAACATGAGTTGTATGATATTTATGTCAAAATGACAATTTGTGAATGTAAAACAGGAAATAAAGGAGGTGTTGGAATAACATTTGAGGTAATAAGTAACGGTGAAGTTTAAAATCACTTATTTACTTTGAAGTCAAATTATTTCAATGTTCGACACGTATAAATAAATCTAAGTAACAAAATAATAGATTTGCCAGGCGAAATACAATCGTGGCAGACATTCTCTCATGTACAAAACAAATTAGCACGACGCAGCGATCGACTACAAGGAATACTTGCTTTCCTTCACCGACGGCCGTCATCGCGCCCATCAACTGTAGGCCCTATCCTCACACACAGCAATAAATGAACGTACAGAGTAAGGAAACGAGAAACATGCACGCGCGCGCTCTAGAAGGTCCAGTACTTCGTGAGTGCATCACGAATATCAATCGACGGCTTATCGAAGGTTTTCGTGATCTGGCGGCGATTCTTCTTCACCTCCTGATCGAAAGCATCATCATTGGTGTCGCTCAGGTATTTAGTGATGTCCCATTCGACATTCGGCAGCGGTCGGTTGATGATACGCGCGGTGAGTGCTACCTTGGGAGAAGAATGATTCTGCAACGAGCGCAATTCCCACAGTGAGTTTTGAATCGCGTTCGATTTGACTGGATCACGTTCTTCCATGATGTAGGTGTCATCAGTGGCGAGCCCCGTGTCATCCAGCATACATTTTAATCCTGGATGCCTAAATGATTGAAAAGAAAATTAAAAAGTGTTCATGTTCAAGATTGAATGGTAATCGCTTACCGTAGTATAAGATTGCATATGAATATGCAAATGACGACGACGTCTTGACTAGGCGCTACAAGAGCAAGTCGTGCCAGACGCTTGACAAAGGCAGCCACTAAGTTTTCAGGCAGGTGAGTGGAGCTCAGAAACATGTCGGCGAGATAGAATAACCTTGCCTTGAACTTGGTGTGGAAAATCTCTGGCTCAAACATTGAATACAGCTTGGCGAAAATATCCGGATATTCGAGATTGTGGATCTGAATCATCGAAAAGATTCCCTGTAACGCAAGCATGCCGATCGGCCCGCCCATGTCTAGTGAATCCATAAGAAAATCTATCATAAGCAATGGTTTTTCCAGATGCGGTGAAACACGCTCCAGCAGCACGACTAGCAACTGCCGGTGTGTATCCTCAGTGTGCTCCCATTGCATAACACAGTTCCATATTTTGTTGATGCTCTTCACCGCAGCGCGTTCGTCGTAGACGAAATCATTGCCACAACAGTACAAAGCTCGCGACGCATTCTGTTGCACCGGAAGTCTTTCCAACAACAGCAGATAATTAAAGATATATGGCTTCGCGGGGTTGATCTTAGCTGTTACCGACGGTAAAGACTTCCAGGTGTAATGCAGTATATCGTCGAAAAGAAAAACTCTTGGAATTTATTGATCAAATGTACAGACAATTGAGTTTTGTGCAAAACACGCGTGAGTATTGCCTTCAGACGCGGCACGGGCATCATTCTTGGCATTTCATGACGCTGTTCGAGTGGAAAACGTCCCTCTTGTTCTAGAAGATTCATGGCTGTTGTGAGTGCTTGTAATTGTAGTTTAGGCAGCAGTGTCATCCGCTCAATACATGCTAGGATTTTATCCCAGAATTTATCGTAGATGGTGCGTAACCACTCGGAGTATTCGACTTCTATAGTACGAGGAGGTACCTTCAGCGGGACGATCTCGGTGTACATCTGACTTTCCCGCAAGAGGGTAAAAAGATGCCTTCGAGAACTTGCAGGCAGACGGAGGTATCGCTGCCGCTTTCGAAGTGGCTCATGATCTCCGCCAACGCATGGGAGTTGCGGCGGGACTGGTGGAACTCCTGCGCCTTGATGCGCAGCAGCTTCGCCGCCTTGGAGTTTGTTTTGTCGGACATACCTGCAGATTTTCGGAACAGCGCGGATTGTGAGGTTAGTGCTGCGCAGCGGACGGGAGCTGGTGCGTGAAGGCGTGCAGACGCGATGGGCGCGGACACGACGACGACACGGCGCACTAATTCAACTAGTTCTTACGAGGAGATTCACGTCAGCTGTAGGAGGCGTGCGATGAAAACTCATTCGCTTTGTAGTTTAAGAATTACGACTGACGATCATCCCGTGCTGCGACTCACTGTGCTGCGCATACATGCGCAAACATGAACACAACTTTCACGGCATGCTGCGATCCTGCAATCTATAAAACCATACATCTGCAACTTTTAATACATCAAAATAAAAATTGTTTTAAGCCTGCTTTGATTTAATTCTCCAAGCATTTTCAAATTAAATCATAGATAACTAGATAGAAGAGATTTTATTGGTTTATTGTTGTATTATTGGATTATTTTAGTTTTAAACATTCGATGATTATTTTATCGACCTTGAGGTTGACAGCAGGCGGTTTCGTCCTAATGTCCAACAAATCAAAACAATGTTACTGAAGTTATCTGTTTACTGCTGAAATTAATTCCAGTGCATCGTGGGTTTACTCCCACAGACTCTTTTATTCTTTGGGGTGCAATAAACTAGATAAAATGGCATTTCTCGAGGTACAAAACATTCGCTCAACTTATCTTTGTATTGAGGTTACTAATTTTTGGTTTTCAGTGGCGGAAATTTAATTTCTTCGAGTTGAAGAAGAACGTCGACGCTGGACGTCTCAACTCCTTGGAGGTAACTTTTTTATTTCCACTACATCTACAAAATTAAATTTTCTCTGTTTAGGATTTAAATATCACTGTAACTACCAGTGGAAACAATAATTTAATCATTGGTGATGCAGGAGGAAAGGTTCACATTGTTTCTAGGACTTGGCATATCACCAGTTTCCGCGCCTATGAGTTATGTGTATCCCTGGCTCAACAACTTAGAAATCTACCATATTTAGTCACAATTGGGGTAGTTTTCATACAAATTTTACCAAAATTACATCCAAATAACTTAAAAATATGTTTTGTTTTAAAGGAAGATGAATTGGGCATTAATCCACTGATAAAAGTGTGGGATACCAGTAGATTTGACAAAAACAATCTACCTTATTGCACAAGGGTGACCAGAACTAACCCTAATAGCAGGGCAGTCAAACCAAGTGTGCTATGTGTGCATGAAAATATGCAATTGATGGCAGTTGGTTTTGTTGATGGTACTTTGCTGCTGTACAGAGGAGATGTAACCAGAGAAAGAGGCTCCAGACTGAAGATACTAAGGGAGGCTAGCTCTGGAGTGACTGGGCTTGCTTTTAAATCTACTGCCAATACAACACTCTTGTTTGTTGCCACTGAGAACAGCATTTATATTTATAATATCACGCATAAAGACAAGGAAGTTATGGTGGGTGGATTGAGTATAGTTAGAATAAAATAATAATAAATAAATTTCGTTTCAGTCACTCCTGGATAATAAAGGATGTCTAGCTAATTGTTCAGTACTTGCAGAGTCTTTACAAGAGAGTCATTTTATGGTAGCAAGAGAAGATGTAAGTATTACAGATTTATTTTGTAATAATATGGCTGGTTGACGGGCAGTTTTGATTGGGTGACTGCCTGTAATTTTGACTGCGTGACTGCCGGTTTTGGTTGCGTGACAGTCAGTTTTGACCGTGTGACTGCCAGTCATGACCGCCTGCACAACTCACAATTTTTCCATGAAAACCGTCAATATTTTTATTTCTAGGCAATTTATTGTTATACATCCGATGGGAAAGGCCCGTGCTATGCAGTAGACGGTGAAAAGTAATGTTGCAATGGTTCCGCAGTTATCTCATCATTGTTTCAAAGTCAAAACGCCTAACACCTACATCAGCCGCACCTGGCGCCGTTTCCAATACGCATCTTATCACAGTTCTAGATATTCAAAACAAATTCATCGTATTTCAAACACCCGTTGATGAAATCCGCTCAATTTTAAACGAATGGGGAGGATTCTATATAATCGACGTGCATAACAGCATCTTTCACCTAAACGAAAAGGATCTGCAGGCGAAATTGTCGATCCTTTTCAAGAAAAATCTTTATGACATTGCTATCCGCATTGCCAAGTCACAACAATACGATTCAGACGGACTAGTGGACATTTTTCGACAGTACGGTGACCACCTCTATGGTAAAAGCGATCATGCAGGCGCAATTGATCAATACGTGAAAACCATCGGCAAGTTAGAACCCTCGTATGTCATTCGTAAGTTTATGGACTCCAAACACATCGATAAACTCACGAGTTATCTGGAAGCGTTACACAAACAAGGTCACGCTACTGAAGATCATACTACTCTCCTGCTAAACTGTTTCACCAAACTCAACAAGACTGATGATCTTAAAGAGTTCATCTTACAAAAGGATAAAGAATTAGATTTTGATGTTGATATTGCGATTAAAGTGTGTCGACAGGGCAGTCCTGAAGAAGCCCTGATGCTTGCAAAACGCCACCGCAAACACGATTGGTACATCAAGCTGCAACTGGAAGATCATCAAAGATACGAAGACATTATTGACTATATCGGTGATTTAGGATTCGAAGATGCGCAGTTTTACATGCGATTGTATGGCGGTGTTTTGGTTCGATGCGCAGGACATAAAGCGACGCAGTTTTGAAACGTTTATGCGCGAATTTCGGACGTACGCAGGGCAGTGGCGAACGGCAACGCGCAAATGCCGAAGATTACATTCATTTATTCCTCAATGATTCAGCCAGATTAGTGGAATTTTTAGATTATCTCATTGCTGAAGGCTGCTCATTGAGTGCAGCTGTGTATGACACTCTTTTAGAGCATTATTTGCATGTTTGGGAGTCAGTTGATGGTCCGGATCGCGCTCGTTTCGGTCAAAAGATACTGAAACTTTTGCAGAATCCTGATGTGCAGTGCGACAAACATCAAGCGCTTGTTGTTTGTCATATGCACGGTTTCAGCGACGGAATTTTACACCTTTACGAAGAGCAAAAGTTGTACCAGCAGATTTTGCGTTATCACATTTCACTGAAAGACACTTCATCGGTTTTGGCATGTTGTAAACGTTTCGGTCACCAAGAACCAACACTCTGGGTGCAGTCAATGTGGTCATGCGTGCGAGATCCTGATTATTCCACGCATAATCTCTTACCGGATGTGTTGGACACCATTGCGAAGGAGAGATTACTCACCGCAGTTAGTAATTGAAGCGTTGGGCACTGGCAAAGCAGAAATTACCCTTGCGCATATTAAACGTTATGTTACGCAGGAGCTGCGCAAGGAACAAGAGGTAACTGCTGCGGATCGTGAATTAACGCTTAAATACCGCAAAGATACAAACGAATTAAAGCGGAAATTGGAGAATCTCAAAAGTGGACCGATTCTTATTCAAGGCGCGCGTTGCGCTGCTTGTCATCATCCACTCGAGTTGCCAAGCTTACATTTCCTTTGTCAACATTCGTACCATCAGCATTGCTTCCAGAGTTATGCTGAGAACGAAAACGAATGTCTCGCCTGTCAGCCTGATAATAAAAAGTAGTGGAATTACTTCGCGCACGCGAGTATAACAAAGATTTGCATGAGACTTTTCACTCGCAATTGGATAAAACTGCAGATGGTTTTGCGCTTGCCGCTGAGTATTTTGGTCGTGGTGTGTTTAACACTGTTAAAGTGATAACTGAACGACCACGACCGCCACCACAGATGGTGATGCCACGAGAAGAACCTGTACAAGGTTCGGAAGCACGTGTACGGCTTCATGAGAACAAGAGGAGTACGCCGATTGTGAATATTAGCGAAGGACGTGTGCGGATGCAAGAGAATCGCTTCAGTTCCTCATTGGAAGCGAATATTATTCAACCGCGGGTTGCAGAGGGACGGAATGTCGCTGTGGTAGGATCTATGACATCAAATGCGTCTGTAAAGCAGGTTACAGTTGCTGCAGCATCTGCGAACGGGAATGGCAATCCGTTTGAGTCTTCTTCGGATTCAAAAGATTACGATCAAGCGAAAATCCGTTTGATGCGGATGATGAGAACTCGGACAATGCCGACGAGGATGACTATGATAAGAATTTGAACCCTTTCGCCTAGTGTGTAATATGTGGACATTTATGCAATGACAACGCTTTGTGTATTATTGTTATTTCTAAAATATTAAATTGTATAATATACATAACAATGTAATAACGACTTTTTGAAAATTGTTTTTGTCGTGTTATGTCGGGTGTGGTCGTGTGTAATGTAACGGTCACGTGACAACCCCACTATCTGTCATTATTCAGGAAGCTAGGTGCGTCGTCAAGCCACTACAAGTCGTCCATTTCTATTTCATCCTCAAAGATGGTAAGTTGAATCTTTAAATATTCTCGTAATCCATGCATTATTTTACTCGAAGATAATTCAGAACTTCTTGTTATGCGATTCGTTATCGTAATGCACGCATATTTTATACGAATTCGCTGTTTAGATGATGATTCTAGTTATATTTTGTTTATGGTTGAAACTGAACCTACAATGTGGATAACTCTAGGGCGGTCTGATACAGTTCTTGATAAAACAACGTGTTTTCTGATTTCGAAAGTGGTTTTAACCATTGGTGTACGTGTCTGTTGCAGTCTCACAGGAAGTTCAGTGCGCCTCGTCATGGCTCTATGGGTTTCTACCCGAAAAAGAGGTCGCAGAGGCATCGTGGTAAGGTTAAGGCCTTCCCCAAGGATGACCCATCCAAGCCAGTTCACCTAACTGCTTTCATCGGGTACAAAGCCGGTATGACCCACGTGGTCCGCGAGGCAGATCGTCCTGGTTCAAGTAAGCAGACTCGATTTTTTTCTGTTTAAAGATTTTCTGCAAGAGAAAGTTTCAAAATATAAAATGTAATGCATGTGAGACTAAGGTTGCATTTTAATGTGCAGAGATCAACAAGAAGGAAATTGTGGAGGCAGTCACCATTCTGGAAACTCCCCAATGGTTGTTGTCGGTGTTGTTGGTTACATCGAAACCCCTCATGGTTTGCGCGCGTTGGCAACCGTTTGGGCCGAGCATCTTTCCGAAGACTGCCGTCGTCGCTTCTACAAGAACTGGTATGTTTAGGTTAAGCCTTTGAAAGTTTTATAAATGTTCTCATAAAAATCCTAAAGCTCTCCAATGGCTGCATGAGAGTTGTACAAAGTCTACTGATGACTAGGTTCATTTAATAAGAACCTTTTGGTCTGAGGTATGATTAAGGCTTGTAGACTTCCTCTGGGCGTGCATCGGCACGGCTACGAAGTCGCGCCTTTTGTACTTGCAGGATGATGAACTGTCGCGCACGCAGACACGTTTTGTCATGTTCATTTCAACTACACAGGTACAAGAGCAAGAAGAAGGCATTCACCAAGTCTTCCAAGAAGTGGCAGGATGATTTGGGCAAGAAGAGCATTGAGCGCGACTTGAAAAAGATCATCAAGTATTGCAAAGTCGTGCGCATCATTGCCCACACTCAGGTTGGTTTTATAAATATTTTATGTATTTTAGTAACTTATTCTTGCATATGACGCGATCAGTTTGGAGCTTACCCTCCGGCTGTTGACTACTGCTGTCCTATTCATGAACGGCAATGTCATAGCGTCAAAGAACAAGTGCCCTTCGGGAGGCGCAGCAGGCATATTCCATAATCTATGTGTAGCCCGTCGGGCAATGACACTCTGACAAACCATGCCGGTTACAGTCCTTCTTTTCTAATAATTTATTTGTATCCAAACTATACAGTTTTCTCATTAAATTCTTCTTGTATACAGATGAAACTGTTGAAACAACGCACGAAGAAAGCCCACATCATGGAAATTCAGCTGAACGGTGGTACTATCGAGGACAAAGTCAAATGGGCCCGTGAACACCTTGAGAAACCCATCCCTGTTGCACAGGTCTTCGCTCAGGATGAGATGATTGACTGCATTGGTGTCACCAAGGGACACGGTTACAAGGGTAAGCATAATTAAAATCGTATAATTACATTTTGTACAGAAATAAACTGCTCCAGCATGTTTGACAATTTACTGAATTGTGTGTAGTTTTCAATAACTACTAATTTAGTTTTGATTTGAGCATGTTTTGATACTACTATGATGATAACCATGATGTAAATGTGCTTCTGATATTTCTGAAGATATACCATCATGCTGCCTTCCTTCTGACATTATCTTAATATAGTGTATTTATTTTGCGAAAATTTGAATTGTTGCTTTAATCAACATGTTATTTTTTTATAAAGGTGTGACTTCTCGTTGGCACACGAAGAAATTGCCGCGCAAGACGCACAAGGGTCTGCGCAAGGTTGCTTGTATTGGTGCCTGGCATCCGTCTCGCGTATCCTTCACCGTCGCTCGCGCTGGTCAGAAGGGTTACCATCATCGTACCGAAATGAACAAGAAGATCTACCGCATTGGTGCTGGTATCCACACCAAGGATGGCAAGGTAAATACAATCACGGCGGTATTTCTTCGAAAATAGCTTAATTCAGTGATGATAAAACACTCGAGCCGAAAAAGAGACCAATGAATCTTTTGATTACTAAATGATAGGACTGATAATACACAATCTTTCAAATAATTAGTTGAAGTATATGTAATCTTCATTGTTTTTCACGTATAATTTTCTCCAGGTCATCAAGAATAATGCATCCACTGAGTACGATTTAACCGAGAAGACAATCACCCCAATGGGTGGTTTCCACATTACGGTGAGGTCAACAATGATTTCATCATGATCAAGGGTTGCTGCATTGGACCCAAGAAGCGTGTCATCACCTTGAGGAAGTCGCTGTTGGTGCACACCAAGCGTGTCGCTCTCGAGAAGATCAACCTTAAATTCATCGATACTTCATCCAAGTTCGGTCATGGTCGTTTCCAGACCGCTGCGGACAAGACTGCGTTCATGGGCTTGCTCAAGAAGGATCGCAAGGAGGAAGACAAGACCGCCGCTGCAGCTTCGTCTTAAAACACTGTTTTCTATTTGATATAGAAATAAAAATTCAAAACCGTGAAATCAAATGAATATTTATTGTAAATACATTGTACATAACATTTTCGTTCTCATTACATTCATTTTCCCAACGTTGCATTGTTTCCTTCGGGTTGTACTTTGTACTGATTGTTACTGTTCGAAATTAGAGTTTCCTGTAATGTTCTATTCAGTCACGTGATAAGATTACCAAGCCCTGTGCATTCCTGCTGCGTTAGTTTACAGTCAGTATTGAATATGCGCGGACGTGAATACTTAACCTCTCTTTTGTTTCTCCTCGTATTTTCCCAAATAAAATGCGAAAATTGTATGAAACTAGATATATCCATCACGCAGAAGGTAGAAAATGAAGGTTTCCATCGGTGAGCACTATGTTTTCACGCATATAACACGCAGAACACTAAACAATCTTTTTATAATCACAGTGATGTTCGTTGGTTACTTGAAACAACGAACCCCAACAACACTGATTGGATACAATCAGGCTGCAAACTTGCAGTACACATCAACGTGAATGCAGGAATGTTCGTTAGCAAAGACCAACTAGCCGAACTTAATCGCAATTCAACTGTGAGTGTAATAAACCACTTAGGAAACATACTAACAAATGTATTTTAGATTCTTATTCGAGTTGATGGCAATGTGAATATTGAAACAGCTGCACATGACTCCACAGCACACATTGCTTACATCTATCTGCCTCAGGATGAAATTGAGAGGATTATGTTCAGTCTACCAATACATTTAAGATATCAAAGGGCACAGATTACCGGAAAGTAAGCCATTCATTTTTTCATCAATTTTAGTAATTATTGGATGAAATTGTTGTTGTTTTATAGATATGGAAAAGTATACCTGGACAAACCGACCGTTTTAGTTCGTTGCCCAGCTGATATAAATCTATGCGGTAAAAGAAGACCAATTCTAGAAGCACCCTGCAGTTTTGCAAGCGTGAATAAATGTCAGTGGAGAAACACTACTTATCAAGCTGTAAGTTATGGTAATAGTAATGTAAAATAATAAAACTATGTATAATTTCAGCTATTCCAAGACGTGGAAATGTTTGTACCCATCGGTGATTTGGATGATTATCCATTGGTGTCAATTGTATCACTTCTGTTGGGTTGCGCCGGATGTATTTATGTCCTATCCATTCTTTCCACCACACCAATATAGAGTAAGGGTGTAAATATTGTATAATTACTGCAATAATCGCAATATTGACAGATATAAACTAGTCATGTGTAAAATGGTTATGCTTGATAAAATCTTCTGCGAATGCAAGCTGTGCACTTGCGCGTAGCCCGAATTAACAACTCAGACAGAATGAAAGCGAGACGCAGTCGTAGAGGATTCAGAATTTTTATGACAATGAGGGCAAGGAACGCTGGCATCACTTTGTTTAAACCCGCATGTAAGTTGCGCACATATTGGCAGTCCGAGTACTGATTATTTGCGTGTAACTGGCGCAGGTGGACTTGTACCCATTCAGCGTGGTAGTGCCTGTAACAAAATTTAATTCCGATAATCTTAAATCATTGTTTGGTTTCATTATTTACTTTGTTATGAAAGAGGTCAACGCGAAGCCAAGAGCCAAGCCGAGAAGTAGATTAATTCCAATGACCGGAAATGTGTATTTAACGAACGGGGTGCGCGGAAATGTGTAAGGGTAGCGACGACGTCTTCGCGTAACATAGATTCGCGTTCTTAAAATAGGCGCAGAATTAGAGTCTGAGATCATTCTGGGGAGCGGTGCCCGCCGATATCGCCCACAAACTGTCACTTGCCACTAGGTTTTCTTTGAGAGATTGCTTAGAAACGCAATATCTCAACGATATTCAAACTTCGTGGTATTTGGGTTGCATACTTTGTTGGCAGTGCTCGTGTTATTGCAAGACTATATGGTGACAAATAAAAGACCCTAGAAATAACGACGCCTAGCTACTAAACAGCAACATTTCAGCGTTTTTGTTTTAAACGATACGCAAGCAAAAAGTGGTGTTAGCAGATAATTATTAATATTTACAACGCAATACAATTCGTTTGAGATTTTCGAGAGATTATGGCAGGCATTATTCATTCTTTTAAAAATATTCTGATTGAAACAAAAAAATATTTTCTCTAAGCTCTGATATTAATGTTCATCTTCTTTCTTCATTAATTGTTGCGTTGTTTTGATAAATTTATTGAAAATCGTGTTTATTGAATAATATTCATGCATGAAGTTTTTTAATGCATTTAGAACATGATAGCAGATCAAAAATTAATACAATAAAAAAGTTTTCATAGTCATGCAGTATACATGGATACATGGGACAGTCAAAAATCTCAAATATATCAATTATATGCACAGAATAGACAAATTTTTAATCACAATCAGTAAATTTGTGCCTGTTTGAATTAATACTTACATGTAAAGTTAATTTTTTTGAAATCTCTTCATAAATTCCAGAAAATTAGTTCAATATTGAGTGTTTTATATGTAGTAAAACTGTTTCTCTAGTTTTGTTTATGAGCCCATAAGAGTACTTGACCATATTCTGGATGTAGAAGTAACCATTGCTGAGATCATTTCTTCTTCCTTCTGCTGGTCAGCTTTGTAGACCACAGTAAAATATGTGTGTTATCATAATCATCACATTTTTACTGAAGTATTGGGCAGAGTAGTCCTTAAATCAAGGTATTAACATGTTATATGAAACTTGCCTGGTGTTGTAAGTCAAGGTATGTATAGAAATACACCCTTCAAGTAAGCAGAATTCCATGTAAACATTGCAAAAATGATAACAATTAAGAATACTAATCTGCAACTAAGGCAGCTAGAACAGATACAATATAAGTTGTCAGGTTATGGTGTTGCGATAATTGTAGGGAGGTGGTTGCCTATAGCCGCACTACATTCAAAAATAATTTTATTACAAATTATTAACGCAACTAAAATTCAAGTCATATTTAGTCAAAGATTTTGCGTTTAGGCAAAATGGTAAATGACAATGGTCGAGCGCACTCCAAGGATATCTTTAGAATACCATTATCAGTTGTTATTTATAAACAACTTTTTGTTTGTGTTCAACGTATGCTCTGCGATCTCGCAATATTGCAGTATTGCTACAGACATTTCCTAGTGCAAAACCGTTGCAAGATAAATTTTTGTATTATTTGCGATGTGCACCGCCAATTAAGTGGTTTCTCACTCTTGTATGGTTGGAATGCAACGATCATAACAATGACAAGAGAACATTTCACAGGTATTTATTTAACGGTAAACATTTTAAATTATCAAACTCCAAAAATGGGAACTGTGGACTAATTTGCTTCTTGCTGATCTCGCTCTTTTCACTCTTTAAAGTGAAACCTCGTAGTTGCGGCGCTTCCTCTGCATCATCCATATTTTCTAAACGATTTACGTTAATTATGTTTTGATTTGTGTATGTTGCATTCTAGATTATCGAGTTCTTACCGTTTTCATTCTTCGGAATGATAGTTTTACCTTCAGAAGAATCCACTTCGTTAATTGTCGTTATTGGAGCTTTATATCGAGGAAACCTGGGGTTTACTTGGTCCTGAGAATTGCCTTTCTTTGGGTCATCAGCATTGTTATATTTATTTGGGTCATACTTCTTAAGAGAAAGTGCACCCACTGACATTCGCACCCCATCCGATGTATTCTCCAGGACACCGCGTTGAATGCCGTACTTCAGTGATTTGTACACGCGTACTTTTAGATTGCTCGGCACGTTTTTGCACTTCTTTAAAAGCTCACGCTCTACCTTAATGTTAATTTTACTATTGGACGCGGGTATGCCGTACATTTCCAGACTTGCGATCGCTTCCAAAACTGTAACGTATAGATCGAGAGCTTTTTCGACGGCATACTTTATGCACTAGATGATGAAGGAGAGCAAATTGTAATACGCCGAAATGAGCTGTGTGCCCGATAATTAAGTACACAATTAATTTGACAGGATTTTTCGGGTACACAAAAGTAAACAAAATACAATCAGAATCATGGCCATGTAGTTTTAATTTAGTTTAAACCACAAACTTACACTAATCAACGCACCAGCAAACGACCCGCAAAAATGGGTGCTGGGCTGGGTGCACCAGTAAGTATCTTGAGCGCGTGAGGAGTATTAGCAAAAAGTAAGAAAGTGGTCCAGGCGTTGTTGAGTTATGCGCTTAACAACACATTTTACGATTCATTTTATATTATAGATGTATACGATTCAGTCAATAAATAACTTAATTACTATTATCTAAATTCGATAGATTTAGTAGATTTAGTCACGTTTAATACCTATAGTTCTTGATACACACCAATACTGTATAACACTTACAAAATTCGGGCCGCCAATTTGAAACAAACCTTACGACTTGCACAAACCACAATGGCACATTCACCCACAGACAACTTATATACAACTAGCGGACCCAACAGACTTCGTTATGTCAAAAGATTCGTATTGTGGCAGTTTTGTTCCTCCCTATTTTATAGTCGGTACAAAATATTCTCCTGAACAGAACCGTCACCTCGGTGATAGGGCGCTTCCACGAATTTAGGCAACTCTTTCAAGAACAAATTATATTAGTGGGACACACTAAAATACCCCGAATTGTGTCACATGCAATACTTAGTGATCATATATAATGAACACTTTGCACAAAACACGAAATGAAACAATCCAATCAAATTGTACTTTGAGAAAAATATCGTCTGGCCTACCACACATTTTGTTATCCCTGCGAAGGAGTATTTAAATATTCCCCCTAAAAACCCCGAATTGTATCACATTCAATAAGTAATGACCATAGGTAATTAAACACTTTTCACAAAACACGAAATGAAACAATCAAACAAAAATGAACCGAAGAAAGCTACGGAATTTGTTCAGTTTATCAGAAGACAAAAGAAAACTCAATAGAAAACACTTTGCGCAAAACACCATATAAAACAATGAATAAAAAATAAATCGAAGAAGGCTGCGGAATTTGTTTCGTTTATCGGTTGAAAAAAGAAAACTCAGCTTTTGCCCATTTTCCGGTAATTATTCGAATTTTTCTCTTCAAAACAACCCTTTGACTTTAATGAACATTAAAAAAAATTGACCAAATTGGTCCAGGCCTTGTTGAGTAAAGCGGTTTCCTACACCCTTTGCGATTCATTTTTATATTATAGATTTTTAAGGAAACGTCATTTTTAAAATTTTAATAAATTACGTCTTTGCATTATCTCACTTGAAACAATATAACTATAAATGTGATTGAATAATTTCTTATTTTATAGCGTTCTAATTTTGATTTTGCTACCAAACTTTATAAGATTACTTACGGAAGTAATTTAAAGGTTGCCTGACAATTTCATCAAAATTGGTCCAGTCGTTCTTGACTTCTTAAGGAACATACATACATACATTGATAGATTTATCAATACAAGTATAAGCCAGAGTGCTTCCCGCTTCCCGTGCAATTTTTGTCAAAACACAGAGTGATTCAATTAGAAAAATTATATCCATTGTAAAAGAATAGGACAATAAAATTAAACCAAGAATTTAAAAGATTTCTACGATGATATTGTAATAAATCTATTTGATGCGCCTATGGTAAGAACACGGGCTTAATCTGTCTATAATATGAAAATAAACCGCAAAATCTGTTGGTAAGCGCATAACTCAACAACGCCTAGACCAATTTGGCCAATTCTTTTTTAATGTTTGTTGTCCAAGAATTGTTTTTACAACGAGAAAAATTCGAATAAATGCTGGGAAAACCTTAAAGACAACCCTTGTCTATAGGATAAAAGTTGGCATTAAAATTCCATCATAGTTATAGTTATATAGTTGAATTCGAGATTTCTCTAAAATAAAATTGCGAATCTTATTGATAGAGTTGAAACATGCTATGTCTAAAACAAATTATATTTTATTAGGTAAATACCAAATACTAAATACTACGGGGACGAAGTCGCGGACAAATGCTATTAATTAATAATATAATTAATTCAATAAAAATTAAATTAATTATATATTCGTATAAATTTATAAGAAATATTTAAAACTATTTAAATGTTAAAAATTATTGATTGAAATATTGAGTTGATAAGAATAACTAAAATTCACGTATATAATTTCATATTTATTCAAAACTAGCGACCCGCCCCGGCTTCGCACGGTTGCAATACTGATACTAAATACACTACAGAAAAACTGTGAACGTGTGGTATAAAATATATAGCCCATGTAATTAAAATCGATCCAGTAGTTTTGATTTATTCATTACTGCCCGTGGCCCACGCGTTAAATTTGGAGTAAAACAATCCCCCTTTCCTATACCATGAAGATTTCCTGCTATCTTTGGAATATCTAAATTCATACACTACATTTTTACTTATTTACTTTTTACATTTTATAGTATGTGCCGCAGTAAAAATATCTAAATTCTTACCATTTAGAAACAAAAGATAATCAACAATCATAAAAACAAAAGATACCTATTCTATTCAGTTCTTTTTTACTGAAATACCTCTAATTTATATTTTAAAACTACTATCATACAATTATTTATCGTAACTTACTTATAATTACTGATACGTTGTCGCGCTGAAAAGATCGTTTTATTACCTAAGTATTGCTATTTTCCTCGCTGGAGAGCTCCGATATAATAAACGTGCCCGATCGCTGCGAAATTCAAAGTGCTACAGAGAAAACCGCGGCCGGCCGGTACCGCCGAAAACGCTACGTCCGCAATTTTTAAAAATCCGTTGCGTAGTTTCAAAGATTTAAGCATACAAAGGGACAGACAGAGAAAGCGACTTTCCTTCTCCAAACAAAAACATCAACCGATCAACTTCAACCCACACGCACACGTCTGTGCTTAAGGGGAAGCTACGAAGCATCGCACAAAGAGTAGACGGCGATAATATCATATTAGAAACCTCAAAATAACAGTACTTCTCCACTATTTAATGGATGTTATTATACATACAAACCTTCCTCTTGAATTACTCTATCTATTAAAAAACCGCATCAAAATCCGTTGCGTAGTTTCAAAGATTTAAGCTCACAAAGGGACCGGAAAAAAGCGACTTTACTTTATACTATGTAGTGATTTTCAAAATTCCCAAAAAGTGATATAATTTCATTTAAGAAAGATTTATTTCCCAGGTGGTCCAGGAGGTCCAGCAGGTCCCTGTGCACCAGCAGCTCCAGCAGCTCCAGCAGGTCCTGCAACACCTGGAGGTCCAATTGGTCCAGTACCTCCGGCCGGTCCAACAGGTCCAGCCGGACCAGGAGGCCCATTAGCACCAGGGGTCCAGCGAGTCCAGCAGGCCCGGCAGGTCAGGGGACCTGCAGGCCCAGGTGAGCCTCCTGGCCCAGGGAAAAAGGTTTGCGAGGAGTTGCTGACCAACCCAAAGGCTACGAACACCAGGAACAATACTTTGATGGATGCCATTATAGTTGCAATATGTTTACTATTTGAGAAGTTTGAACAACTGTGATCAGCATGTAGAAATCATTCACTTTATATAGTAGTTTGTACTCGCACAGATCGTGATGGATTTATTTTTTGTAAGTTTATCTTTGTCGTGTATAAACACAATAGTACTATTAAAATTTTATTGTATTTTATAATTTTTAAAAATTTGCAGTTTTAGGAATTATTGTCACGTCTTGGGAAGTATGAGCCGGTCGTCCGAAAGCGCACACGCATTTTTAGATAACATATAACTTCACATGGAGCAATTAGCTTTAGATATTACTAGTTAACCGGGCAAACGTTGTTCTGCCATATAAATTATTTCTAGTTTCTAGATAAATTTTAGGGTAGACAAAAAGTAACTTACTTATTATAAGTGTGTCAGTATGAAAAACTTGATTAACTGAACTAATCGTGACAAATACACTTAAAATTAATAATTTATTATTATGAATAAAATAGTAATCTATAATATTAAAATGAATCGCAAAATATGTTGTTTACCGCTTTACTCAACAACGCCTAGACCAATTTGGTCAATTCTAAACAATAAACTTTTTCCATTTATAGCTGGACATTAAGGAAAACTGTATGCACGCAGTGAAATAAAAATTATTATATTTAAAACGAAAAAGTTTTAAAAGAATAACACCCTGGCGCAACAAGTTTAGTCAATTTTCCTTTCGATAGAGTACACTACAAAAGTACAACAGTAATACAAGACAACTTAAATTTATACTTATTTCTCCACGGATACCAAAGAAATTTGAAGGATATCATATAACAAAGGTAGAGTGAGAAATAAATAAAATACCGTTATAAATTTTATTGTAATAATGAGATTTTATATACGATGCGATCTTCAGATATAACACAAACAAGCCACAGTGCAAAGTGTGCCAGCCGATGACATCGCAAAACGCAAACGCGTTTTACAATTACTGGTATCAATTATTTGTCACTACTAAACTCGTTGCCAAAATTAAGATTACGAAAGATCAATGCGAGGTAAGAGATACGGTGAAAACTAAATTCTGTAACGAGATCGAAAAGGAAGCGAGCGGTACAGACTTATCAATGTAGCAGGTAATCGAAGAAATTACGAAAAAGAGAGGCCACGGGCAGTGGCGGATTATGCTCCAGTGAGGCCCTAGGCGCAAATCAGGTTTGGGGCCTAAATCCGAAAATTTTCAAAAGCGGTTATGTAAACATGGTAGAATTATGCGTTTTATAACAGGTATTAATATAACAAAGACAAAAAAAATTAAAATATATTCTAATAATACCACAATAAAATAAGACAATACAAATTTAAATACAATTACAAATTTGCTTTTCTTGCCTTCTCTCTTGGTCAAAGATTTCCAATAATTTTGTCGTACTCTAGTTTTTAAAAAATATCATTTCTGGCTAACGTAATACCAGGTCATTTAAGTGCTCTTGTAGAAGACTATTGCGCAGATAGTTTTGACTCGATTTTAAAACACAATATGTACACTCCCCTTACGTAGAAACAGGCAAAGTCAAAAAAATTTGCAGTATTGTGTGTATATTTGGAAAAGTTGATTTTTAGACCATTACTTAATGTGCATACATCTCATGTGGATCCCTATTATTTCCTTCCCAATAAAGACACAAGTTTAATGATCGATTCATGCACAATTTATTAAATGTAAGAAAAAAGTACCGAGCCACGTGCAAGTAAGAACTGTATAAAACGTGCAAACGTTCGTAGAGCGAGCGTAGCATGGAGTTGGTTCAAAACAATAAAAAAGTTCTTCATACACAAATTCCGATTAACGGGGAGAGATAAACACCACACAAATCTGAAAAGCATTTACGACTTAGAGCAACTCTTGCACTATCTAAATATATAAACTGCATTGAAATGGCGCGGCGCAAACGGTTTCCGTAATTATCAGGGTCGATAGAAACCTACGGCTTATTAAAAATCTTGCACTAATTAAATTTGCAAAAGGCATTGAAATGGTGAAAATGGTTCCCGAGGCAATGCGTAATTTCCACAGCAAGTTTACGAAAATGTCAGAACTTGCCAACTTTTGTGGGGCAGATTTAAAGCACTTCTCGTGCAAATACAGTGAAATGTTCCCAAACGGTTCGCGATACAATGCGCAAGAAAATAGGGAGGTATGTGATAAATACACCATCTCTCGTCTAATATAATCTTATTTTAACATTTGGCAAGACCTGTCGCTATTCTGTGGCAATTCTAATTAAAAAGATCAATGCAAATCTATTTATGAAAACAATAATTGAACTAGAGACACAACGGAAAACCAAATGTAAATCACTCATATTTTTAGCCAAAATTAAATGAAACTGAGAAATGTAGAGAATTGATTCATGTGTCGCGATCATTCTAGGTGTGATAAATCATGACGAGCAAACATTGCGTCTATTGCCGCAAAACACGAGCGATAATTGATTGAATATAACGCGATACACGAAGTAAATACGCAAGAAAGTCGCGAAAGACTGGTTTAGACACAAAGGTAGATAAGCGCGCTCCGAAGAAACCGAAAACAAATTGGCATAGAACGCATAAGCAGGCAAAATTTAATTGCGTCGTGCCGGGTTATGGCCCGTGTATTGGATGCTCGTCTTGCGGTAAATGCAACAAGACACGCTTTAGGAGACGCAAATACATAGAAGCCGCTTATTTAATTGTATTTTTTCTACTTCCACCTTTAAAGCGCTGGTTTTCGGCGGTTATACTCGTATATATCTACCTATCGTAGATAGGTAGTAGATAGGTAGATATCAGTAGATGGAGTAGACATAACAAACAACGGGATATGCGTGTTATTTTCTGTTACAGTGGCATTACTCAATCAAATCAAATAAATGTTCATTAACGCGACATATGGTGCACTTCAGCTACCACCAACTATGTGTTACAACATAATCACCGAGAAGGTGTTTAACTAACATGACGCAGTAATTTAACAGTCCATTAAAATAAGCCAATTCTTATTAAAATATTATTCAAATAAAGTTTGTCCTGAATTTCTCCCTTGTAGATTCTATTATACTCCTATATCCAGTTTTTATATGTACCTATAATTTTATTAAGTACTGGGAATTGAGCCGGTCCTTAATAAATGAGTGCATTTGAGATTATTCTTTTCGGTTCTATTGAATTTATTCCAGGTATTGATTGCGACGTTGTGCTGATCGTTGCGCAAATTGTTTTGTCAAAGTTCACCTGCGCCACTTTCATTAAGTTAATTCATTTATAAAGTAGACTGTCTCGTGTTATTCAAGGTCTTTATTAAAATTGTACCATCCTAGTTCTTGATACACTGTACCCAATAAATTTTCAATCGCTGCCGAATGACAAGTTATTGCAGATTCGTGTTTTAATGGTTATTTTGAGCATTGAAAGGGTTTCTAGTTCTCTTACACGTCACAGTCGATCGGGCTTGTTATTTTGATATGCCATCAAGCTCCACTCACGTCTCGCACGTCACACAATTCCCCGCCGCGTGAGTACCTGCCGATTTTCGCATTCGTGTGGGAGCACTTTTTATCGCGTCCTCCTGCGTTCCTGCAGCAGGTGCAGGGTATAAAACACGAGCGGATTGTGCTCCGGGAAGAGTTGGCCGCTTTTGCTCCATGCGCGCACTATCCTGATCCTGCAGTCGTTACCTACTCTACAATCTCAACGCAACAAGTGCTGATCTCCAACTCGCCATCATGTGGGGTTCCTTTTCGTTGGCCTATTCATGCTGGGTGCATTCGAAGCATTTCCAACTGTAAGTCACTCATTTTAATCCAATTATTTAAAAAAAGTTTAATGCATGCATGACACACAGACATTTTCGATTAAAATGTTTAGTAGGTGTCGCGTCAACGCCACATTTGATTAAAATTGCAAAGACAACAATAATTCAATACATTCAACGGCTTTTTCATTCGTGGATCTATACTAATTGATTTTATGTTCAAATTTTACTAAGATTCTTTTAATTACTAGTGTGGTAGTTTGACAAACACCAAAGTTAATTAAGCAGAAATCTAAATACAGTAAAATCAGTTTCAAATGTCACGTTTTAAGTCTGCACTGATTTGGTTTCAGGATTCGAATAAGCAATATTTGCAGTCGCAACTAAGCAAATACGGTAAGTCTAATGTCATGAAAATCTATTATTTGTTTTCGTTTTATTTGACTTTTGCCGTAACATCACAATACAGAAAGATCACCTCTTGAAGATCGATCTTTGGATGGCATCGGAGGGGTTATTTAAATGGGCGCTCGTTGGATGGAATAGGCGGTGGTCATCTTAACGGTAGGTCACTCGACGGCATTGGTGGAGGTTTTTGAATGGCAGGTCATTAGATGGCATCGGAGGTGGTTTCTTGAACGGGAGGTCCGTAGGTGGAAATTGTGGTTTGCAAAAGTCTCTTGTCCGGCGGGAGGATAATTCTCTGCGAAGCAGCAGCTTGACAGCATCGGTGGCGGAACGCTACTCGGGCGGCGTTCATTAGATACGATTGGGGGCGGAAATTTAAACGGCAGATCTCTGGACGGTATTGGAGGTGGCTACTTGAACGGCAGATCATTGGATCATATTGGTGGCGGTCATTTGAATGGCAGGTCTTTGGATGGCATTGGTGGTGGAAATCTAAATGGAAGATCTTTGGACGGTATCGGTGGAGGGTTTTAAATGGCAGGTCTTTAGATCAAATTGGTGGTGGTAATCTTAATGGTAGGTCGCTAGACGGTATTGGAGGAGGTTTCTTGAACGGAAGGTCCTTAGATCAAATTGGTGGTGGTAATCTTAATGGTAGATCGCTGGATGGTATTGGAGGTGGTTTCTTAAACGGAAGGTCCTTAGATCACATTGGCGGTGGTAATTTAAACGGAAGATCGTTGGATGGTATTGGGGTGGGCACCTCAACGGGCGCAGCGTCAAAGCACTCTTGCCGTACCTTCAAACTGTCGAAATCGACAACGATGAAAACTTGTAACTCCGAGTTGGTTTCTTTAATCTTACTTCTAACTAAGCTAGAGTTTTGTAACGACTATTTTAATTCGATACTAATAAATTTGTAAAGCAAGATTGCACTACGTTTATCTAACATATTGTTTAACTTTAACTGTTCTTGCAAATACAAAGGATTTGAGCATTCAGTGGTAGGAATGCCCAATTTTGACTCCTTACTTACATTGGACGCCGTTTCCGCGTTAATAGCAAAAGGTAAGATTTTCGTATTTGACTAAACGTAACTACAACCTCTTCAAACAAAATTCATAAAAATTGTATTAAACAATCAGTTAAAATTGGCAAACTTTATGGATATAAAAAAAGATGACCATTATAACCAAACTATAATGAATACATAAATAAACAAACGATTTCTTGTGCTTTTGTCGTATTAATCTGTAGAAATCAAAGGAAAGCGGATCATCTGAAGAAACAACAACACCGTCGTGGATCTTTTGATTCATTGCTGGCCGGAAATGGTTTCGGCAGGAGCGCACGCAGTGACCCAACGCTGTTTCCTGATACACGAAACCTTCAAAATCGTCAATCTGCCGAGATAGAAGAAAAAATAAACCGAGATTTGCTGGAGGCGTTAATCAGGTATTGTTTTAGTTCTTCAAAACAGCTCACAAAAATAGTTTCGCTGGTTTTATTTTCAGTTGCATGAATGCGGGAGAACGCGAGCATAACCACCTGCCAAGAGTACATCAAGCCGGTGAAGCAAAACAGCCTCTCGGCGCGATAAACCGCGAAGGTGGCGGTGGCAACCCGAATACGATTCATTTCTGAGCAATGCAATCGCGCTCGACGGCGGGACAGTCGGGCGTGTTGAGTATCAATCACCGCCGCTGGCGTTTCTGCATAGGCGCTACGTGAACTCAACGGTCAAATAAACGCAACTACGCACTTTATTCCAGTCGATGTAATTCGCTGACTAATTGTAGATTCTGTATTAGAAATGATTAGAAAAATAAAAACTTGAAGCTTGAAATACATCCTCATTAATATGAGAATATTAGGCAATCAATAATTCATTTTTCGTTGTTTGCCTTTCACTAGCGGAAGTTTAAAACCCCATCATTATGAGCTATAAATATCTCCGACACCAGTGACGATTTCTGAAAACTTCTTCATTTATTATACTCACAATCGATTGTTTCAGATCTAAATGACTCTCATATTGTATTCATTTCTATTGTTGGTATAGTAATGATGCAATAACAAACTCATAACAATTGAACAAATTTGTTCAATTAATGTGAGACTATCATACTTTTGCATTATATAATTTTCCTAATTTTATTTTATTAGAAAATGTCTACAATTCAATATATATTTTGTTCTTATAACTAATTTATCTTTTCTGCGTTAGTTCCGCAAGTCTACTTCTAAACGAGATATTTATAGCACTTTCGGTACGTTCTGGATAGATTAATTAGCAGGTAATAAATAGGTACCGATAATAAAGAGACGCTATGAATGATATGGAAGAACAACCGTAATTGCCGGCGACGTGAATGTATTGAAGATGAATCATTGATATCGCTTGCTTCGTTTTCATTAATAAATAGTTTTCCACAATTTCACAATTATCCTTCATTGCCTATACTGAGTGTACACATATTTATGAGTAAAACATGATTTTTATCGTGTTTTTATGTTGCGTCTCTTTACATCACACTCGTGTCACCCAATAAATTATATCCTTTATATTCTCGTCCTGGACGACATTCACATCAGTCCTGCTTCGTGCGCGGTTACCGAAGGCACAATTTAAACCACAGTGTGCAACGTATAAAGTTTCAATTTTAATTTATTGGTCATGGTCTTAATGCAACGTTTCTTCTTCTGGTTTTCGATGCGTTTGGGAGCAGTGATTGTCGGAATCTTATCATTGGTAAAACTTTTATAAATTTTTATACATTTATTATTATAACTAGTATTAATATTTATAAATTCTTTTAATAATAAAAAGATTCAAGCAGCAATTTGGTTGATGATATCGCTGATTACAATCAAGAATCAAGAAGATGTGCGCGACTTTCTCAACGAGATCGTCGAGAGTCTAAATATCGAAAACAAACTCTTCCTTTCGTTTGCCGACGATCCACACGTGCTGCTTATTATTTTAGCCGTCTTCTCCGCCATTTATCTCATATCGTGCGTTCTAATAATCGTCGGTTCTTTAATGGTAGGTTTGAAATTAAAACAAATTGATTTAAAATGCATTAAATCAATGTTTATTTCTAACTTTCAGTGCAAATACAAAATGCTGTACCCGTTTTAGTGGTTGATATGATTTACATTATCTTTATGTTGGTGTTGACCGTAATGTTGCTCATCAACTTTAAGAAACGCGGATTTGGTATGGGCGCGCTTATCGTCGCTAGTAATTTGAGTGCGTTGGGATTAAGTAAGTTAATAAAGAAATATGCAAATCAAAAAATAGATAAATAGGGAAAGGTGGGGCAAAATGGGCCCTTTAAGAAAAAAAGCTTTAATACTCCGTTTTTTCTCACTTTTTTGTCCTTTGTCAAGTATTTGGCCTTAATTTACTCTGTTCATTAAAAATAGAAACAATGAAAAAGTGAGGCAAAATGGGCCCCAAAAACTCAATATTTTCTTAACTCAATTTTCTCGTGATCTAATACAACACTGCAAACCACTGGTTTAAAATAATCGCCTTTTTAAAGACTAGGCAGTCCATTTTACCTCCTAAATACATTTTGTGTGAAAAATTTTGAGGGTCCATTGTGCCCCACCTTCCCATACCTGTTGGACTGTGTGTTTCTGTGTAACACAATTCACTGACAGATCATAACAAACAATTAGTTGGTGCAAAAAATCTGCTGCACAGGTCGCGTGAACTCACATGGACATGGTGAATCTCACTGATACAAACGCACATTGCGCGTTTCGAATTTAATGCAAATATGTGCACCCCAGTGTCAACAGCGTGTAAATCACAGAGTTATATTTAAAAAAGTGTATACTGTATGTGGACGTACCCACCCACATACACACACACACACACTGCTTTTTTCAATTAAATTAAAACCACTATTTACTTACAATTAATTCATTTTACAGTTGTTCTAATCTACATGTGGGTATGTGTGTTGAGCCTAGTACAGATTATAAACGAACTGCGTTGTGAAATAGCAGAAAATCGCATCCTGCTGCACGACGGCTCCAGGCAAATGAAGCGAATGATAGATATGCGTTACCAAGCACAGCCCAACAGCTACACTACTACTGAATAATTTGTAATGACCGCAAATGCACAATAATATAATATATTTTATAAAATATCTGAAAGTTGTGTGTAAATAAAACGTATTTTCTTTTCTCATTGGAAATAAAAATATGTGTGTAATGGTAAATGTTAGAAATTCAATATTTTAAACCAAACCCTTAATTACTTTCGAATTATCAGGATGAAATTACGTATTATTTGAGGCAGAGCAATTTATGACAATTGATCGATGAAAAATGGTTACGTGCATGCGGATTACACACAAGAAAATCGGATTAACTTTTCTTTATTTCAATATCATTACATTTCTCTGCTGCTCTCGTTTCTCGATAGATATCGACCGGTTTTATAAATAACAATTTCTCAAAATTGTCGAATCATTCAATTAATTATACATGGGCAAATTCGAGAAGGATACAAGCGAAAGTGAACGAATTGCTACACAGGACGCGAAAACTGTACGTAAGATAACAATTAAATATAATTTAAATAAATCAACTCACTCGATTGAATGTAATAATACGCAGAAATTGTACTAAAGTAGGATGTACTTAAGTATATTTACATTAAAAATGCAGTGAATGAATTAACAAGTTTTCAATATTGAATACGTGTATTCAGCACTTCTAGCCACTTAATTTAATAGTCATCTCTTACGCTTAATTCATTACTTAGTAATTACGAATGCACCGCGGCTTAACAATTTAATTCTTTTTGTCAACGTGCGCCGCTCGCATGTGTTCGCATTGCCGAATGAATCTTTCTCTCTAATAATTATCAGTATTACCATATAATTACAATAAATGTATCGTCGAAAGAAAATGAAACATTTGTACTATGCGATTAGTAAAATTACATAATCAGATTGCGCAATCGAAAAGGAAAACGGATTTTCACAACACAACAGAGCGTTGATTGTCAAAGATGACTGTAAGGAGCATAACAAGAAAAGAAAGCGCTGAACGTAGAACGTAACGCTAATGCCGACCACGCCATCGATAAGGCACAGCCTATGACTATATGAGTTCGATCGGAATCCAAACGCGACCGCTTTTGATTCTATCCTCACACTGCCAAACAAATCAAACGTTTTCGTCCATTCCTACCTACACACCATAAACTAAGTAATAAAACATCTCCACCCTCGTATGTACATAAGCCTGCACTATTTGCCCAGACCGATTAGTGCTTCGTCCATGAGTTCGTCGTCGGTGATCCCAGGCGATGTCGCTGAGTGCGGGCTAGGAGCGATGTGCGGACTGGGCGCTGGAGACTTCACGATGTGCACGCTGACGGATGGTGATGGCGGGAATGGTAGCGGAAGTTTCTTCTCACTACCACCAGCCGTTCCTGGTGAGCTGATGGATGCCGCCATGGCAAAATCCAGTTCATCTTTTCCTTGCTTTTATTCTCGACTTTCTTTTCGTCTAGTTTCGGAGCCGGAGCGACAAATTTTGAAGTTAGATCAATGCTGCGTCCTGCAAGGCCAAGCGGCTCGGTGCTTGCGGAAGCAAACTGCTTAGATGATGGCGCGCCGCTGGCTGATATGGGAAACGATTTGCCTAACGCGTCATCCTTGGGTTTCTTTTCCTCCTCGGTTGTTGCAAGCGGTTGGTCCTGATGTTTGGTGCTAGGAATTGTGTTTGAAGCGCTTATGCTCAAACTGTTCGGAATGGAAACGCTGTTCATTGAACTGCGAATCTTTGCCTCCATGGTGGTGTCGAAGAGTTTGGTCGTTGGTAGTGAATGCTGGTACTTGCCGCCTAAAGATCTTTGCTAGCCATACTGGGCGCGCTCGTCACGCCGCTGCTAGCAAAAATATCCAGTAGTTTATCCTTATTAACACCCAATACGTTGTTTTCAACCGGCTTTGGTTTCTTATCGTCACCGGTACGCGCAGAGAGCTTCGGTATTTGAAAGCTCTTGTCAAACTGCTTCTTGCTGGGGAAATTTAGACTCAGATTCTCCGTATCCTGCGTGGGGCTAGCCTTGCCTTTATCTGCTTTGCCAAAATCGACTTCTCAGAGGAGCTCTTACTAATTTTGGGTCGCTCCTTCATCCGGGCAGGATCACTAGAGCTGCTCTTGGGCGGATAGAAGTTGAGAATCTTCTTCGGATTCGACGAATTCGGCAGGGAACCAGATGAGTTCATTGGTTTAATTCCGGATGATGAAGCAGATGAAGAAGACGATGATGTGGACGAGGATTTGAAAGGCTTTATACTGCTGGAGGGATATCCGGCGTTAGGATTACTACTAAGGGGTTTAGTTGATCCAGGCTGCTGTGGTTTCTTCGATGCCGGTCCAGAATTAACACCGGGTTTTAAACCAGTGTGATTTTTCGGCGAGCCAGTACCACTCATACCCGCCGAGGTTAATCCTGAGCTGTTGGAACTTGAACTAGACCCGCAGGTTTTCATCGGTTTGGCGCCTGGCTCACGTGCGCGGGTCTTGTTGATGGTCAGTTTCATGCAATCCGATGAATGTTTCAACAAAACATACTCGGAATTCTTCGTATCTTGGCCCAGTTTCGAAGCGGAACCACTTTTTGGTGGCATGCCAGGATTTTCGCCCTTGCCAGGTGTAGTGGCACGTTCCTTCGGCTTACTGGTTGGATCAGCGGCAATGTCACAATTCTGCGCCTTGGCTAACTTATCGACGATAGCGGATAACTGGCCCGATTTGCGATTTCGCATCTGATTAAGCCCCCGCTGGATTTGACAAGGTCAGTACCAAGACCAGGCGAAGTTGTACCGGATTCAGAACCTCCACCCACGCTGCTACCCGCCATATCAATCGCATGTGTGTTCAGATCAAGCGGCTTCACTTTCAGCGCACTCTTGGAGCCGCTTTTCGTCGCGTTCACGTAGCTACTACCCCCGTCTTCTTGTCCTTCTCTCGCGCGGAATCTTTCGAGCCGGACTTCTTCACGTCGCTCTTGCTAGACGGGGAGCTTGCTGCGTTTTTAGAGTCGACATGCTCGGTTTGCCGCTGCCGCTTGTGGACGGGTGTTTGGGCGACGACTTTGGACTACTAATACCGGGTAGGACATGTTTTGGGCTACTGGGAACATGCGCAGGTGAATGCTTAGGGCTGTGGGTCTTAATAGTCGACTTCATCAGATTAGGGCTGAGTTTACCACTAAGGCTACGGTTGTGTGTCGGTGATTGGCTGAATTTTCGAGCCATATTGGGTGAATTCGGCGGACTTTCCGGTGGTTTACCTCCACCACTACCACCACTAGCACCGGGTGGTTTCGGTAGCATATCCGCCTTGGACGGAATCTTCTCCGGTGGGCCCATGGGTGAACCCTCGCGTTTACGCTTCTTTTCTTCTCTAGCCGCGCCTTATCATCCGACCGTTTACCACTTTTGTCTTTCCGGTCTTTGTCAGACTTCTGCGCAATTGGAGTAATAGTCACAGCACCAGATAACTGCGCTGAAGCAGCAGAGATAGGAAAAATCTCTATCCCAGAACGTCGCTGATCAGACGATGTTGTGATTGGCGTTGAAGAACCACTCGAAGCACCCGCCATATGAATCGGGTAATGCTCACGCTCGGAGAGACTAACTTATTAGTCTCAAAATCCGGCAAAAGCGGCGATTTATCCTTCTTACCCGAAAGCAACTCCTCCACATAGCCCAAGTCATCAGTATCGAAGTCAGCCTCCTTGTCACCAATCAGCTCAGAAGCGTCCAGTGCGCTCAGCTCCAAATCGGAGTGAAACCCCAACACCGAATTGGGTGTAGCAATCTCAGCATCCTGCGATAGCGGCGTACTACGCGACGTGGAATCACAACTGGAGGCATCCAGCAGCTCATCGTCAGCAGCACCAGGCTTACGCTTCGCACTGCTTTTCCACGCGTCCTCCGTTGCCTTACGCTTGACCCGCTTCGGTTTATCACCGCCGGCGAGTATATTCGTCAGCTCAACATTGGTCAGCACCGGCGTCACCGTCGCGCCGTCCGATTGAAAACCAGCGAAACTAGCGCCGCTCATAAGCGACTCGTTCAGAAACATGCCTTGATGGGGATGCGACATAAGCGGCATGCCATGGCCAGAAGGCTCCGGTGTGATTTCCCTCTCGCCTAACGTATTACCCGAGTTACCGTTTCTACCCCCGGATCCCCAGCGCCGAGGGGCAAGTTAAAATTTTCCAGCCCGTTGAAATGGTTTTGTTGGCGAACGATCTGCTTCTCCCAATAGACCAGAATCGAACGCATCGTGATCGGAATCGAGAAACTGCGGTTGAGCACCTTCGAAGTAAGTTCAGACGCTATATCCGTAGCATTCATCGGGGCAATGAGCCGGAGAATATATCTTACAGGTAAGATTCGATATATCAGAGAGGTCAATCTCAGCCATCGACAGACTCTCTTCAAGTGGATGTTCCAACGCAATTGAGATATGCGTCCAGCCCAAAGCGCTTACCTCTAAAACCACCATATTTTCCAAGTCCTGATTGCTATTCGGCCGAATACAACTGGCAATCAACGTGTTAAAAGCGCCTGTTGCCTTAAAAGACAAGAATCTGCGCCACATGCGCCGGATGTGTGAAAGGTATGTTACTGACAAGCACCCCTTGCATGCTACGACTCTCCGTCATGAAATAACAGTGAGTTTGATCGGGCAACGTAACGAAGAGACCACGATTGTTACTGGAATCAAGTTTGCCGTCGCTGGTATGCTTTGCGATAAGACTCAACAGTGGATGTGTAGATGAACAGTCCGCAATTTCCAAATCGGTAATAGCCTGGATCTGGCGTAATAACGCGACGCACATCGGCATAGGCCGATTGAGTTTCAAGACAAAGCAGGCTGGAATAAGCGCACTGTTCTGTGATGTAAGTGGCGCATAAGACGGCGTGTTTTACCATTATGGCTACGCACACTGATCAACGTAGATGTTTGCAATTTATGCGCGGTGGAGCCCTCCATGTAGACTGTGACGCTGTACCCCAGGCGGCGTTCGAGTATAGTATCAACGCTAATCGGCTCGATGTCTTCGAGATCTGTGTCAATGAGGTCGTACGGTGAGACAAAATAGGTCAGGCGCATGGCGTGTCCTCCACGACGCTTCTCCAACACACCAACAGGTGATTTGTGCAGGACGTTGAATGGTTCCTTGATGAATGTCTGCAATTGCGCTAGCATGCTCAGGTCAGCCTCTAGTGATTGTAAAGCTGTAAACGCCTTCGCCTTGATTTTCTTTTCGGCGTTCAACTGGTAGATAGAAGCGAATCCTTCGAGTTGTGCAGTGAAATCAGCGAAATCGTTCTTGCTCAGGCACGAAACTAACTCCTCGCAGCTTTTCTGCTCGAGGCTGCCTTCATGATGTACTTTGACATCGCAAACGGCGCCGGTTTGATTCAAAACGATCTCCAGTAGAACATGTCTGAAGATATGAACAGCTCAACCCCAGAGGGAGCTTGTACAAACTTCAAACTGTTAATGGAAAGAATAAAATGGTGATTAATGCCGATATTTCTCAAGAGACTTGAATAAAACTCACCCAAGTTGTCTTGTTAAACTCTCCAATCTCTCTACCATACTTTGCAGTGAAGTAACTTTGATGGAATGCTGTAGAGTGTCCAAACACTTCTGGTGGAGTGTCTTCTCCACACTATCCAGGGCATACCTTTTATCCTATTATAAATTTAAAAAGATAATATTAATAACACTATTTTCAAAAATTTTAAAGAAAATTATGCGAATAAATGCCAACATAACCTACCAGTAGTGTCATTCGAATGGATTTCGAAGACTCCGAGAAAGTCTTCATCTGCGATGCTTTCGCACGCAGCTTCTCCATGAGCAGCTCCAGCTGCCAGTCCTTGTGCATGTCCATCGTGACGTTTGAGCCTGTGCACGGACCTGCGAACACGTTAATAAACAATGAATTCGTGTTAAACTCCCGCACATGCAAAGACGCGTGCAATGCATCGGAGGCGGCTGTGCATCTCAAAGGCACAGCGTTCTAGATTCTACACTTACCGTTGCTGAGGCGGTTCATGTTCCACGGATCGGCACACCTCCTCGTGCAACTCACATCACTACGCCGCGCACGGTTCGAACGCGACACCGAACGGGAAGCGCAGGCGATCAACGCGCCTGACACACATCAGCAACAAACAAAAACTGCCGTGAGGCGAGTTGACTACTGTCAAACCCGAGATTGTAAGCTTGCAAACCGGTTTAGTTATGTAAACGTCCGCTAGGTGGAAATGCATTTACATGTTTAAAACAGTAGTAAAATATGTATTTTCTTTTTATAATAAAACCTTATTCGCCAATGTATTTCGGTGGACGTTTCTCTCTAAATGCAGTCAATCCTTCGACACGATCCTTTGTAGGAATGATTTGTGCGTAGTACGCCTCTTCGAACTTGAAAGCTGTTTTGAGATCAACTTGCATGCCTTGATTGATCGCCGCCTTGGCCATTTTCAGCGCAAATGGACCGTTATGCAGCATTTCACGCGCAATTTCAACTGATTTCTGGAACGCAGCATCGCCAGCGTCGTTTTGTTCTACAGCATGATTAACAACACCAAGACGCTGCGCTTCTGTACCGTCGAAAATGCGCGCGGTAAAATCAACTCTTTCGCAACTGAAGGATTTATCAAGCGTGGCAAGCGTTGACTGCCTCCGGCACCTGGAATAATCGCTAATTTTGTCTCGACGAGTCCCATCTTGGCAACAGAAGACGCCACACGAATATCGCATGCTAATGCTAACTCCAAACCGCCGCCGAGTGCGAGCCCATCAATGGCGGCAATCACTGGCACTGGCAACTCGTAAAACTTATTCATCATCGCACGCAGAGAAGAAACAAATATGGAGACTTGTTGCTGAGACATTGTAGCACGTTCCTTCAAATCAGCACCTGGAAATATGCAATTGTTCAAAAGTTATGATTAATTTTCGCTGAGTAATGATGGTAACCTGAGCCAAACATGCCAGGAGCTGCACTGCACACAACCAGCACTCTGACGGAGTTGTCGATGGCGATATCATCGAGTGCTCGGTGAATTTTATCCACCAGACTCATGCTGAACGCATTGCGCGACTTTGGTCGATTTAAGCCCATGACACTAATGCCAGAATCCTTGCCTTCCAATTGTTTTACAATCAATTCAGAACTATTCTCACTTTTATGTACTTGGGAATACTTGTGTTGTACAGTTGTTAAAACAGTATATTTTCCTTTGAAAAGGAAATTTCTACTTAAATTCTTCATGATTTGAGCCATTTTTATCAAAACAAATATTTCACTACCTTACAAAGTTATTACAAAGTTTACTAAAGTGAAACTGATTTAAGTTACAGGTTATATAAATGGCAAGGTCAATTCAATTCGATTAAATTCATTTCAAGGCAGTTGTAATCATAATAATCGAATTACAGCAAGATGCTAAATGCACAAGCAATGTATTTCAACACACATTTCATTCATTTGTGTTGATATTTTTGCGTTTTTATCTGTTTATTTATTTTCATTTGTATCGAATTTCTAGTTGTGAGTTAGGCAACTTAATGTGCGTTGACAACTGAATATCAATGTCAGAAAAGAAGTGTGCGGCTGTCTGATCAGCTGCGAAACAATGTTGTACAGATCGTCGTGATGTAAATAATCTTAGAAAACAAGTTCCCGTGCAATGCAAGTGGTCCCGGCCAAGCAGAACGCCATCCGATGCATTTTCTTCTGCGAGTTTCATCCGACCCAAGGGCCGATGATTTCGTGCCAGGTGCCGGAGAACTACATTTCCAAAGAACTCTTCGACAGCATCAGCGTCTATATCATCACGAAGGCCGAACTACAGCGCAGCACAATCACCGTGTATGCAATAAACTGTTGAATAATTATATAAATAAAAATATTTAATACTATTTTGTTGCAGAACTTTAGCCGAACATAAAATTCTCGGCTTTCCTGTCCGCATCGACGATAAAAATACGCGCGCAATGCATTTCACTTCAATCTATGTTTCGTCTGCGATAGCAATGCAAGAACCGTGCATTACGAGCCGGTGGTGATGAAATTCGCCGAGTACCTGATGGCTATGGAGGTAGAAAACAGCTACCTGTCCGGAGGCGGCTGTGCGCCGAAACTAGCGCCTATTTTAGCGCAAGCAATGCGTGCGTTAAACACACGAGGAGAATGCGCGCTCGCCGAAGGACCAACCGCCACCCACTTGAAAGTTGTTGACGTTCGTGGTGATCCAGTACGTGTCGCTGATCATCAAGTACCCGTCCTGGTGCGGCCATTACCCGAACGCGCCTGGGACCTGACCACGCACGCTGTCGCGCCGCACATAAACGGTTTCAATCATGTGCTGCGCATTGCGACACTCGCCGATGTTGAGAACAATCTGGTGAAGGCATGCGTGCGCAATCTGCTTTATTACGGCGCTATCGCCCTAGTACCACTTTTCAGTATGGTAATGTGTACTGCACGACGCCGCGCTTGCGTGCGTTAGTGCAGGACGCTCGCCTTCGGGATCGTTGCCTGCGTTATGTTGCGAAATCCGATCGACAGCGACCATCGCTTCGTGATGTCTTTCGCATGTACGCCGCCATGACACGCGGCACAACCATTCGTGATCTATGCTTGCGTATGAATCCATCTGCGTTGTGGATCAACGAACGTAAATTGGTGCAATTCGGCGTGTTGGAAGGTCTGGTACGCCGTGTGCACAAATATCCAGTACTTCTCGGTGAGCCAGCATCGTTGCGGCGATCGCTGGACGGCGGCGCCTGCCTAGATGAAATCTGCTGCTCGACGGGCGTCAGCGGCCAGCAGCTTGAGGACCAACTCGAACGCGATCACAATGTCGTCCTACTCTGGCGGTGATTCATATTCACTTTTATAAATATTTACGTGCAAGTATGTTTAGACCAAAGAAGTTTATAACTCCACTCTACTTTAGTGAAACAGAGACAGAGGAATTAAATAAACAATTCGGCGCAGTGTATGTATGCATATCGAAGTTTTTCAAATGATGGATTATTAAACAAACGATAAAGTTTAATTGAATGGCAGTACACTTACTGTATGCTATGTAGTTAATAATGCGGAACTTGTTTTTCTAATAAACTGTAAACTTTTATGTTATTTGTTTATGAAATGAGTGGAATACTGGAATATTTGCATGCATGTTGTGTGCGTTTTGCGCCTAACGGCTGAAAAATGAATCTCGTTGACGTGTGGCGCCCTCTGCGAACTTCACAGCTGCAAAACGTGCCGAGCCGGTGAACGCGCAGCATTCACTACTGCAAGCATATCTCATTCGCTCCTCCGCAGGAGACATCACCCTGATTTTCTAATAGCGTATAACGCTTAGAAAACACCCGAATTTCGACGGTTGTTTGTCCCACAGTTGTCAAGACAACTCGCAACGTATTCAGATTCTCATATTCTGTGCACTCAGCAGGTAAGCGGGCGTTGTTTACATAGTTTGCGGTTTACATGGTTTTGTCGCTAAATTTAGCTAAGCGATCGCGTCTTATTGCAGACCGATATCGAATATGTCCGAGGGCGACGTTCGCACACCAGACGGGGTCGAGACCGACGTCGAGAGTTCCTACCGCCCACCGCCGGAGAAAACCATCGAGGAAATTCTCGCCGCTGATCAAGAAGATGAAAGTCTACGCAAGTACAAGGAGGCATTACTCGGGCAGGCTCAAGTTTGTACGGTTGTCATCGGTAGGAAAACAAACAAAATCATCAAAACATACTAAATTGCGTGATTTTTTGTTTATTTTTAAGAACCCGATAATCCAAAGCGTGTATTAGTCCGTCGACTAGTACTCGTCGTCGCTGATCGCCCGGAACTAGCGCTGGATCTCTCCGGGGACATCAGCAAGCTGAAGAAGGAGACCTTCACTATCAAGGAGGGCGTGTCGTACCGGATCCGCATCGAGTTCCAGGTGCAACGTGAGATCGTGCACGGTCTCAAGTACGTGCAGAAGACTTATCGGTTGGGCGTTCCAGGTAATTCCACGTTTCTCTCTCACTTTTCTCGCGTGCTACTGATAAGATAATGTGAAATTTTATTGCGTACGTTTGCGAATTGCATAGGGATTGACGAGCCAGGTAAACAGTACTGCACTGTCGGGATTTTTACTCTCGTAGACGACATTTTCAACTTCACAGCTTTTTCATTTTCTACTCTACGTTCTATATATGTTCTCTCTTTGACTTTGACTTCACTCTGTCGCTTTCATATGTGCATATTTATATAAATCATGATGATAATTGCGTTTTATTTCGTAGTTGACAAGATGACGCACATGGTGGGTTCGTACGCGCCGAAAACCGAGATTCAGTCATACACGACGCCGTCGGAGGATGCGCCGTCCGGTATGGTAACACGCGGCACTTATTCCGTTCAGTCGTTGTTTACCGACGACGACAAAACGAGCACCTCAAATGGGAGTGGACATTCGAGATCAAGAAGGACTGGAAGGATTGAACACAATATACACTATCTACCAAACCACACACACACATATTCTAAATTCGCATTCTTACTAAACGTCGCCGGCAGACGGGCGACGCTTCACCAAATATATTCTATAACGTCTTTATCTACGTAATATTTAAGCAAGTGTTGGGATGGTGGTGCGAATCCGGTCACACCTACTCGCGACTAAATCAATCGATGGTTCCTCATCCATTACATCTTACCTCGAAGAAGTATTTTTGTAGCCTAGCGTACGTAGACTAGTACTTACCATTTCGAACACCTCTTATGCCTTACCAGACCCGACCACAATCGCCGCGGCTGGATGATGCGGTTTGCCGCAGCCGGAACTCGCCGTATCCACGCACTACCAAAATACCAATTTCGAAACCTAACGCTTCGTATTCGTACACACGTGTAACGTATTAATTCTGGTCGCCGCTGGCTGCCATTTAAGTTGAATATTGAATATTATTGAATTTAATCAGTGTAATTGTAATGTGTAACTGAACGGAACCAATTATGGATTAACATGCTCAATTAACTTTTAACAGGGGAAATGTATGAGTTATCATGTAAGCAGCCACCCGGTTTAGGGTTTTGGATGATTGAAAGCGTTATAAAGTAGTATTGAAGCAATATCCTATTAAAAAACATTTGATTGTATTATTGTGCATTATAGAAGTGATAAATAAAGAATGCATGAATTTCCTAGACGCCGTGTGCCTGTTTTCAAAACGTCTTTATTTCGTATTTTCTCCCATGTATGACTAATGCAAATTTGTATCATTTACCTGTGAATCACCGTGTAATCGATATGTACATAATTTTCCTCGCGCGTTGGCGAATTCAGTGATGTTTACTACAATTCCGAAGGCAGATGTGACACGCACTCTACACGCGTGACCGCACAAAGTTAAAGAAGTTAAATACGAACTATGCTGACGGACAGGTCCGACTAGAGAGAGGGACCGTGTCCACTCGCGCGTGTCGAAGAACCACCACGGTTTTCAACTCTTCGCAGTCTTCTTCCGTCGCTTGACCTTGCAGTTCAAAGGCATGTCGGAGTTGAAGAAAAGTGCGTTTACCGCGCACTTGTTGCTGGTGCTTTCTTTCAGTTTCAACGCCTTGGAAGCGCAAGTTCAACATGATGGCAGCCATTTGGTCAATGGCAAAGAGATAATGCTACAATTCCAACCAGACGAATACAAAACGTGCGTGAAATCTTGGTTTTGTTTATAATAACGAATGATTGCATCATTTGATTACAGTTTCAAATATATTTCCATGAATAATGCATCGAGTTGTTTAATTGTCACTGCGTGCTCCGCAACGATCGAATGGAATGTTTTCCAAAGCGCCATTGGAGTTAATTCAACGTCTATTCTTTTACATTCGTCGATAGTGAATGAGCAGGAAAGTTTTAAATTTCCTCTAGGACAATTCGATGTTTCTACAGAGTACACAATCAAACTTAAGATGAACTATAAAGGATATGGTTCTATTTTTGCCACAAACATCACAACACATCAAGAAAAGTGGAAAAACATAGTAAAAGCGGGAAATGTTACAAATGAGGTGGAAAAGTGAGAGTGACTTGATTCTACGATGGTATAAACATAAGAAGTACTATTTATCATTTAAAATCCGGTAAATTTTGTACCAAAGTAAACTTTTCAGAACTCCTCAACAACTTGAGCAAAACTACTGTGTGCTGATAACAACTGGTCGAGCTCAGAAAAATTTATGCAGTGTCCTCACACAAGATGAGTACGTTCATGTGAGGAATACAACAGAAAATCTTCTCTCGGCTTCATTCATTGAAAATTACGTGTCGTCAAAAGGTAATCAGAAGAAGCCCGTTCACATTTCATGTATATTTTGATTAAATCAATTTTAGATCAACTAGTTTATTGTACCAACACTAATTTACTTAAAATCAACATTGGCCAGTTACTGGATCAATCTTTTAATACTTCCAAAAGCGCACAACGTGTTACCGCCATTTTGTTTGCATTTGATAGTTACTCAAGAATACCGCGGTATGTAACCAGTAATGAAACATTTTCCGTGCGACCTTCTGTAGTGATGAAAGAAAACAAAATGTCCTACGTTAAATTGACCAATGGGCCGGTTACTTTGTCCCTTAAAATACTCCAGCGATCATTTACAAACAACATTTTGATTTGTACGTGGTACCATGCGATGTGCGCTTATCTTTCGATGTTAACATCGCTTTCAATGGCAATCAACTAGCTGTAAGAAAAGATATCTTTGGTTTTGCTAAGTTGAGTGTCCCGAATGTTCAACTGAAGAAGTCCTATGTTATTACCGTGACTGCAAGTCAATCGAATCAAAGTTCATTGCTTAAAGGAGTTCAGGTAGATATTAATATCATTTTTAATCATTGAAGTTCTTAAATGAGTGTATTGCAGGTTTTGCAACAACAACTTCTTCCGTTTTCAATCCGTTTCCGGAAATGCCGAGACTGCCCGCTGTTAAAGAGTATAAAACAATGCGCACTTGTCATTCAGTGACCGTGGGCTGGATACCTCAAATGGTATGCACACTGCCACTTATTGTATGGTGGTCAAGCAGGGAAAAATAAACCATCGTGAGTATAAGGGCAATCAATGTAATGAGAAGGGACAACTAAGACGAGGCAAGGTATATCGCAATGATGTTGCCAAAATATGCAAACAACTTAAACATACTGTCAGGTATTAGAATAGAATGAATGTGTTTTATGGGGAATTTGTATTTGTAAATGTTTGTTGTTTCAGAATAAGCGTCTTGACACAGAAAATAGATAAATTAAAACCTGGAAAGTTTTACAACGTGCAAATTATGGTGCGTAAGCCAAAAGGACGCATGTTGTCTTACGAACTTTGCAAGTTCGTACAAAATCGACTTGTTAAAAGTTCTGGTAGATTTTACGTACTATATCAGGCAATTTTTGCTTTTGTGAGAAAACAGCTTAAATTATTATTTTATCATAACGGGACTTTAGTTTCTAAATCATTCAAAGATGTCGCTTGGATGCACTTATTTGCAATAAATTCTTGTTTGAGTAGTAGTGAGTGTACAAGTAGGTAAACAATGATATGTTTGTTATTGAATCACTATCGTTTTATGATAACCAGATTTGTCAGTTAGGCATGATATTTCATGTTGAATTCCGAAGCACACAAATTTGTATGCATTAATTTTATATGAAATGTATGCAAATTTTTGTAAAGCTTCGAAACAATTCTCCAAATTAATTCCAGGAAAATATTATAAAACTTTATAAAAATATTATTTTGGTCTGGTGATTTCATCAAGAACATTACCTCACATCTAAGCTGCGTTAAATATGTAATATTTTGGATTATACGAAATATAACTCGATAAAATATAATATCTCTTAAATACATATAACTGCAATGTGTACCTAGATGGCGGTACGATGCACTATTTGCATTTAATTCTGCTACTACTACTACTACACTACTTTGTAAGTAAGAGTAAAGGAACATAGGGATAAATAGCAATAACTGTGTTCGTGTAAGCTGCGAAGTTACGCAATAATAATGTCCACTTATGTTATTAAGTTTTCATGCAATCTAATTATAAGACAATCTCTGAAAATTCTTATTATAAAATATTTCCATTGCCTGAGTTGAGACGTTGGTAAGAAAACACTAAACGTTCACAATTTTGTTGCGAACATGCACATGCACTCATACACACATGCACTCCAAACTGTTTCTTCAAAATTGACGGTATGAAAGAACATCTGAGATTCAAGTTTAAATATTCTGCACATTCTGAACTCCATTTCTTAACGTCAATAAGAATTTCTAACTAAAGAATTTTTAACCGTTTATAAAAAAACCGTGGATATTAAAAATTCATCGATACATGAAATAAATCAAAACAATGTGTAAATGCACCGTATAATAAACAAGGCACCAAGTAAACAAGTTATTTGTACGAACACAACACTGAACGTAAACAAACACGCTGCTGATATGAACAATTCTTGAAGTCATCTAATTTTCATCTTAAATCATCCTGAGATGTCGCTAGGATGCACTTTATAAATAAAAAATAATACAATGATAACATAGCAGTATTCAATTTGATTAATATTAAACTCTAAGGTTTTTCTCAACAATTTCGTTGCGTAAACAATGTAATAAAATTTCCCACAAATGCCACAGCAAAGTAATTAACAACATATCTAATGTTGATCTGTTTCATGCACCGTCAATCAAAATTTCAATTAGTTACCTAATCAATTTCCACGCTGATTTGTCAGTATTCAACAGATGGCCACCGTTTAGCATAGATTTTTGTGCGTTATTACGGTGATATCGCGCACAATAAATTGATAATTGATAATATTAAGTGCGTCGTAACGAGGCATAAATTAGTTGCAAATGGTATGACAGCCAAATAACAAACACAATCCAACACTGCAACAATGAATTCCAACCCGAATCTTGGCGTAGTAAAACAATTTCATCTACTTAACAAATCAAATGATTCGTTTTATTGTTGTAGAATACAACTATCAAAGCCTACCTACCTGAAGACATCACATATTTAACGAATGAAGAACGTTTCATTTTTCTCATCGTGTTTGCGCTGCTGTTGACCATTTCTGTAAGTGGAAATGTGTCGGCGATTTTTGTCACAACGCAAAGGTGTGTATTCATCCGCAGGGTACCATCAATAGTTTAAATTGATAATATTTGTGAATAGAAATAATCGATTCATACAGAAATGCTGCATAATTTCCTTGGCGATGAGTGATTTGATAATGACTGCTTCGTATTGCACGAATAACATGGAGACGTTTTCACACCCGATGATCAATTGGGTAAGTTTTAAATCGTATTTTAAAACACTTACTTACCAGCTATTATTATAAAAATTCAGACGCTTGGAGAATTTATGTGTTCCTTTATACCCATGGCACAAATCTTCGGCCTTGTTGTCAACTTATCAACAATGGTGGTAATTGCAATGGACAGATATCTAAACGTAGTGAAAACATTGACTCACCGTTGGAATCCAACGCCATCTAGTTGCATCTATGGGTTCTCGATCATATGGATTTTATGTTTGGGTAAGAATGTGTTTTTCAATTTTGTTTTTTCTGTTAATCTTTGTGTTCTACAGGGATATCTTATCCAATCTATCCGATGTTTGAATCAAAGCCTCTACCGGTGTACCACGTGGTTCCGGAAGGTGCCCATTTGGAATATTATCAATTTTGTGTAACCGTCGTCAAAGAAGACCTACAAATGTATTACATAAGTATTGCCGCCTTGGTTTTTTCGTCTCTATGGGGTTGCATGCTCTTCCTGAACTGCAGTATCGCTCATCTTATTTGGTCTCATCGTAAACCCGTTGTTGGTACGTCTATCCATGTGGAGCCATCGGTTTATAGCATTGAAACTTCATCAACACAACTGAGTGGTCCAGGGCCGTTGCCAGGCAATGGCAAACTAGGCACAAAAATGCGAATTCATGAACGTGGTAGAAACCCACACGTGGCACAAAGATTACGTACCTTCAAGGTTGTCATTTTTTAATGCTGGTATTCACCGCTTGTCGTCTCCCATTCTGGTTGTTCAATATTATAAAGCTGAGTTTTGTCAATTCGGAAAAGTGCCACTGGTTAATGCTGTATGGATTCAATGCGTTGGCATTGCTAAACTGCAGTATCAATCCATTCCTCTACACGTTCCTGCAACCAACCCTGCGAGTTTTAGGCAGACTTGGAAGATTTATAGAGGATTACATCAAGAAAATCTGTTTCTGGTATTGCAACGCAACAGAATTCGATGAGTTCGGTAAAGAAAATCCGTTTTGTACCGAAATGAAAAGATCTGATGTGGAAAGAAGTTTATTAGTAAATAAATACCTGTGAAATTGATTTGTGGGTAATAAATGAAGTGATGTCATCATTTTGGAAATGTTTTATTATTTTTCATCTTTTTTTCGACCAAGAAGCTTCCAACATCATCATTTTTCATTTTCTTTAAAAACTAAGCCCTACTTATTTATTTCTTAGATTTAGTTCAATTTTGCATTTATTCAAATTTTTATTTGTTCATTTTACACGTTGTCTTTAGTTTTTACACAGATAATTTCGAATAGTTGCTTGCGCAAGTATTTTTGCTTCTTGCCTGGAATTATTCTTAATTTTTATTAAACCTTACTAACCAATGAACAATATACAGTTGTTTTGACGATCTTCCGCTTGCTGCGGCGTTGTGGTTCAGAAATAATATCGAAATACAGCTCTATTAAACGTTTATACCACTATCATCTGTAACCTGTCGTATGTAATTCTGTCGTTAAGTCGATTTCTTTGTATGTTTGTATTTTAGTTATTTGTAGATGCGATTAGATATTGTTTTGTTTACCCTGTTTCATATATCGTTTTGTCGTTATTTGTTAGAACGTAAATCTCAAACAAATACTGCAATAAAACCAACAAATATATAATTATACCGCTGAGATATTTGTAATTTGGTTATTTAACCAATTTAGTTAGTTGCTTCAAAATGATGGATTGATAGAATCATGAGATTCGTTTTGCGTTTTTTTTCTCAATTTGTGCTTAATTTAAATATCATTTAGATTTATTATTTCATTATTTACTCAAAATTTATACAAGTATGATCATGATTGCACCATCAATATCAATTTAATGCTAGTTGCCTATATAATCGTCAATAGTATTTACAATTTCGTGTCTAGTGGCCGCCTAATTTACAATTCTCATGATTAATTTAATTCACATATCTTCAATTTAAAATTATTAATGCCAATGTTTGTATGTCTCATTTTTTTGTTTGCTTTGAAATTTCCTTTAGATTACCGTTTATATAACACTAATTAATTTTTAATTTAATTATTATCAAAGTCATCTAATTACACAATTATTACTTTCGGTTTTACAGTTTTCATTCGCTAGAATCGTAAATTTACACCGCATCACCACCGTGAAATTTCGATGAGTCCAATTTTCTTAGCAATTTCTCATTAATTTATCGATAATTATAATGTTAATTAATAATTAATGCCAGGGTTTGCGTTCCTCAATTTGTTTCGAATTTCGAAGAAAGAAAAACAAATACACTTTACATGTTTATCCCAAATGTACAATCATCTCGTTCACCTAATTATTTTTTCGTTCACATCACGACGACGCATCCTTACAGTTGCCAAATGCCCATCAGATACATTCAAGCTAAAAACATCCCATAAAAAAACAACAAAATAAAACAAATAAAAACTCAATCAAAAGTGCGTTTAATATAATTTAAATAATTTGTGATTAAAAATCTGCATTTACATAAATTATACAAATAAGAGGAACTTTAAAATCATCTATGGTCAAAATAATATTCAATAAAACAATCAAACTTAAACTACGAGTTGAAATAACCGAACGTGAAACGAACAAAAAATCGCCCTTCGCCTGAATCGAATCCACCTACTAATAACTAATAATACTTCGTTTAGGAATGTCCGTTTGCACGTCAACTGCGTTAATTAACCAGCACCACTATATTAATTAATCATCTCGATGAACTAATTCTTATTTACAAGCGCCGCGCGCCACTGGAAACGAAAAACGTTTTTTAACTTAAAGGAACTCAAAGCCGACTTTGCTATGTGTACAAAATAGTGTGTAGTATAAGTGTGTGTTAATATGTGTGGAAAATAAAGAAATGGTCAACGTGCAACGCGGTAAGTAAGCAAAACTTCCTGACCCCCCTCCCGCTTCCCAGTCGTTCAATTTCATTCACGCATCAATAAATTTCCCGCCAAAATATACAATCCTCCGCTTGTCGCACGTCTTTTGCCACTCAAACTCAGAGAGCACTTATTCGTAAGTGTATAATCATATTAATCATAATTAACTAATTATTAACTGTGCACAGTAACTATTATCACATGATTGTTTATATTACTTACTATCCTTATCTATACTTTGTTTTTTTTGCGTTTTTTGTTTGTTCTTCTGTGTATTTAATTAATAAGTCTACGTAAATTCTATACAATTCTAATCTTTATCATTTTGTTTATTAATCTCCATTTTAATTCTTTAATATTCTTTTAAATTTTTATATATTACTATATCTCATTTATTCTTCTGTCTGCCTCGTTTCGTTCCCCTTTTAACTTACTTCAAATAAGGTTAGCATGTTGTGTGATTCATTTGTTTTTCACCTCTCTGGAAGATTATATTTCTATTCAATAATCAATAAAGTTTCTATTAATTTATACCCTGCTTGTATTGTATTGTTATTTCTGCTGAATAAACTCCGAATCGGAACCAAACACCAAATTACCCGAAAACCAAAAACGCTGAACGGTGTTAACAATCGAATGAAAGTTGCGCCCTGCAGAACTGCAAATATATAACGCGTGGATAACTGAACTTTCAAAATGGCGGCTATGAAGAAGTACTTTGTACGATACTCGTTTGTTCAAATAGTTCCATATCTCTACTCGCATTGTTTGTTTTGTGATTTGTTTGCGTCGACCTTTGTAATATCGTTTAAATATTTCCGTATACAACAATTTCTATTCAATGATTATTTTTGCATTAATTTTTACGTGTGAGTGTGTATGTGTGATTTACGCCTCGAGTTTTTTTAGACTAAAGTTTTATTTGTATACAAACACTTACTATACAATTATCGTTTAGATTTGTAGTATGTATCATATTCTCTCGCCAGTTTTCGCATGCCGGGTGTGTTCAGCCAAACAACCAAACCTCGCCAAATCAACGGCAAAAAAGTGCTCGGTTGCAGTTCAGTCTATTTTCGTTTTATTCTGTGTGTTGATTTTAAACGTGCAACTCAATTGCGTTTCACTTATTCGTTGGGTTTTTTTTTTGTTTATATACTGGTATGCGTTTTGTAAATGAGTAAAAAAAAACCGCTTATTGACCTGCTTGCTTGCTTGGAAAAAGATCCGTAGAAAAATATATAGAAACCGCCGGCCTATTGTAGTTTTGTAATACGTAAATCTGTTTGAAGTAGTTTGTAATATCGCAGTTTGGTTTATTGTTTAATTGTGGCTATTGTGATTCGCTTTCAAAATACGTATAAAAAACATCTCTGTCACGCTAAAAATAGAATGCATCCGTGTTACTTTCGTGTGGGGACGAGCGCATGACACCAGCTCCGGGAGCGGCGCTCGTCTGCGCGCAAACATTAAATAGTCGTCAGGTTTCTGCTGCCCTTCGCCCGTTCGCTAAGTAACAATAAAGTATAGGAGTATCTAGCAGTTGTACAGTAAGATATAGTTTGATATAATAATAGTAGTCAATTGTTTATGTAGTAAAATGTAACCAGGAACTATTGTAGTAGTGTTTTTTTGTTTTGTTATGTTATGCTCTGCTTTGTTTTGTTTATTCATTTACTTTGCTGTATTCGTTTGTTGCAAAAAAATGATTTGTTTTCGTCAGATTCGCACTCGCCGTCTCATCGCAGACGATTGGCATGAGTTCGCTCGAGTGCTCGAGTCAGTCTTTTGGTGAGATTTTCATTATGCTTTATCAAATCAAAGAGAAAGAAACAGCATTCGTCAAATATTCAAGTTAATTTAAGGAGGAAGCACTGTTTAAAGTTTAACAAAACTATAAATACTAATATTGCCCCTAATGTTTCGAATTTTATGTCTTCCTCGTCAGCTGCTTTTTGGATTCGATTTTGCACACTCCCCAAAGTTCGCGCCCACTGCGAATCAATGATTTTGGACGAATTTTCACTTTCCCACATCTAGCACATCACTTGATTTTAGAGGCGGGAATTTACAGTTTAAGATAATAACCTAGCGGGGACCGCCCTCAATCCTGCCCATTTTGTTGCACCAGCTCACGACGGTCTTCGCGTGATAGTCCTGGTGGTAGAAACATGTCCTGCGGTTCTTCCTTTAGACTACGCTCGTTTCGGTTGCAGTCCTCCAAGTCGTTTCCATTACTGCCACTGCCGCCCCGCCACGTTCGCTGCGGTCCCCGTGCGCACCACTCATATAATGATCACGGTTCTTCTCGCTTTGCGGTAGGAGGTGTATCATGCTCACCGGTATAGGGAACCCACCTGCAGCAGCCGCAAAGTCCGGGTAGAAATTGGGGGCGAACGGATTGAACATTGGATGTTGACCACCTGGAGGTGCGTGTTCCGCGGAGGACGGCCGCCGTTCTTCCGGGTCATTCTTGACATTGTTGTTGTTGTTGGCGCCGGTACCACCAGCAGAGGCGGAGAGATTCATCAGGTCCATACCACCAGGCCCACCGATGCAATCTTTACGCAGTTGCTCCAGCTTCAACGACTTGCCGTACTTGCCCCGCACGTACATTAGTAAGGAATTGTAGGGAATACCAAAATACGTGACGCCTGTGATGTGGTCATCTTTTTATTCCAGACATGTTGCAGCGCCTCGGTTAGTTCTGCGTTCGTCCAGGAACGTGGTGGACCACCTCGAGGTGCGGAATGTTGTCCTTTGGGCCTACCCACTATAACCACAAATGTTATTAAATAAAATAAACTGTTTACATTGCAAACAAACAAAACTTACTCTTTTCTTGGTGAACATATGCGTGTCAGGAGTGGTCCGCGGGTCGGCAAGTTCCAATAAAGGATTCCGGCATCCATCTAAACCAGGTGGGAATAACAGGGCGAGTCAAGGCCGAAAACTGTAATATTGATTAAATTGATTAGTCTTAACTTTAATATCCAACGAGATATACACTTACATTTACTATGTGGTGGGGTCATGGTCAGCGCCGACACGGAGGGCATGGGAGGAAAGGGTAGCGGGGAATGACCGTCCATCTCATGCTTCATATTTAGCATACTGGGCGGCAGCAGTGGGGAGATGGCGGGAACTCCTTATGATGGTGCATAGAGATCCAGCTCGGGACTGCCACTAGGATCGGGGTCAACACCAACTTAGCGCGTTCTTCTTCTTGTTGTTGGTGGTGTTGTTGGAGCGGCAACAGACTCTGCTGAATAAACTGCCCCTGGAACGTCATTTTGTTCTTCTTCTCTTCCGCAAGTAACCGGTGGTTCTCTTTATCTTTATCCTTGCTGGCAAAACCATGTAACGCTTCCTTTGTTGACGTGTCCAGTTTGGGTCGCTTCAGCGATAAGTTCTCAACGTGGGTCTGTGGAGGTGCGGCATGTGAGGAGTGTGTAGATCGCTCGGGAGATGTGGTGGTCTTCGCGCAAGTGGTAAGGTCTTGCGGAGCCATCAATTCCCAGAACGACGGCGAGGTCGTGCTTGTTTACGACGTGGCAGAGGTGATTCAGCACGTTCATGGAGCGCGCCCAACATCCACCCGGCAGCTGCAACTTCGTGTGCTGGTGTCGCGCCAAAATCCGTTGGAGAACCACTCGCGCTACGTTCTTCATCAACCTCACGCGGGGACGGTGATGCCGGTACATTGGTGACGTCTTCTTGGTTAACCAGACCACGCACCTGAAGACTCTCAGCAGCCTTGATCAAACTTTGTAACTGTTCCTGGACTACGGAGATCTCGCCCTTGTACATGAAATCAACTATCGCTTGCACCTCCCAGCCGCTGAAGTCTTTCAGCACGATCACTGGGTGTTTGCACGGGTTCTCGGCGAAGATGCGTTGGAAAAACGGCGAGCAAGCAGACAACACCACTTTGTGCGCACGCACCGAACTCTCGGCGCATACCAGCGTCACATCCACCAGCGTTTCAGCCTGTAGTAAAGCATCAAACGCCGACAGGATGTGCGACTGGTGGTTGTTCCATCGCAGTGAGTAATGCGACTGCGACATGTTGGCGCGGCTGCTGACTATGGACTTTTTCGATAAAATCTCTTCTCGTTTCGAGGGACACTCGGATCGCACTATATCTTATGATTGTCTACATGAAGGATTTGGCATTATAACGCGTCTTTTGATTTTCCAGAATCTGCAAGCAAAAGTAAACCGAAATTAGCATCGCTGGAACATCCTTTGACCTATTGGTGACTTCAACGCTAGCAGAATAGAAATATTTACTTCAAAAATGTAATTTTACGCAGTTTTACGTTCGAAAAACTTTGAAAAATAAATAAATAATAAAATAGCAGTTTGTCTTCAACGCACCAAACTTTTCATTGTGAGAGAGTAACGATATGAATAATTACTAGTACATGCACAACCTTCATCCAACGCTTTTGTTAACAAATGCGTAAAATGTGTGATTACATTTATTCCTAGATCGTAGGTGGAATAATTAAAGTTCAAAGTTTTCATATGTTGCATTGGATGTTGATGAAAAAGTAGCGGTACCAAGCATATCATTATTGAAGGGTATTTAGTTGGCTGTTTCGTAATGTGGAATTAACATGTTATAATCATATATTACCCGCCCCAATTTTAACATGTCAGAGTAAGTTATCAATACTTGTTTACATATTCATGCCGTAGCTCCTATATTTCCTCATTTTTATTCACTGTGTTCTATAACAGTGACATTATTTCGTATGAAATGTTTAAAAATAAAACATATTCTATTAAAATATCAAGTTGTGTCCATTTGACAATTTATTTATGGAAATCCGTAAATAATACAAACATTTATTTGCTCATAATGTCGTATAGACAAGCTTAAGTAGATCGAAATAGAAGTATATCACGCACAATTGGGAAAGTTCGCATAATAGGTATGTCGGAGCGTCGCCAGCCCCGCGGAGCGCAAAAGACGCCGGCCAGTTTTACGAGCACAAGTTTACCGAGCGATGTTATTGGGATGTTGTTCCGATATGAGGTAAAGCACGGTATCGGTTAATGACGCGACGACGTGCGTCTTACTGGCGTCGTAAACGCTTGCGTAGGTAGCTAAGGGTGGCGACGCGGGACAAGTCGCCGATTTACATATTTTCTGATTTCTCGAAAAGAAACCAGCGAGTGCGAGTACGTGCATGCATACCTGCTTTTATGGTGTATGGGGCGCGTTGATATCACCGAGTTTAACCGCTACACCAACGATGGAATTGATATTTTATTAACAGTAAGTGTTTCGTATTTTGCTAAGACGAAGTTAATATTTAGTTGAAAATATCGTTTGTTTCAGATTATTCTTTTGGTGTGACTGGAAAATTAGTTATTAATTTTTGTAAAAAAATTCACAGATAAATTAAATAAATAGTCATGCATGAAATAAAATATAAAAATGTTAAATTAAATTAAATTTTAAAATTTAATAAAAATCTTCAACAAAAACGATAACTTCAATGAGTATACAATGTTATGATTTTTATTGTGTTTTATGTTAACTCACCCTTATTCAAATCTAGTTTGTATCAATTCTTAGAACTAACTCCGCTCGGAAACATCAAAACAGAAAATGAACACTTTTCTTCACGTACACAGAACACAATATAATTATATATCACAATAATTTCCAATTTGCACTTTCGTAAATAAAAGAAAAACTGTTGCGATGTTCGCGGCACGAGTCGACTGACTAGAATGATCTCCTCGTGTCCGCGCGTCGTCAATTTATCACCATCAACGCATCCTCGGACCCTCACCTACCGCGATTGACCGGGGTGTTTCGTACAAGCCAACAACAAGTATGTACGTGCGTGAAGCATAAAGGTAGGACATGGGTATTCCCGTTGGCACAGGTAGCCGCGGCCGGCGACGTCTCGCCTCCTCCCTCGGCAGGGGTGGCTGCGACGTGCGCGTAAACGTAAACACGTTCGGCGTGGATTCCCACGTAGCAAGTGCACAATGCACAATACACGTAAGTGAACACATTCCGAATCATAACCGAATGGAATAATGAGGCGCAATAAAGCTGGGCCGGCGGCGTGAGGGGTGGCGGCGTGGTGTGGCGTACCTGCAGCGCGGAACGTGACTACGGCGCGGCAAACATGTGAGCGCGGTGACAATATTACTATTTGTACACATATTGTGCACTTTCTTCAGAATTTTGGCCGGGAAACATTTTTCTAAGAAAATCTATCAGTTAACTAAGATTTTAATTTAGTTTATACCTCTATTTGTAAATCCATCAAAAACAACATAAAACAGAGTCGAAATTAGCACTATTTAAATTAGTCCACAATAGAAAAAGCCGAATAGCTCTGCAGGTACATCTCTGGTCGCACAAACTAGGTGTAATTACCTAATTTCAAAAAGTTCTAAAATCTTAATCCTATTACCCTGTTACTGATCCCAAAAACCCGTAATCACATTTAGGTACCATTTAAAATTTTGGCAATTTTCCTCCGACACCAAAATCCGACCGCTTGATTTTGGTGTTTTTGGCGCGCACAGCGACCACATGTTTCCACGCGTTTTCCCACCGAAGTTCGAAAAAGCGCGCCCATCGCGTTCCACATTCGCTGACGATTACGGTTCGCATGCATGACAATCCAAAACAAATTGAAAATAATCACAGATTTACACATGATAATCAAATTAAATGAATTAATACGAATTAATGACACTTTGACGTTTTGATTCGGTGGAAAAACTTGCTGGAAACGTGGCAACTTGTGCGATTCAAGAGTAGAAACAGTTTAAAAGTTATAAACTTTGAAGAGGGTTGTAGGTTGTTGTTGAAAAGTGGGTAACTTACATTTAGAACAGACGTCGAATAGCTGGCTTAGAAAAATTTCCTTTTGGTTGCACAATTTAGGCGCACACTTTTTAGAATGTTCACTTTGAACTCTGAACTCAACTCAATGATGTGGTTTAAGTAACACTCCTGGCGGGAAGCGGTAAGTCGAAACTGCAATTTTACGCGCGCACACGTGCGATTCGCGTCGGTGGGTGCCGAAAAGCAATTTTGAAAGTCGCCAGCGATGCTGCCGCCTCTAACTCATGTGGTCCGCCGGGCGAACGGCATGTCGCTCACCTGATGGTCACCACAGCACAATCACGAGTGCTGTCCGACGACGGCGCGGACGGCGGCGGATGGCATCATCGACGGCGGCCGCCGGCGGCATCTGGCGCGCGGGCCAGCTAAGAGACGAGCACGACACTTCGCGCGCGATATCAATTGGGACGGCGCGGCACGTGCGAGCGTGCCGGAGAGCGGGATGCGAGTGTCGGTGGCGGCGGCGACGTGCTCGGCTCGGCTCGTGGGCGCTGCTGTTCTTGAGGCGGCGGCGTGCGGAGTCCGACTGGCCCGCAGTCGCGCCGCGCCACCGTTCACTGCTCGGCGGGTGCCGCGCGCACGCGTTTGTGTGTGTGTGGCGGCGGGCGTGTGTGTTGTGTGTGTATGGGGCGCATTCAAAATGAGCCTTTGGTCGGGCCGGCGTGCACACGCGGATATATCTCCCCACGCCGTTAATGAATCCGATTAGACAAAGCCGTCGCCGGCCGCAGTCGCGCGCGCGAGAGAGACGCGGGGCCGATGCATGTGCGCGCGCCCGCCGCCGACGCGCCGCTTGTTTCTACCCCTTCGCCGTGTGCAGTCGTTAGTTAGGCGTTTCGCGAGCGCACGTACGACGCGCGACTCGCGACGAGGACGCGAGATGGGTGTAGAAATTAAGGGGCGGCCTATATGAGTACGCCGCGTCTCGCATCTCGTCCGCCGGCCGGCACACGGCAGCGCGAAAGAAAGCGCAAGAATGCGCCCCGCCACCACCGCCGCCAAAGCGCGCCAAGATGCCGTCATCCCGCCTCGGCGACAATGCATTTGTTTACCTTCTTTCACCCATCATCATTCCTCACATCCTCACATCCTCATCCTTAACTGCCAACACTTGTTACACATGAACTGACTTTTTCAAAAGGACTTCAGCAGCACATCCTGCAACCAGTTGCAGAATCTGCACATGTTCTGAGAAACGCGATCTTTTGTTATCTTAAAATCCTTGTAAACTTTCTGCACAATACGCAAATAACTAGCATTTCTAAGAATATTCCGCGAAAGCCTATAAGATCAGAAACTAATTTGCAACTCGAAAAAGCCGCGCTTTTTATCGCTGTTTGCATCGGTAACTGGAAATGTTGGAAATAAATTTCGTAATTTTGATTTGATATTTAAATGACAATCTGCTTGGCGCGTCGGTGGTTGCGTGGCGATGCCTTGATCTTTCCACTCGCGACCGTGCGTCGTCGACCGCCGCGCGCCGCCCCGCCGTTCCGCAGCGCTCCGTTCGCTTTGTTTGTGCATACATTTTCGACGATTGTTTGATATTAACTCGCGCGCGGCGCATGTAGTCTCATGCATCGTTCTCAAGCCGTCCGCTGCCACCGCCGCCGCCGCCCGCGATTGTAAATACTAATGGTAATAAGTTATACACGTACAGGGCCGCAAGCTTATGTATGATATGTAAATGCCGAGTATACGTACACTAATCATGCGACCATTAATAACGACGACGATCGGCGACGACGGCGACTGCCGCCGCTGCCTCCCCACACGTGTGTCGTGAAAAGCGAGCCGCGTCCGCATTTACATTTCGGCACATGCTCGGCCGCGTCGCGTAACGATAAAACAAAATCGTAACGATTCGCCTCCACCGCCGCCCCCAAGATCGCAATCCGGACAATTTCAAAACCGTGCTAAATCTCCGCGACGCGTGCTGAAATTCACGCCAGCGCGACGACTTGTTTGCGTTGCGCGCACTTTGCGAGATCGATTCTTTGGTGGCGCACGCTTTTTGCATCTCGGTTTTTCATCGGCGCGGATTTCTAATTTTCTAATCGAAGCGTGTAGACATGTAGACAGAAAATCATGCCGAAGAGTGAAAAACACGCCGCGCGACACTTGCGCAAAGAATGAGAAAACTTTTAGTGCGCAACGCGAGCGCCGAAACTCTCCGCCAGAGCAAAAACTCCGAGTTGGCAAATCGGCAAAACAACAGCAATTAGAAATTTTAAATTTACAGCACACAGGCGGTACCGCCGCACTAACTCATCCTACCATTTTCCGTTACTTTACATATCCACTACTTCGTTAGTTATACCACATGTTTACAAAACATTATACAAAAGTTTTCCATTGCAGAAAATCGAATAGTGCACTGAGTGAACACAGCCAACACATCGAATCTTGAACATTGAATAGGAAATTTGAAATGCGAACGCCGAATGCCGAATAGCAAATCGCAAATGTAACGATGACCTTTCGGCGTGAATGCGAATGCGAATGTGAATAAAGGAAAGAATAGAGAGGTTGCCGGAGCATCCAAAGTCACAATGCGAAACGCGAGTACGTCACGACGCGCTCGCGACCGGACACAATGGCGTGCACGAATTGATCACGAGACTCAGGAGAAACGCGCAAATCTGCAAATTTACCAATTACAAAATATCTAAACCACTTCAAAACTACATTACATATACAGGCTGTGTATGTGATGCAATTTTAGCGTTTCAAATCAAATGCAACGAACAATTTCATCAAATGTGACGGAAATTTTGGATAAAATTCAAAATTTCGCGTGATTTTTAAAGTTTAAACTGTTACGAATCACCCTATATAATTAGTTTGTGATAGCGCAACTTGGTGCAACCGAAAACGATCGTAATTCGGTAGTTTCAGCGCGATGAGCGATGCACTTCCTTTCGTTGGGGCCGAAATAAAATTAAAAGATCGAAACACATTTGTCATTCGCGAGCGCGCGCGGCGTGTGCATATGAATATGAATACGTGGTACTTGGGGCGCATGCCACCCCCGCCACCCGCACCCCTGGCGCGGCGGCACCGCACTTCGGGGAATGAGCATCGGGAACAATAAGAAAGTAGAAATAACGAAGGGGATCGAAGAATTAAGCGCGCGACAGCCGCAGCGCAGCACAGCACACAAGGAAATTAAAACACCGCCGCTGACGTGTGTTGCGTGTGCGTGTGAGCAGTTTGCCGCCCGAGATATATCTGCATGCATGGGCACAAGGGCGCATAACTGTAGGCCGTGACAATTATCGATTCGCGCCGCGAAATGAAAATGAGAATGAGAATAAGAAGCGCGCGGAGGAGTCGCATGCACCGACACCGGCACCGCGCCGATGAAACTTTTCGGTGGTAGTGGCGCGGGAGGTGGTGGTGGATGATAAGCGGGCGTCGAGGGATGAACGCTCTCACGCTGTTTGCTGCCTCCACATAACTCAATTAACACAAAAGAAAAACGATCGCCGGAATTCTATCTTTTATCAAAAAAGTGATCACAAATAACCTTGATTGAGTTTATTATTACTCAGCATAAAATAAGTCTTAATGTTGCATGCATGGTGGGCAAATATGAACTTTTCGTGTTGCTTTTATTGCTCGAGAATTTTGCGTACTTCATTACCATGTCAATTACCGTCACATGTCACGAACATGCACAAGAAATACATATGTGATTGCGCCGAACCTATTTGAATAACAAAAGTTATAATTACGCAAAAGGTAAAAATAAAATTAATTGTAGGTAAATACCAGCATATGATTATTCTTAGTCAGTTTTATGCAGTTTCATCTTATAATACAACCGCCCCGTTTTGTGCATTGTATGCGCCCGTTGCATGCGAGAAACTCACGAATATTACAGGAAAATCCACGAAAAGAGCACATGTTTCATTCACGACACACACATACACACACATATGTTCACCGCCTCTTTCTCTCCACCGCCACCGCGCTGAATTTGAATTACACTAATTTATATATCTACTTTTGTTTCCACGTTTCTGTTTGCTTCGAGCGCTGGAAGGGTTTCGTTATGTATCGAACACGATAAATGCAAATGAAGTTTTATTATGTGCGCCGCAATATTCATATGTGCATGCATGACTGGTCGCTGGGGCGGCCGTAATGTGCGGCCGTAATAAGAAAATAAAACTGACCGAATGAAACGGAACGCTATTAAGATTCGGACGATTTCGACCGCCAAGTCGGAATAAATCACAGTCGTCGTAATCAGTCATTACAAGAAATAAAAATTTAAATATTATAAAATATTTTTCTCTTAAAACAAAAAATTAATGTTGGATTGTGGTGTTCAAAATGCCTGGTTTATCATTCCCCGCCCCGAAATTTTTCCGCGGTGTGATGATTAAGCAAAGGATGCGAGACATGTGAACTGCGAGAAGCAAATGCATGGAATACGTGAAGTTATATCAAAACTTTCGGATATATTCATTTAAAGTTTCGAATTATTAATGAGGCGGCATGGATATGTATTATTCTCCTCACTCCCGCACTCCGCGTGGCGTCACACACTGGCGCGCCGGCCGCCGCCGCCGCCGCGCTCCTTAAAACATTTCGAAATCCACACATCGAGTGTTCTTCGCTCCGGTGGCGCACATTCTCGCCTAAATTTCTACAACTTCGAAGGATGCGGAATGCGAAGGCGGCGAGAGGTGGCAGCGATGGCACCCGCGCATCGTGTGTGTGAAGTGATCATACCGAGTGACACTCGATTCTCACACCTTAACAACACACGCTTCAATACACAATCAGCAAAAACTTTCAAACAAAATGAGTAAACTTCCAAGCCACACATTTAATTAATTAATTTAATGAAGCTTAAAAGACTTAGTTACTCATTAAAAAATAAATATTTGTACACTCAGTTACAGCGCGCCGAGTAAAACTCTGCGTAAGTATAAGACGGAAAAACTGGGTATTCCCGACGATGAAATATGAATATGCCGTGTCGCATATGTTTCACTAATGAGTTTGCGTGAATTATTAATTCGGCGTGCATTGAAATTCAATTTGCGCGTCGAGACGATAATCAAATAACGCACGATAAAAGTGCAAACAGGGCGAGATGGATGCGTGTCCACTGTGGCGGATGTGTGATTCTGTGATTAAGGAGGGAAATGTGTGTTTGCGGCGACGGACACGTATGCCGCGCGTGCGAATTGGTGAATTAGCCCGGGATAGTTGATGGTGATATATAGAGATTGAAGACCATCGCATGCATCACAACCCGCAAACACATCGTAGTGTGAAGTTGCGTCGAAGTTGCGAACTTTCATCACAGTAGTGGTGGTGGCGGCAAAGGGGAGACGCGGGAAGCTTTCGGCGCTTAATTGCGCTACGCGTTCCTATCGAAATTGTGTTTACGTACGGTTGACCGTGAAGTCATTTGAAACAAAACCATCCTCATTATTAAAATAAAAATCGCAAAAACCCAACAAAGAGTACCTACGTG